CAGTGAATTCTTTGTAAAAGTCTTTACAAAACTTTCCTGTCAGAAAAATGATACTCCCCGTTAATTTCTTGTGAGTAATAGTTATACGGGCACGAGAAAAATAACGCACTGAGACGTTCACGTCTTTTCATTCTTCAAAGGGATTTTGTTGCATTAATTCATGTTACTTACTAGGACAGATTGCCTGTAATACTAGGCTTAATACGACTGGATTACCTTTACATGAATAACGTTTTATGTGAAAGGATAAACACCCATTGTCATTGTATGTTTCTTGCTGTAAATCACTCCATGGAAATTTTGTACACCTTTGATAGAAATCCGAGTGTTTAATCAGGAAATCTGTAAAAATCCTTTTGGTCTGGTGGAAAAGTCGTAGACTATTTGCAAGAGTAAATTGTCCTTCGATAATTGCCATAAAAAGAGTACTGACATTCAGAAATCAATTCGAAACTTTAGTACTCGAGACGCTAACTATGTAAATTCCTCAATGGTGTCAAGTCACCAATTTAAAAGTCTCAGACACTAAGATATGAATTAAAAACTTTTTCTAATGAAACCTAAAACTATTGAAATCGAAATTAACAAAACTTTTAAGAGTCAACGAGTATTGAATTTTGTGACAGCATTTAGAAAAATTTGTATTAGAAACGATTTGAGCTGTAGATGAGGGATTTTCTGTAAAATAAGTAACGACGTTTTGAGCATAGCCCGTTATCAAGTCAATAAACTTGATAACGGGCTATGCTCGAAACGTTTTTATTTATTTTTAAAAAGGTTTTTCCTGGTACAATTTATTTACATTGATTACGTTATTATAGCATCATATTGTACCGCACGCATTTTAGTATATTTATGGACTTTCTGTAAAGCATACTATTCAGACGCAGAAGCGGACTGGCCCACCGGGACACCGGGAAGTTTCCCGATGCGCCCTCTGCCCCAAGTTATTTTTTTCAATAACTTGAAAACTTTCCAAAGGCAAATAATTTTCGCACAGAATTAAAATTGATTACAATCATCAATTGACCTCCTATCCAAAGTACGTTTGCATAAAAAGTTTAGCTTCACCTTTAAGTTGAGCCATGTTAAGGTCAATTGCAAAGTTTCCCAATCTTTGCTATTGTTAATTAACAATAAAAAGACAAAATGTTGATCAGCAAACTCTGCAAGATTTTCTGAAAATCTTGTAAAAAGCATCATTTGTTGTGAAAATGACTTTGAAAAAATGAAACATTTTAAACATACAGCTTTGTTGTCAGTGGCGTAGCGTGACTTTTTCAACTGGGTATTCTCTATTAAACAAAAGGGTGGGGCAGGGTGTGGCTCGATGGGGCTTGATGAAAATAGGGGGATAATAGGAAGATTAAAAAGACCTGCTATTGACATTTTATTTAATTTTTTTGGTTCGGTTGGCAAGTACTGCACTGTCAGGGCATTACTATGATGAAAACGATACTTTGCTAAAGGACCCTTCAAATACACTCTTCGAACTCATTCATTGCATCAAATTACCACTAACCATTTCATCAAAAGCAATTCAAATCAAAACATATTATTGAAAGTCAGTAAAATTTTACTGGTCGAAATATGTCCCAATAGTTGTTGTTGAATCGTCTAACATTTGCACTGATGTAAAGAGGAAGTAACTGTAAACACCTACTCTTAATACCTTTTAATACAAAAGGGCTTTCGAAAGTTTCAAAATTATTCACATAGGGCATTACATGAGTTATAAATGATTTCGTGGTATGCAGTATAGACCTTTTCTTCATGGCCTAATCGTGATATTTTCAATACAAGTTAATATTTGAAAGAATCGAAGGTAATGAGATGAGACTGCACAATAATGCAAATAAATGCGCTCGAATAATGCAAACAAAATAGGCCAACAAGATAACTGAATACACCAGGCAACTATAAGGATATTATCCAGGCCTTTCTGCATTTACTTTAATTCTATCACATAGTACAAACAGAAACATCCCTGATTGGCAAGCAATAACAAATTGGCATTTCAAGAGAGAACAGATCTGAGTCAGTGTAGTATTATGTAGCAGCCTACCTTTCCTTTCCACTTTGCTGTTGGTAGATTAAGATTAGGGGTCAAATGAGAGAATGATTATGAAGCAGTAATACGGACATTGCAATAGTTTTTTAATTAAGTCATGTTTACTGTTTTCGATGCAGCTCCATCAATCCAACCGCTCCGACGTCCATTAACTGTTTATATCGATCTCATAACGAGACTATTTTGAACCAACTTTGAGGCTGTACGCTGCATATTTCTCAGCGTAAAGAACCATTGTTTTAGCTGATTAACGGCAAATATTATTCATGGAAAGGAGCATTTTGATTGGTTAAGTACCGTCTAGGGTATTCACTGCGTATTCATGACCGATCTCCATACAACATGAAGTAGCTCAATCTTCAAAATTAGCTTCAAAGATCTGCCAGCCTCTCTATGCTTCGCAGCGTTATTGTTTCCATGAATTTGATGATATTTTGTACTTGTACAAAATGTAGAATATCGGAGGTAACGAATTCAACTAGAATCAATAGCCTCAAAACATTTTTTACTTATTACAATTATGCGTCGTATTAATATTTTTTCTGAGAAATCCCAGGGTATTCACTGAATACCTTGAATACCCGGACGCTACGCCACTGTTTGTTGTCTGAAACTCCTCAGAGTATAAAGTGTCAAAAAATGGTCCAAAATAACAAGATCGAAAATTCGATCCACAAATTGATATTTATTCTTCATGTCTATGCACAGTTTCTCATACAGAAGGAGCCTATCGATGTACAAAGTCATCAATTTGCACAAAACGGATGGCAGCAGAATCTCTTAGAATTCATTTGTCCAAGATATTTTATCAGATATCTTTCGGACAAGTCTACAGCACATGTTCAATACCCTATCATAATTCCGCACGCTGATGTCTATCTTTTGCAAATGATTTGCAACCGCAGCGTAGAGGCAGGAGCAACACACAGTCATTAAGCTAGCAGGTGCTGAGGCATCCCTTTACATTTTTCAAAGATGTGCTGCAAAACTTTATATATAACTGTTTGATGAGCTAAGGCAAAGTTTTTCCGAGCCCGTTTTACAAGCCCAAAAGTTAATAAACTTAAGCACCTATTGGCGCCCTTTTGCTTGCTTTTCCCGGTAGGTCGAATGGTAGCCAGTCCGCCACTGTTCAGACGTCTTAACGATAACGTCATAGAGAGTTTCAGTCGTTTGTTTTGTAATATTGATCTACCATAGAATAGTATCAAGCTTCCTTTAACGTTGGGAGAACAGGATTTGTGGTTTAATATCAGCTTTGTAATAGTCTTTACTCAGACTGAGAATTATTGCCAGCTCTGGATATTTGAGACATCGATGACTGATTCATGATGAACAAAGAGGTTGACCTCAATACACTGACGCGACTCTGAGGAGGCTGAGGTTACTCCTTGCCAGGGGCCAGGGGTGTGGAGCAAGAGGGCCCTTGTTCTTTTCATAGCACTAAATTATAATTATTATTATTATTATTATCATAATTATTATTATTATAATTATCAATTTATTCACAACTAATTTAATCCATCTACAAAGCAAATTTCACAGCGTTTATTCAAGGTAAAATGAGTGCATGAAAATTAATCTAAAACGTGATAAAAACAGCAATAATGATTATATACATTTTGTTTGCAATTTATAAATCTTTTTCTATTTTTTTGGATTTTTCAATCAATGAAGCCCATTTGTGCCATTTAATTCTTAATTAACACTCATGTTTCCTGCACAATGTCCCTATTAACTATGACCCAATGCAATTGTAGACACTTGAATTGAAAGCTGAAGTTGGATAAGCATAAGCAAAATGGCTTTGAGGAAATCAAACATTTTGTGACACCTTTTTATTATAGATCTATCATTCCGATCGATGTCTTTCATGACTACATATCTCCAAAAAGAATTTTAAAGAATCGATGTCTTTTTACATTAACTTGCATCATTCGCATTGTAGGGCGATGATTCCAAAAGCCAGAACTACCAATAATGGTATCAGATCATTAAGTTTTCGAGGGCCTAAAATCTGGAATTCACTCCCGGAATCAATAGAGACAGCACAAAATACTAGACAATTTAAGAATTTGATCAAAACTTGGTTCCTTGAAAGCAAGTGCGCATGCTCATTTTGCAGTAAATGAACTGTCTTATGCAATCCTTGAAATTGCTTCATGTTAGTCTTAATTAGTGTATATTCACTATTGTAGAAACTAACATTAAATAATCTACAATACAATACAATACAATACAATACAATACAATACAATACAATACAATACAATGCAATACAATACAATACAATACAATACAATATAATACAATAAAATGAAAGGCCGAAGAGCTTTCTATTGTTAGTGCTTTTGTTAAAATGTACAGATGTCTTTCAGCACACATATCTTACAGAAAATATTCTTGATTAAGGAACTTCAAAGTTTCATATTATTCAGCACTCTATTGTTTGCTTATGATTAATGCTCTTTTCAGTGTGCAATAGATAGCGTTTGATATTGAATAACTTCCTTTTGTAAATCCTCATCAAAACATATTCATTTAACTTCAAACTTTAAATCTAAATATTCATTAAAATGATTTTTCTCAAGTGAATCATTCATTTGTAAACAAGCATGGTGGGTTGTTAATTTATCATAAGCCACTATTTCCTGGTTTCTATAAACGGAAGATTGATATGAATTTAATTTGATTTGTGGCAAAATCCGTCATTAGTATACAGTTTCATTATCCATCAACAGTCCACTTGCAATGTATATCGTTAAGTTATGAGCCTCTCTGTGAAGACCTCCTTGATCCAGGATTTGAGGTCTTTGGTGAACAGTCCTAAGATACTTACCAAATTTTTCAAATTCACTGTGTTGTTTCATCGCAATCGACTTTGGCACTTTTTGACAACTGGTGTTAAGGGTTCCTTCTATCGTTTCAGGCTTTGGTTTTCCAGTGGAGAGAAATGCATTGAAGTAGAACAAGGTAAAGTTGACTACTTTGAGAATGGAGGAAAAACCAAATAGAAAGCAGAGCAAGTTTCTTTCGGATTTGGATGAATATTACAAAGCAAGAGAGAAGCATACGTATTCATTTGGTAACGTACCATGCCCGCAAAACTTCATTCCTGGGACAACAAAAGCAAAAACGAATGTGAAACTTTTGCGAAGTCTTTCAAGGAAGGTGAGCTCGGTATGTTATCGTGGTGTTGTTATTCAAATGAAAGAGACCATGACTGCTGTAGAGAAAGGTTTGATCCCTGCAGGGCTGCTTGCATTAGGAGTGCCAACTCCAAGTCAGCATACAAGTTGTTTGGAACACAAGATCGAGCAATTTTGGCACAGACAATCGAAATTGTTTGATAGCTTACCACGTATAGGAGATGGTTTGCCAGCAAAAGTTGAAGATATATCTGAAGAAGAGGATAAATATTTGTTGTCAGTAGCTAGTTCAAAGCCAAGAGGTTGTTCAATGCCGACAACAAGTAGAGATATTGGAAGTCTTCCAGTTCTAAGTTATGATGATAACTTTGTTGCAGTTTTAGGCAAGCTTGGTCGCGCTGAAAGGCGCAGACGCATGTCATACCCTCTCAACCGCGCAGAATATGAAAATTATAAGCCACAGTTGCGAAAATTCCGATCGCTCCAACAGAAACCGGTTGACTCTGTCATAAGGCTAAGTGTACTTTGCCGCGGTGTGTCATATCACGGTTCTAATTCCGAGAGGCTTTATCCGTTGAAGAAGCATGGAGAGAGTGCAAGCGAAGTAAAGGAATCAACAAAGAGCGTTAAATCAAATCGGAAAGTATTATCAAACCTTTCATCGCCAATGACAAAAGAAAGGTCCTTGGAATCAGATGCTGTTCAATATCCTTGGCAGAGGGAATCTTGGACAAGTAGTGACAATGACAACCGCGACACCGAGAGCAACAATGACACCAGTAAACAGCCTCATAGATCAGCCAGTTTGGATGCTACGGGAACTAGTTTGCTGGAAAGGCGCGAAAAGGAACTTCACTCGCCGAAGAAACGGAGTTTTAAGGACCGGTTTACTTTCCGGAGGAAGAAAGCGAGCGAGTATGAAGATGTGAATGAAACGGCACCTGATAAGGAAACCTTGTCTCATATACAAAGAGTTCTTCGATCAAAGCTACCAAAAACGCTGCAGACTACAGTAAAGATGGGCCTAAGTTTTGACCCAATAACTTCTAAAGAGCGAAATTACAAAGCACGTGAATGTCCTACCCTTACTTCTATGTTGACTGGCAGAATCAGATCAAAGTCAACCCCTGGTAGCCCATTAATAGCAACTCGAAAGAGCAGGAGCAGGACAATGGGTGAAACGTTACCAGGACCGTCATTAATTATCTCACCTCCTTCTCTTGATGAAATTAGCAACACTCGTGATGAAAAGATAAGCCTTCTAGAAAATTTTATAAAATTAGGAAAGAGCACCTTGCGTCGATCAGACAGAAACAAGAAGGCACCGGAACAAAAGCGCCCGTCATTGCCTGGTATCGAAGTAACTGAACCGCTGAGTGATGAACATGCAAAGAAGCTAGAAAACATACTTGGGCCGGAATTTCGTGCAGCTTATGCAAGCCAGAGAAGCAATTCGATGCCTCTAATAAGAAGAAAGAAGACTGCATTGGCTAAGAAACTTCCTATTTATGCAAGATCGACATCTGAATTAGGAAAGCAGGAAAGATCTACTGGCGAAATGCCGGCTTTGGATATGTGGTCAAGTTATGACACATCGGATAGTGATTTTTCCCATCCTGGAAGAAGTCGTGGCATATCGTTTGAAAGTGAAATAAGTGATCAAGAAAAGCAATTTGAAAACGGTAGTCATGACACCAGTTTCAACAATGACGTTGAAAAAGAGCAGAAAATCGTCACAACACCCCAAATCTTGGTATTTTTGTCACCTCAGAGTACAAATAACAAAGGCGCAGCACAGGTGATATCAAATACTTCGAGCCAAAAGCCTAGCAACGAAGTCCCCATTTCGAGCTGTCCGAGAACACCAGATATGACACTTGACCAAAGCAATATTGAACGAGGACACGCTTTTGTCGAGAAGCAGGCAATAAAAGAAACCAATGGTACGTTTCAAAATGGCATGAATTCTAAAAGAAGTAACGAAAAGTTTTCGCTTAAAATTGAGACAAGGTATATTTCAGTAAAGGGATCTAGACTTTTGAAGTCCAGCCAGGAGCTATTGGCAGACTCCAAAGCAAGTCACGTGGATCATTCTATGTCTGGCAAGAAGACCAAAAAAATGGAATCTGTGAATAACAAAGACATAGGTTCAGACGATATTGACAGTAAGCACGCGGAAGTGAAACCGAATGAAAAGGAAGTTGAATTGGAAAAATTAGATATATTGCTGAAGGAACTAGAATCTTTTGCTGTTGACTAACTTTTACAAACTTTTTGACGATCATAACAAATAAATTAGGTGTATGTGATTGTTTGTTACTGTAGGTATTGTAGCATGTTTTCTAATATCAGTTTCTCAAAATCGTTAAATAATTTAAATGAATGTTGGCTGTTTCTTAAGAGTCGACCTGATCATATGATGGCTGCCGTCAGGAAATAGTAGTAGCACTCTTCACAACCATTCTTGTTCTGCTTTTCGAAGATAGACTCGTCGTTAACGCAACCCCTGCCCCCTAAAGACTCTGTGCGTTTAAAGAATGGTGATGCTATTTTAGAAAAGGTGACACTACCAGGCGAAAAATCAAGATGGTTTGCTATTTGTATGTTGGCTAATTGTTATCAACCATTTGCATGGCCGTAGCTAATAATGTTCTTAAGGGGGACTTTAGACTCGTGTCCCAGGTCTCGTGTCCCCTAAGGAGGACTTGCGTCCCCATTTTATTTCAATTTAAACTCTTTATACACAATATCCCTTCAGCTTACAAACCCAATAATAAAAACAAATATAATGCGGTAATTACATAAATACATATATAAAACCGAATCTACATTTTAGTACAACATTTAACGAAGCTAGAGTGAATTGAAATATCTACATAGCAGCTGCTCTACCAGGAAGTTGTGTTATAATAATTATGACAACTATGAAAATCCTTTGTTTTCCCGTATTAATTTTGCTTTATTGTTCTCAATAGTACCTTCCCTCTTAAATTTGTACTATGGGTGGTAAATAAGTCTAAGATTACAATATTTTAATGCAAATGCTTCAATGAATATAGCATTTATAGAGTCAGAATACAAAAAGGCCAGACTACCTAAAATAATATACCCTAGATCCAGCAATTAAACTTACACCAAACCCAAGTCATACAGTATATTGAATCTGACATGGATACCCCGTGTAACCAAGTGATTAGAAAGCGTAGTTATTTGATAAAATTGAGAACCTCTTCGTGAAAGCAGGGCAAATTAGGGCTCGTTTTGCATTAACAAGGATGCTGAGCACCAAATAGTTTCCCTTGGCATAGATGTTAATTGGAATGAATTCTGGATAGTTGTAAACTTTCTCTAATTTTGAAGGGGGGGATAACTTATTTGAGAAGCAAAATTCGATCACCAAACAACAGGACTGGTGCCCATAAAAGGTGGAGAAAAAATGAGCCGGGTAAAAAGTCATAAAAACATGAAATTATAAGAAGCTTGGTTTAAAGTGGTCTAATGCACAAAATATTGTAAAAAGGTTGTAGTCAACTACCTATTTGTTTCAAAGTCTGACAACATATGCTTGAAGACAATTATGTTGAAAAGGATGGGTTTATTCAATACTCAGTTCTAGATTGAGGGCTCGAGTATTCGAAATCGAGAGGGAAGCTAATCGTGAAATAACACTATTCACAATTACACATTTTTAATAAGAACTTCCAAAATGCTTAATTCTTGAAATGTTCTAGTTGTTGAAAAAATGTGTTAAAATGTTATTTTTATGTTCTCAATTCTTAATCATATGACGCAGGAGTGGACAAACTACACCCAGCCAGCCCGGGAGGGGAATTTTTGTGGCCCATGAACAAATGAAATTATATTTAAAAAGGTAATTTATGCAAATGGAAAACAATTAATTTTTTGGAATCCTAAACTTAACTCTTAACGCAACTTTGCCGTTTGAAGAATCAAGTACGAATTTCACACTCTTCAATTAATGCTGATATAGATAAACTTGACTTGAAACAATGTCAGATATTAAATTAAAACTACATGAATTTTCTTTCTGCATTGCTTTTTATTGATGCGTATAGTAATTTTGAAGAAGATTTTATCACAATTCTTTGTTGCATAAATATAGAAAATTAGCTTTTATTTTTGTAATTATCACCGTTCTTTGTTAACTTCCTTGAAGTGCAAAATATATTGAATTTATTACGTTCTGATCAGTCTAAGTTTTATGTAGGTTTATAAAAGGTACATTGTAGCTGCTCCAAAATCGAGAATTGAAGTTTTATCATTAATTCTGTCATTATAAGACGACTGTCGCTGTTGTTTGTATGTTGTTGATCTAGATAGCCTTTGGCTCGCTTGAAGAAAAGGCTTTTAGAGACCTTGTCTATTTCTGATATAAAGCATTCGTATTTTTAATATCCGTGTTCTAAAGTACCCGTTTTCTTATAAAATAGATATCGATATATATTGAGAAGGCTTGAAAAGAACATCCAATCTTCCGTTCATTTTTCACTCCAAACACCAATTTTCATCTACTATCGTCTTCGTCTGTATTTAATTTACGTCAACAAAAGCTTCGGAATGTTTTTATTATTTCGCCAAATTTAGTCTTACCGTTCTTAAGACCAAAGGGCATCCCAATTCCCAACGCTTGTAAGAAGTTCTTAATTTTGCTATTTTGAGGGTTGTTTTCTTATAAGCAATTTTTTAAAAATGGACGGACTATTTCTCTGCGAAAGCTGGAGAATCATTATTCTTAATAAGGAAATCTCTGATTGGAGTGAGCTATTTAAGAAATTTTATGAATGAAAGGCACTGCATAATATGGTCTCAACATGGTCTCAGCCAGTTCTGAGATCTTGACCTCATGATCCTTGCTTACTGTTTCATGCGCATGCGTTTCAAGTTGTGGCGCCAGGTTTCGAAGATGTTGTTGTTAGTTGTCGAAAGTTGAAAAATTGTGTGCCAATGCCAAGGCACGATAAAAACATTGTTCAAGATGGAATATTTCCAAGTAATTTAGGCTTTGACGAAAATGGCAGAACAAGGAGGCATTGACCTAAGAGAAATCGTCAGAAAAACAGGTAATTATTTGTTAAAGGGTAACTACTTCTAAAGACCTACCATATGCCTGAATTACAAAGTTCTTTTTTATCATCCAAATTCGATTAATCTATACCTTTCTGAATTTGACGACTTTTTTGGTTTGTAAAACTTAAAATAAGTATGTTTTTAGTAGTTTAGCAATTTGGTGCAATCTATTGATAGGTACTTTACAAAACGTACACTTTTAGGTATTATAACTATTATGTCATTAGGTTCAAATAGAAATTTTGAGATTTAGAGAATTTAGAAATTGGGCTATGAAAAGCTTATCCAAAAGAAATGTACATTATTTTCAGATCTGATAAAACCTTAAAGAAATGCCTTGAATTGGTTCGAACTTACACGTAATGTAATGTTATATGATGTTTGAGTTGACTGAGTGAACCACAAACCTTCAATAATTCATTTCCAGTGATTGCCACTTTGCTGCTATTAACAAAGAACAAAAAGCTATTAACACTTTTCTGTTGATGCAAAGCTATCATAGGGGGTAAATAATTAAATTTGATTGAAACGTGTTGGATTAGCTGTGCCTTGAATTTGCAAGTGTGGAATTTGATGTTTTGATGGAATTTCCTGTTTGTTGGAACTTGATCTACATCTAGAACTTTTTCTGTCAGGTCATCAAATAGAAGAAATACGTCTGAGAGCATTGGAAAACATACTGTCCAAACTAAGAAATCAAATAATATTTATTGAAGACTTGGTCCATCATAGAGAGCTGATTGTTAATTTGATGCAATGGTTTAACTATGAAAACCCACAAAAAGTTGTTGAAGTGTTACAATTAATTGAAAATCTTTCAAAGGTAAGAATTTCTCAATTTTGATGTACTTTTAGCACACCTTTTATTTGTAAGAATCAAGAAATTTTCAGAGCCTTGCATATCAGGTAATTCTTTGGAATAAATGTTTTTGTTCCCAATTATAAATGTATGTCTTTCTGTCCAAGGTCATTGTTAAGCTTCGCTACCTCTAAGAAACCTCTCTAAATTCTGTAGGAGAATCTAAATTCCAGTAGGTGAAAACAGATTCATCATAGCCAAAATATATTAGGAATCATGCTCCCTTTGTTAAAACAAACATATTTATGAAAATTTGCTTCTTGACTTGCTCACATTATATTTTCACTTGATATGCATCACAGCTCATATCAGTTAAGACGAGTAAAATATCAAGAGAAATTCCATTTGTCACAAAATACACAAAATGTCTTCATATTGATTCATGTGGAAATTTTCATATAATCTTCAGCATGGTGCAGCTGCCTCAATTTTGCAGTCTGTTGGTGCTATAGAATTCTTCTCAATGATGAGGCAAGATCTAGAAGATAAGGAGCACTTGGAACACATTGACAGCATTCTTAATAGCATATTTTGGGTTCAAGCAGAAAGGAGAGATGAGCACATTGATCATAATAGTTTGACAGAAGAAAATAGCTTTTATGCAACTTCTGTGATTCAGGATGGATCATCAAAAAGTGAGTCCTTGAGCCAATTTTTTAATGCTAGTTAATTAGAATGTGCATTTAGAACAATTGTCCATATATGGCAATTTTATATGCACTGTTCTACAAACATGCACTGTGGTGGCTACCTCATGATTCCAAGCCACATGATCAACCAAATGTCTGTACAAAGCTAATAGCATAAAATGCAAATAAACATAACCTAGGCAAACAAGAGGCATTCAGCTATGGATAGCCTCTGTGGTTCCACATTTTATGGCAGGTCAATTCAACTGGCCTAATAGTCGAGCTATTGATGGTGTCACAATCAACATAGTGCTTTATGCATAGACTGATGGCAAAGCAAACAGAAAAAGTAATAAATCAGTCTGAGCAAAGCTTTTTTGACTGAGGTATTCTGTCCTGTCTTCTTGTAGTTATTCTTTTTATTGATGATGACAGGGGCTGCTGGGGGGGGGGGCAAGGTGAGCAAGCTGTCACAGGGTCTTGAGGTCTAGGGGGCCACATAAAGTAATGAATCCCATTTCAAGAATGGAGTTAGTCAAATGTAGTAAAAGTATTCCTAAAACTAAAAAACGTTTTTAAACGATTGCAAGATATGACTGCAAGAAGTAACCTAGTATGCATTATAAGCTAATATGAAGGACATGGTCACATAAAGTTTCTGCTTGCTCTGCTTGCAGGGACCTCAACTGTCAGTTCTACCCCAGGGCCTCATATACCTCTCAGTGGGCCTGTTGATGACTATTGATTTTCATTCTAGCTTGCTCAGTCAATAATGTTCTTGCTTTGAAGGTGTTGTAATTTTAAGCAAGATTTCATATTTTTTTCTCTTTTCAGTTAACAAGGTAATAAATCAAAGTATGAAGTCCACTGAAAACAAAAGTGTCCATTCAAATTTGTCAACATTGGCTAATTCAGTGCCAAAAGATGATAGCAAAACACAGCTCTCTGCAAATTCTGTCAAATGGACAAGAAAGACACCAGACATTCAGGGTACAAAAGAGGAGGATGTTGATACAGGTAAGAAATGTTTAGCCCATTTTGAGAAGAATCAAAACTAACATCTGATGTGAGCTGTCACAAGTTTTGATCTTATTGCTCCACTCTTGCTTCATATTCAGCTTCATCAACTTGTCCCAAAACATCATTTTTATTAACATGGCATTGTTATTCTTCCTAAAAGAATTGTGTTTTGGCAAAATCGAATAGCTGAATGCTTATCAAAGTTTTGTGCACATTTCTCTTTTTCAACAACTACTTCCTTTGTTTTTTGGTCCAACCACTTACAAAATTTTATACTGATAAATCTGGGAAAAACCAACCTAATTTATTGCTTCTAAGTAGTGCATCTCTATCAATGGCTCTGCCTCCTTTACAAATATCTCCATAAGTACCCCCTCCCTCTTATTAGCCCCATACTATAGGGCATTGTAGTAGCCCCATGTTTACTTTCATTTGCACTCTTTTCTGTTAAAATTGTCCTATGTTTAGCATCCACACAATTTAGAGCAGTGGTGGGATTAAGGCTACTTATCCTTTATATCTAGGCATTAGCAATGCTCAAAAAGATTTCGACAAAGCTAATGGAGCCCCCTTCCTTTTCCGTTTGGTGGCCCCAAAGTCGAAATAGTTGATAATGTGAAGCATTTAGGGCTGCACAATAATAAAAATTTAGATTGTTATAAACGTACTCAGTATCCATGATCTAAGGTTTCTCGTGCTATTAGATTTCTTAAATTTTCCGATAGGCTTCTTCCAAAAGACACTCTCAGTAAAATGTATCAGGGTATTATTGAACGGCACCTCCACTACTGATTCTCAGCCTGGAGGGGGCATGTGGGGGACTAATTTGCAGATGCTGGAAAACCTTCAAAATTGTTCAGCTAGAACCATTCTTCATCTAGTGCCTTGATAGAATGTATAAATTGGCCTACTGTTGGAGATATGGTAAAAAGTGAGACAGCTTGCATGGTTTACAAATCGATAAATGACCTTGCTCCAGATTACCTCTAAAAAATGTTCACGAAAAATGCGACATGCAGTAAGAGATATTTGAAAAGCATTACAACTGATATCTGATTACAACTGATTACAACTAATGAAAACGGATAATGGCCAGCGAGCATTTTCATATCGAGATGCTAGAGAATGGAACCTCTTGGATTCGAAAACCAAGCAGGCATCCTGTTTCAAATTATTTAAACTGTTTCAAATTAAATTATTTTAAAAATACTTTAAAATATAATAATTTTTTAAGTTATTTATCATTTATTTGTTATTGTAATCAATTATACTACTTAATATTAATTTGTAAGATTTTACACATGGCTCCCTGAAAAGCCCTTTTCTTCACTGATGGCAAAGATGTGGATACAGAACTTAAAATGACATGTGCGTTCTCCCCTAAGTACATAGCTAGCTTTTATCCAACCATTCTTTGTACAATTTTTAGGAAGTTCTGTAGTGTCATCAGAATGGATTGTTCTAACATCAAGTGACAGACACATATTGTCAGTAACAGAAACTCGTCTACAGAGCCACAGTATAGAAATAGTGAGCCAGTCCTGTGAATTCTTCAAAGATGTACTGCTACAAGATTTTCCGTCCCATATTTTTATTCAGAGGCCAAATTTAGTTAAGGTTAGTTCTCTGCCTTTTACGTTTTATTAATATATTAAACAAGATGGATAAAGATGCATTTGTCCAAATGGAATTGCTGACAGGCAAATCATATTAGAACCCATTTAAAATCATATAGAGTTATTATGGTCATGAATTGTCGTTTTCTAATTGTGATTAAGAAGTTTTGGGTAGCGTTTTTGAAGTTTGGTTGAAGAATGTTGGCACACATATTTGGTTTTTACAATGTAATTACAAAAGGTTAACATATATCTTGACAAATTTCTTTTCAGGCCTAGCACGATTACTGGTCGCCATTACTGTGAAAAACTTACAGATTTGAGTAATCTTCTTATCGTGTATGTTTTAGCTTGCTGTGAATATATTTTCAATTTTTTTCTATTTGCGTTTAATGTTGTTTTTGGTCAATTCATTTTGTTAGAAAAACTTAAATGAAACTATTACAACAGCCATCAACTTTTGACTGTCCTCGACATTGCAGACACTGCTTGGCTTACTGGAAAGCTATGCTATAAAAGATGAAGATGTTGTTGCTATGTTGCTGGGCTGTTTGAATCAGTTAACGCTCGAGCTTTATAAGTCATCACTTCAAGAAACAAACCCTGATCTGCTGCAAATTTCGAAAAGTAAGTTGAACTCTTTCTCGTTAGTGTTTCAAAACAGTAATTACACTTCTGAAAACACCGAATTTCAGTGCTCCCTCAGTCCAACGTTTTTGTATTGCAGTCTTGTTTAGCAACGTGCATAACGACTATTAGTTTACCTTTTCATGTTGTCCCATAGTTAACGAAGTTTACAGTTCGACTGAGTCATCAGTTCACACTGAAATATCAAGCCTGCATAGCCGGACAACAAGCTTGAATGAAGTTGGAACTCCAGTAGAAGCAACAAGCTCAACTGATAGAGGTAAAGTGTCTTTATCATAGTTGTTTGGCAGATATAATCTCCCGTTTTTCCTGTTTCCCCTCAGACATTACAAGCCTAGAGTTACTCTGCATGCTACCACTTTTCTTTCTGTTGTTATGCAATTGGAACTTGTTTCCACTTGACCAATTCATCATATCTTTGCAGATTTTAAGTCAAATGGGGATAGTGATGCAGATGAATTTGAAAGTGAACTATTAACTGAAGCCTTGCAACAGACTCAGTGGAGCATATTGGATTATTGCCTTGAAGTAATTTCTAGTGCTATCAGCCTTTCACTTTTTTCTGTGCAAAGTGCTAAGCGATGCGATGACGTCATTTTGTTTCTAAACAATACGCTGGATGTTCTTAGTCTTTGCAAAGTCGATTCGATTTGGAACGGAAATAACGATAGAAAGGTTTGTTGATTTTGCGTTCATTTGGATGAATAAAAACTCATTTTGGAAAATTTTAGCATTCAAATCTGCTGCTTCAAAACACGGTTCGAGTTATACCCAACGTTAAGCTCAATTGCAAATCGAATCTTTAAAGCCGTCCGTCATAGCGTCCAATGTTCTGTCATGCGGGCCCACCGGATATATGTCATAGGTTTACAATATATCCTGAAGGTCCTGTGCGCCAAATCGGTACGGTAGAAGCACTTTAGACTATGTTTACATTGTGGGCATTGCGCACTGTGTCATTTTCGTTCTACAGTCTTTGAAAAAAGTCCTTGGAACACCAATCCTTGCGACCAATGAAAGAGTTTAAAGAAATAAAGGTTTCCGGCCGTAAGATACAGTAATATCCCCCCTCCCCCAAAAACAATGTTGGTTGAAAAGGCTATTACCTATCCTAGCCGATAAAGTGACATTGGGCGAATTTCAAGCTTTGAAACTGTTGTTATTCAACATTGTTTCAACAAGGGGGAAAGGGGGATGCTACTGAAGGTATACGAAATTTCAGCTTGGTGTACCAATACTTTTGGCAAGGATTGTAGTTAATGAAACGGACAAGTTGACGCTTTAAGCGGGAACCAAACGATTGCGTATGATTGTTGTTTAAAGACAGTAGACATTGTAAGCAGTTAGCCATGACAACCAGAAATCGGCAGACGTTCCATCATGTTCCCCAGTTTATACGGGATGACGGAAAGAGATAACTGCCTACTGTTCCGCTTTTTGGATCACTTTCAAAAGTGTACCAATTTAAATCATTCCCATGTAAATGGAACTATTGAACGTCTAAATCGTTGGAAAAGAACTAGCGGGAACGGTACGGAATCATTCCGTGTGCATCCAGCCTTAGATTCCAGTTTGGTATCGCTTGCTCCGCCTCTCTTATTTTTCCCCCTCCTCGGTAATCAGCAGTGGTTAAGGAGAATGGAAAGCATCAAGTAATTATTCGAAAAAATGTTCTTCATGAAATAATCTTTGAAAGCCTCAATTCTATTAGAAACTAGAACTTCATGTGGTGTAGAATTATTCAAATAAGGTCCATCTAAGTAAGCTTTCCCTACCTATCGATCGAACCCTAGCAATGATGACGCTTGACTTCTCCGTTTGATGAACATTGAATGCTTTAAATTTCTATTTGAAAGCTTTTTGTTTTAGGTTTATGACGTCATGACTTGTTTGCGCCACATCAGCGACCTTATTCAGCTTTGTCTTGAAACAAAAGATCATTTTGTATCACAGCTAGAGGCTGCAACCGACATTGCAAGCATCTTCAGTTTCCTGGCTAACTCCGTGGCTATATCAATTCGTTTTGTCAACCTTTGTGTACCACCTGAGCGGGTAAGTTTATTTGTAAGTTGTAGCTGAAGGGCCATACTTGCATTTACAGCGAATGCGGTGTGCAAGTGAATGTATGAAAGTTAACAATTCGCAAAAGCCTCTGTTTCAAATGATCTCTGTTTCAAGTTAATTTCGACAGAGTTTCTACAGTAGGAACTATGAAACAAGAAAGAGTAGAGTTTATTTGTGTATTATCAATAACAGATGTGCAAAGGAATTATTACAAGACCAAGATAAATTTTGCCTCTTTTTCACACTTTTGTACAAATCATGTACGAAAGCTAGTGAACTCATTTATTTCATGTTTAATATATTTGTACGCCGAGAAATTTCAATAATGATCAAGCCTGTATAGATACAACGCAAAATATCTTGCAACGCTGGACAGAAAGTTCTGAGATTTTGCAAAACATTTCTCTGTTTAATGTTCTCATGACTGCTTTTAAAATAACCACCCAAACCTTGGTTGGGAGAGGGGGTTAAGCTGTAATATAAATGCTTGCTACCCATCTCATTCAAGCAGTTTTCCAGGATTGTAGTTTTGAAATTTCAAAACTATTTTTATGAATTCATTGTTGTATAAGAGCAAGCATGCTACTTCTCGGTTTCGAGATAATCTCAAAAGTGCTCTTGTTCCAGGTATTCGAAGCGGTCCCGGAAAGCCTTCTTGCCTGTTTTAAAAAAATCTGTGCAGACGAAATCCTTTCTCAATATTATCCAGCTATCAGGAATTCGCTTCTTGCTATATTGAGAAATGCAGAGGAAAACTTCTACGAAAACTTCAAGTTAGCGGCCTCTGTTATTTCATCAATGAAAACTGTGAAAGGTTTCGTGGAAGAAGCTAAAAATATGGTAATTATATATTTTTTTCATCTTCTATATAAGCAAATATAAACAAATATTGTTATTGATTGTATTTTTATACTTTCCTAGTCATTCAGTCCATTTGATATAGACAACACTGAGCTCTGAAAATCTATGCAGCAAAGTATGAGACTCAGCAGTATTACAATATTGCAATATGATTAACAAGTTTAACAAGTTTAAAAATGTTGCCAGGTGGACGAGGTTGTCTCTTAGATTCTCTCTTAGATTGTCTCTTAAACTTTCTCTTAGATTATCTCTTAGATTGTCTATTAGTTAGATTGTCTCTTAGATTGTAATCCAAAGCATCGGAATTGTCATTTATTTTCTTTGAAAACGGATCGCTACCCTTTTAATATTATGAAATCGTAGACGTAAGCAGCCTCCATCGTATTTTTCGTTTCGAATGTTTGCATATCATTGTGACTTTCTTCCTTGGTCTTTTTGTTTCTACGTACCTTTGTGTTATTCTAGCTTCAGTCTCTATAGATTGATGTACATATAGATTGATTTTTTATTTTCAATGTGTTGTATTGATATCGTTTTGTGTTTTGCTTTGAAGGAATCAAGTTCGAGCCCAAAGCTTATCAAACTTTTGGATATTTGCCGCGGTTCACTGCCCAGTGTCGGATTTCACCGCTGTGAGGCCTTCATCAGCTCTTCTCTGAGACTTGTTAGTCTCCTTTATAAGTCACGTGATCAACCTGATGACGTGATGCGCAATGCTAAGGACACACTTCTACGCTTGCTGGCGCATGAAAATGAGCAAGTCAGAGCCATTGCCTACCAATCGTGCTTGGAAATCGTAACGGTTTGTGATTTTTTAACACAATTTGCGCACTTATTAAGTCGATTAATGAAAATGGTGAAAAGGACCCATTTTTAGGTTAGGTGCAAAAGGTGGAATGAAAGAAACCTAATCGACAAAGGATGTAAGGTTTCTGACATTGATGATGGGGTTGAAAGATTTAAGAAAATAAATTAAGGCCTTCGATTTTGAAGGTGAACAAGACGTAGAGATGTTCTCCAATTGCGATACGACCAATTGGATATACAAATCTTAAAAATATTATGCTAATGCAGACTTTATTGTATGGTGATAAAAACTTACCCGACGAACTCAATAAAAATATACTCCTGCTAACACTGGAATTTATCCAAAAACCTGGTCGATTCGATCAGATGCAACCAACCACCCTCTCCCATTTCGTGAAGGTGTTCTTTTTTCCTTGTATTTTTTTCTTTGTTTTTCTTTTAGGCCGTGTATTTAACATCTGAGTGTTGATTTTCATCTCTGTGTCCAAATGACCCCGGGGTAGTCATAGCCTTCTGCTCCCCAGGGTATCCTAAAAGTAATAATTTTGTGTTTATGTATAGTTGTATAGTAATTTTGTGTTTTGCAATCTTTTAATGGATAAATATATATATAAAAAAGAGAAATTTTGCAGTTTGCGCTGCAAGACATGGAATGTTATAAATCAATTACTGACTTACTTCATGAAGTTTCAAACATAGACATTACTTTTGAACCATTTGAGCCAACGTAGGCCTAGACCGGCCTACTTCTGGGTGGCTCTATCAAACCGTATCTAGCCTTTTTTGAGTGGCTTTAAAAGATTCTTTGGGTTTCGACAATTTGATGCTGCTTTTATTTGCTCCTTTAGATTCTTTACTAATTTCCAGTCCTCTACCTTTTTTTCAAGTAGACATTAAACCTCTGATTCAAAATATTTGTCGCTTTTTTCCAAAGGGTGCAATGAGTGACAGTCATGTGACAAATCCACTTTCTACTGCCTACAAGCATGCACTGTTATTGATTGACACTGATGTCTTGTACGAAATTGCTGCTTTTGGATTGGAAAGTACCAATAAGAAGGTATGAAATGTTTTGATCTCAACTTTCGTTTGTTCACATACCCACGACAATTATACTGATGCAGTTTTTGTAATATCAATAGAATTTTGTGATGCATTAAAGAGACTTCATTATTTTCAAAAAGCTTATGTTTTTATTGCTTTTATTGCTTTACACAAGATTCATGGCCAAAGTCAATTAATATGACTTTTGGTGGTGATTCATATTCAATGACGCATTCATTTCTAATAGCCTGCTTCACAATAGTGAGGTTTTAGCTCTCAACAGTGTAACTAAATTATAGCAAAAAGCACATAGCAATTTGTAAAATCTGATATATAATCGAAATGATTTTGGAAAATGAATATTCTTTCGTTTCGTGTATAAGAGTAAAGTACAATACGGAATTTCTTCTTCAAAACATCAAACTAATCGCTAAATTTTTGCTTCAACTGAAACCTTGAAAATTGGCGTTTTCGAGCCATGAACTGTCGTTTCTAAGCCCGTTCACTAATAATTTCGTTTTGGAAATTTGTCGGCTTAGGCCCTTGGCAACTGTGAGCCGCCATTTTTAACTACCGTTTTCATCCTTTGTACCTTATGTGTAGTGTTGAAAGTAAGAAGAACACTATATCACCTTAGCCTTATAGAGTTGTATTTATGTTCTATAGTTTTTCCCTCTAGACGACATTAAAGCTTTTCTTGCTGCGCTTTTGAATGTCTTCAAGTATAGATGACCTTTGGGTCTTTATTTTGATTGATTTATTTCACTGTCTCCATTTTCGAAACCACACACTTTTCAATCTTTCACAGATAAAAAACTATGCTGCTAATATATTAGTTGCACTGCTATTTGGTCGCTTGAACATGCCAGCGCAGGTATGGCAAAGCCTCATTCACAGTATTAGCCCTACGCTTCCAGTGCTTCAGTGCTTTGCTTCCGCTGACAAGGCTTTGGAAAGAGGCCTAGCAGCAATAGCGGACGCTACGAATACCATGCTGACCGCAGATGGCCGGAGTTACTTACTGCCTCCTCTTGAACAGCTGAGAGCCTCGTTGCGATTCATGTTTGTAAAGAATGAGCACATACGGGCCAGAGGGTTCTCTAGTGTCATCTGGACGCTCACGCAAGAAGACAACAAAGAAGGCAAACCAGCCAGGTTTGATAATGCTTTTAAAATTTTGTTGATTCTCAGAGTTAATTCAAAGTTTTGATCCAAATGGACTCAATAGCTATCATTTGCTGCAGATTTCCTCCCAGTTGCAAAGCTCCAAGGTGTAATTTGTAAGATTATAACTTAATATACTATATTTAGGGGGTCAGTCGCTATTTCATGTCATATTCAAAAGCTCTACTGTGTCAAAAGAGGTGATACTATTGAGAACGTAGCCGGGTTAAATGCGATTCTTCTTTCAGCTTTGGAGCTTCTGCAAAAAATGTGTGCTGGCAATGCAAATTTTAGCGATTTCATACATGTCTGAACTATTTCCGTTGTGCCAAACATTCTACTTATTCCCCACCACCCAGATAGTGGGTAGTTACTAACAAGGCACACAAGAAAATGAAATTATTACTTGCAAATTTCAATTTCGCAGTGATCTCATCATCCTATAGTTTATCCTTTTCTTGTTATAGATATCGACATGAAGCAGTCGAAAATGCCGCGGATATGTTTCTTGTTGGTCCAGTATTGTCATCAAAGTATCAGCAGGCTGGCACGATACCCACTGGTTTTGCAGGCTCAAAACTCGAGCATCTGTGGGATGTGTTTGTATCCGAATCTTTAGAAGAATCTCTAAGAGAATCAGCTGCTGAACAATTGGCTATACTGGCGCAAGGTTGGCTTTTTTATCTCAAAACACCCTTTCTCAGTTATTATTTTAGTAGATATCGGAAGTAGAAATACTTGCAAAATTATTTTGCAATTCATTTTCAAATGTAAATATTAAAATTGAATCTGTCAAACTCAATTTGAAAACGTTCAAAGCATACTGTACGCATTTATAACTGAATGAAGTTTTACTAATCCCTATGCACATTTTAATTGGCTTTACCAAGCACACTGACTATAAGCAAATGGAACCTTGGCCTAACTCGGTGGTCCTAAACGAGACAAAGCTTGACCTAAAGCTGCACTCGCAAACTTTCTAATTGTTATCTGTTTTCCACCAAGCGAATTTTATTTATGAAGCGACATGTTTTCTAGGTAAAATTAATGTTAATGTAAAATTAATCGCTCATTAATGAGTTGTAGCTCACTATCATGCAGATGACAGTACAGACCATAAATCACAATCAGATTGTAAATATAATTCATTTGCGAATGTGTCCGAATCTACATTATTGACGTTGCTGGGGAATCTTTGGTACCACACAATACAGGCTGTCATACCTTCGTTTGAATGATGTTTCCTTACTTGACCTTCCCTGTGCTTTGCGAGAGCTTGTAAGAGCTTTATTTTGCATTTTTGTAGATACCAGTCTACACAAACAACTCCTCGACCAAGATGCTGATAAAATTCTGGTTGCAAAATTGCATTCTCAAATCAGGAAAATTGGTTCATATTCCTCAGTGCCAGCTGTAAGTCAAATAGCTTGACTTTTAGATTTTCCTAACAACATTTTAACAAATGATGATTTGCTGCAAAATTTTCTCCTGCAATTGTGAGGCGGTGATATTTACACATGTAGTGAAACAAGTTTCTATTTCCCAGAGGTCTATAGTGTTTGAAGTCGTTATTCGACGATTCTTACTCCTGTTTTTCAAAAAACAACCAAAGAATTCCCAGTTTGAATTCGTAGCCTCCTATCCTTGCAGAATGCAAGTTGTTCGTTTCTAAGGATTTTTGTTAATTAGAATTTGGTATACCGTAAGACGCAGATGATTACAAAAACACGATGACAGAACGGGATCAAATTTCACATGACGAGTAAGACAGATTGTAGTCTGACAATGTACCCAAAAGGGAACCTCGCTTCACCACAGTCTGGTATTTTCTGCTTTTTACTGTTTAATGTTTTCAAAACATAGTAATTTAAGCTTGGACTGATATTCTAGTAATATTTTGTCATTTGATGCAATAGGCCTTTGATGCTACCTATTCAAATCCAACGCTTAGGACATGCATATTTTTAGAAACATTTGTTACCGGTCCTGGTTCAACTGAAATGAACATTGTTACCAAACTGATACGGATTTGTCCCAAGATCTCTGAAATGTTCTAACTTTGAGCGAACCTCTCTATGTTTGCCGCAACATAAACATATCTGTACCTATTCTCTGTTACTTTTGAATACCAGTAAAGCCTTTATTTTTTCATTTGTGCAGACTCCTGGCCTAAAGATGATAGTTTCCTGTGTCACTATATTGAAGCATATTGTACAGCACAACAGCACAATTCGCCATGCGTTGGCCGTGGACAAATCATTGTACCTTGATATTTTCAAATGCAGACTGATATTTCACGAGGTTGAGTCAGTGCATTTTGAAACGAGTTGCCTTATCGCATATCTTGTATTTGATGAAGTCATCAAGGGAAAAAACAATTCCCTTCCAGCTTTGGTTGCTAAAAGGTCAGTCTAGATTCATCAAGTTTTTCAAAGTAGATTATATAAAATTAATAGAATATATTAAATGTTTTTGTGTTGACCGTGAATAAGACTTAACAAACTGACCTGAAAGTTTACTTCCTCTTCTTTTTATTGACGCAAATGCGCATTGCCTTTTGCTTTGATTTCTTCGTATAAGCTTCAATTTCCTGGACATTTTGATGGTTATTCAAGCTATGTTCGAGAATGATCTTTCAGCTGCTATTTTTAATTGTGTGGTCAAATGCTTGCTTGCTAAAAGGGATTGCTTGCTTGCTGCTTGCTTACTTACAGTTACCGGTCCAGTCTATAGGGTCCAGTTACCGGTCAAGCCAATTTGTAAATGTTGAACATATTTTAAATTTAACGTATTATTATAGATGATATGTTTTTTTGAAACTGTTACCTGTCTGCACGAATGGCATGCAAAGTAGTAAAGGATACCATTTCTATTTACATTGTCGTTTAGTTTTTTTGTTCAGCTTAGCAACAGTATCAACCTAAAATCCTCTAGATAATTTAGAAGGTAATAAAAGAGATCAAACTCTTCCTACTTGATTTGATTCAAGCTGTGCGATGACAGTGTATTGCATCTGTATCCAACAGAGCATATTACATCAAAATATCCTTTCTTAGGTATGCATTACCACTAGATCTGCCAACATACGAGATATCAACAGAACACAGAGAAAAGCCTTGCTATTTAACTACGGATCAAATGCATATTCTGAGGGATGAGCCATTCTCTTCAATGATTCGGATCAGCTGGAATGTCATAGAGGCAGGAGGTCCGGCTAATGTCCAGGTTGAAAGTAGCAGTGAATGTTTGCGGAAGTACGTCGAATCCTAGTAGTGCCCTTCTGATTTATTAGTTTGTTGGATATGTTTTTAGTTATTTACCAGCCTAATGTTAAATAATGATAGAAGTCATTTCTGATAGAGATTGTTTATACTAGTGAGTTTTTCTTCATTCTGGTTGCAGCTCCAGTCAAGCCTTGAAATTAACAGATAATGAAGCGAAACTTCTTAAAGATGGTTTGCCGCATGCTCTCATGAACAAGAATTCAGAGATTTTGAAGAAATCTGAAAATCTAGGAATGATCATAAAAGCAATTAAAGAGTTAAAGAAAGAGATCATGGCAATCATATGCCAACTCAATGCATATCCCTGCACCGGGAGAAAGGATTTTTTCAGTATGCATTATGCAGACTTCTTTGCCACTGTGCAGGATCCAAACTTATTTAAAAGGTGAGCTTTTTTGTAAGCAAACTGCAGCAAAAATGGCAGAATTCAAGAATTGTATCTAGCCCCTACTTCATGGCGTAGGCACCTGGACTTTGCCTTCAAATAAATGATTAAATACTTTGCATTCAAATAAATAGTTTATTGTCAATCTGGCAACAGCATTGATAACGGAAATTATTTTGAAATCCACTACAGAAATCCACTAAAATTAGTACTTATTTTTACTTAGATTCTTAATGCTTTTTCTTATTGTAATTATTATTCTAAATGTAGGTACTACCTATTTTTACTTAGGCTTTCTTTAGTAAATATACACAGTCTGCAAATTAAAGATTTAAGGTCCCTGCCCCTTAACCCCCGATTTTCTTTGTGGTATTTCTTCCGAAAGCAGTTTAATCAGATGATGCTGTAATAAGTAATTTCCATGCTAGTCATCAAGCTCTGTTTGTTGCATTAACTTGTGCAACAAAATCCAATTGAACTTTGTTTTGGCCCGCTTGTAGGAGTTTTTAAGTTTATAAAGGAGCATCATTGAAAATGTGTATCTTCATTGTTGCTAATATCAAGTCTGTGATTTTTGCCGTAGACTGTATCAGATCTTGGACAAAAAGACGTCGTCTCTCCACTACCTTTTTAAATTTTGCCAGCTTCTAAATATGATTGATACGAAATTGTCACTAGCCACAACAGCCGATATACTGAGACCTCTTCTCCAATATGGTGGCGATCCCACTGGAGTTATCTCAGGTTATGTTCTACTCCGAACACAACAAACAGAAACAAGCAGAAGTGAAGGAGAAACATACGACTTGAAGAATGAGGACAGGTATTATTTGCAAGCATGCAAAGAAAGAAAATTTCCACACTCTTCTTTTAAATGTTGTTTCATTTTAATCTTGCCCTTTGCAAATCGTACAGATACCTAAGAAATCGGGATGATGTAGCTGCAGCAGCGCTGACTCGTAATAACCGGCTGTTCAAAGCCTGGAAATGTTCAAAAGCGAACAACTCGTATGTGTAAAAGGATATAAAAATTCCTTCAGAATGAGTATGCTAGAATTTGTTTCATTTAACAATAGTCATCCTGTTTTTCTATATACCCTGATATATAAGCTGCAGGTATTACTTTTCGTTGAATACGTGTCCCTTCCCCCATACACTGCGTTTTATCATTTTTATGATATTTTCATAGGTGGTTTTATTTAGGCCTTCTTCCTCCGTTTGTTCTACCAATGTTCGTTATTTTTTCCAGGTCTTTATTCAAAAGCATTCTTGCCCTGGTCTCTCTGCTGAGTATTAAACTAAACGCTGGTGATGGATCGCAACAACTTCATGGAATAGGCGACTTTATCTTACTGGTTGTGCAAAGCCTAAGTAGGGTTGGCTCCACAAGCTACTATGATTTACCTGTTCTTGAAATCACATTAGACTGCCTATCCCATATCACCTACAGAAAAGGCTGGAGTTTGCAGTTTGCAGGCAGTGGAGAGGAGCTTTGCAACCTCATGGCTGATCTTTTTATACAGGTAAATATTGACAATTGCGAATATAATGTGCTAATGATGTGGAAACCTTACTTAATGAAGCCCAATTTACATGTAATGAGAGGTTTATGAGTGGGGTGAAAAATGACAGTGATAACCGAAGGGACGTATTTCGATACAAAAGGCTAATTAAAGCCCAGCGCACACGGCAGAATTTCGTCTTTGAAAAACGAAGATTTTTGTCTTCACATATTGCGCACATGACAGAATTTCGTCTTTGAATCAAAGACAGGAAACTGCTTGGCGGGAAGTTTCAAGAGAACACCTTCGTGTGATCAAAACTTAGTCGCTTATTGGCCACCGAATATGTCTTCGAAAGATTTTTGTCTTTTGGATCCGAACACGGCAGACTTTTGTCTTTGTCTTTCAAAGACCGTCTTCGAAAATTAAACATGTTTAATTTCGAAGACTGTCTTTGAGAGACAAAAATCTTTGTCTTTGACAAGCGCATACGGCAGATTTCTGTATTTGGAATGCTAAAAACAAAAATCTTCGTCTTTCAAAGACAAAAATCTGTCGTGTGCGTTGAAGATGTTGATATGATTGGCCATCAACCTGTTTGGCTATCAAATAACAATTATTTTCACATCTTTTTTCATCTGCTGTTTACTGTGCTATCGTATTTTCAAACAAGAAAGAGTTTTAAGTAGTAGCTTTTTATTACAATATCTTCTAGATTCTGCATTCATTCCATGTCGATCGGACTGGTGTTTCTACTTCATTCATGGGAAAAGGAGTTATTACCAAAGTCGCAACGTGCCTGTGTCATGTTGCAATGGAAACCCAGGCATTCTGCAAAGATAAGGTATTTGTGTATTTGCAACCATTAATCAACTTTCAAGACGGCAAATTTTAGATACCCCAAGTTTTAACCATCCTATTGTTCTACCTCAAAAGTAACTACCCTATCTTGCTTCCTAAGTTTTGATTATCCTATCGTTCTACCCCAAAAGTAACTATCCAATCGTGTTCCACAGGTTTTATCTACCCTGTCGTGCTCCCAAGTTTTAGAGAACTGCGAACTGTGAACTATTTGATGTAATCTAACGAGTTTCTCATAAGTTGTCATGATGTCTTTATTTGTTCATCAGGACTGGACGGCTAGCTGGATACTACAAGATAACGCACAAACGTTTGATGGGGTATTAGAGAATACCCTTCCCTGGCTGTTACCTTTATTAACCGATAGAAGTTTAGATATAAGGTGGTGTGGTTGGGCCTTATCAACGGCTCTATTAAACGGTTCTGCTGGTGCTGAAAGCGTTGTGAATGAATTTCAAATTTACCCTGGTGGTGTTTGGGCATCTGCTGTGGGAGTGATACTTGATAACCATGAGAATTCACTTATCAGGAGCCAGGTATGTTTTTCACGCGACTGCACTAACATGCAAAAGTCAGAGCATGCAGAAGTATATCATTTTTTAAAGACACTCTGTTCTTTCTATAAAAACATATATAATATGATCATCGAGAAAATTATAATGAAAAACATGACCACAATTTAGGAGAAGAGAGAATAGACGTTATGTTTTTTTTAAGTTTAACCTCATTTTAACAAAACAGATAAGGTTTTATCAGCTAGTCAACCGTACTACTCAAGATTCAATGCAAAAATGTTCTTTAGTGGTCTTAGACACATTTCATAGTTTGTGGTTTTGTAAAAGTTTATTTTTAAATAGAAACTTCGAGAAGATAAGGGCATCGAGCTTCGGCCGAAGTTTCTACAATCACTGCCAAAATTACTTGGAACACCTAACACTTTGCGCTGTGCTTTTCTATTTTTCATTTGTTTTCTTGAATACTACCACTTCCGCCCCCCTTTCCCCCAAAAACAATGTTGAAAGTATAGAAAAGTATCAAACAATCCACAAGAAAAAGCGTACTCCATAACCCCTTTCTTTTTTCTATAGTAAATCAACATTGTTCCTAGGGGGTGAGGGGGATGGCTGAATTTGCCTTTGAAAACCTACGTTAGTGTTCCAAGACTTTTGGCAGTGATTGTAGTTCTTATAAAGAAAGAGTGCATTTCATACCTCCTGTAAACAATTACTGTAACACGCGATTCTTATGTTTATTGTAATGAGAGAACTCACTGCTTATTTTAGGAGCCGTTATGATATGTTCATAGGTGCATGATGTTTCAGAGGTGACCTTTAGCTAAAATAAAAGGATGTTAGCAAATTCTCTCAAGTCTTTTGTTTTTAGGGTAATTTATGTGAAACAGTGCCGCTAGTCTAGAAAAAAAAACAAATCAGACAGATAGAGGAAGTTTAACATAGCTTATGATGAAACATGTTACTCCTAATTTTTTTCATTATAACATTTCAGGCATGTAAATTGATTGTAACGTCTTTGTCAAAACTTAAACGTTCCAAAGAATCAACGTCTTATGATTTTTGGGAAAACATGGTTGTGCAAGATACACAGAGCCAGGTAGGGATGATGCTATTTGTCGTCAGTTAAGTTAAAGTATCCTATTTTTGCTGTATGCTCACTGTAGTTCATTGAAGCAGCCTTCTCGTAAGGGAAATCTAGTTTAGTATAACTATGGAGTGATCTAAGTTTTTTACATTTTGTATCACGTAAGAATACGAATATAGATTAAATTTTACTCTATCAATCTAAATCAATAAGTAAACATGCTTCGATTTTGTCAAAGTGTGGTGACTCTGCTTAGGCCTGTTACCATTTTTTCCTTCACATTCATTCCTGCACATTATCATACCGCAGCACAGACATCCTCTTTGTCACTCTTAATGTCACAAATTATTTTGCATCTACTGTTTACTTTTTCTTTGCAGCACAATTCATTCCAATCCATGCCACCGCCATTTGCTTTTCCCTACATTACTGGTGTTATTTTTCGCCTAATTAGTATCTTTATTGTATATAGCTGTGTTAACTTGTGTAATAAGTTCAGTATAGTAATTTGTATTGCAACTTTTCATGTAGAACATTCCACTGCATCTTAATTTTTGCATGTTCATGTTCAACATTACTAAAGCTTTTTGTCTTCATTATTTTTCATGTACCATCTGTTAAAGTTTATTTACGCTACCAGAAGTACCGGGAGTCTATATAGTGCTAAACTTTCAAGCTTGCTTGAGTGTTTCAACCTGCTTGTGAAGTTTTGGAATAAAAATAGAGTCTATTTACTCGTATATCGTATATCAGGACTTGCTGTATTGCCTATGCTTCTGTCTTTGTTGTAGAAGTCGACGTTTCCTTTGTACAAGTCATATCTTTTGTACTGATTGTTTTCATGCTTATGTAATCCAATCTTTTACAGACAAACATCACTGGCTTTCCTGCATTCCTTCTTCTTTTGGATCATTTTAACTTCTTCAGCAAAATCAAAGATATTTTGATTTGGGAATCAGCTACTAAGCACGCTTCCACGCTGCAATCTGCATACCAGAATGTTTCTACGTCATGTTCCTCACAAAGAAGTGACACTGACCAGGACTATGAACGCATATCTGACTGCAGTCATGATGACGAAAGCTCGGACAGTGTTCCCACAAGTGTTACTGCCTCGAATACTAAAAGCAGCATCACGGAGGATGCCAAAGGTTCATCTTCCGAATGCCTGCTGTTGTCATCCATAGACAGTTTATCAGATTCATCCCAACATCATCAAAGCGTTTTCCGGTATGCACTTTCCATTCAAATTTAAGCTGTTAAGAGAACCTGGTCGAGTTTCTAATTGCAGGTTCCTTCTACGTTACCAGATATTCTCATGGACATCCAGTAGGTTACTGCTCAAATGAATAACTAATTTCAATGGTATTTCTAACCTTGTAGTGAATCACATGTCGACCCTTTAGCCATTTGCTAACAAGCACGCATTTAGAGAATGACTAATAAAATTGTCAAATTTTTTGTTCAGATGCATATAGATTGCTTAAAAGATGAAAGCGATTTAAGAAATCCTTGCGCTTTTTGGATCTCTGAATAATTTCACTGTTTTATCACCCACTTGTGAATATTGCAATTGTAACTAAATATTTAGAAACTTTCTAATTAAGTACTTTTGTGTCTGGTTGTTAAATAGGGCCTGTCTGATCGAATTCTTGTCTCAAAATTATGAGCTCACTTCTGGCAGATTAGGAAGTGGAGCTTAGATTTACGAAACAGGCCAGCACTCCTTTTTAAATAGATATGATGATACCTCGGATTGAGTATCCCTGAGCAATCATTCTGTGACACCCCTTGACCTCCTGTGCGATGTTAGTTGATATACAGTACGATTTCTGGTAGTCGGTTACTTTAGGTGGTATCTCCTTTGACGATATTTTTACTCAGCGAATGGCTGTGATCGTTTTTAGTCTCAAGGGTTTTCCCCCTAAGAAATCGTTGTAATCTTTCAGTTTTAGTGTATCAAAGCAAGAAGAAAGAACGGTGCTGAGGACAATCGATAATCGGGGTCAATGTAGCAGCACAAAGCTAAGGTCATCTTTGTTTCAGCTCATTGGCATGTTGGCTGAATGTGATGCTGAAAATGTGATTTTAAGCCTCCAGACGAATGGCCTGCTTGAAATGATTACAAGGTACAGGCATAAATGTTCTTCGATGGTTTGAAGAGCATTTTTTAGTGTAATCTGCCCTAAATATTGGCCCTTTTAGGCTATTTATTCCACCCACAATTTGCCAAAAATCTTGATCGGATGGAATAGTGACAAAAAGAATAACATCTTTGCTATTGATGAGCTGTATACTTAAGCGATAATAGGTGTTTTATGATTATTTGTATAAACAAATTAGTTAAGTTATGTATTTCTTTTTTGAAGGGTAATGCCGGAAGCTTCTTATCATAATATTCATGGCTATTCAAATAATTGTTTTAATTCATTTTAACTTACTGGATCTTTGTTTATAACTTTGTATAAAGCAGCATCTATTGTAACTGGAATTGCTAAACCTAATACATTTGTTTGATTTTTATTGATAAACAGCCGCTAGGACCCTTCTCGATCAATCTTTAAAGGTTGATTCCTTTCTTTTTTGTAGGTTTATGGATGCAGGTTTTGTTGCCAAGTACACAACTCGCTTGTCGCAAAGCACGCCAAAGACTTCGAACTTAGCCCAAAGCTTTCTAGAAAATGCGGAATTAGCCGGGAATATTCTCAAAGTTGTCAACCTTTTAATCTCAAATCACAAAGCATTTGCGTTGAAGTTGCAAGGCGATGTGCAGTTTTCTTCACAGCTTATGTCACTGTTTGAAATAGATGCAGAATTTACGTCGAGTGAGTATGATAGTCTTCAATCGCTGCACAGTGTTTACCCTAATTTTTCTAAATGTTACTAAATTAAGACACGTACTGCTTATGATTATGTGAGAAAGTTGCAATGAAAGCTCTCTGGTTTTCTGCCTTAATAAGAGATTATGGTGGCAGTGGTTGCCCAAGCTACTGCAGAGTGGGAGGTTAATGGGGTGACCAATGACACAACGCCCTTTTAAGACCATGCCATTTTGAGACCACGCCCTTTTGCTGCATTTCTATGCTTTAAACTAGTTGTATTATCCTTTTGCAAATCTTAAAAGATTATGAACTACATCTACCCAATGCATTTTTGTCAGTTTTTGGTAGAATTGTTTAGACCATGTCTCGGCAAAAGTGGGGAGGGGGTAATTTTTTTATATTTTTAATACATTCACAGTTGCATGATGATCGCATTAAAGCGTGAAATTCGCAGTAGCAAATTGTAACCATCCTGTTCTATATACTAAAAGCGTGTAATACATTTATATATATGTGTGTATATGATGAATAGCTCTTTAAATGATAAAAGTAACATTGTTTGTAGCAGCTTTGTACCAGTTTTTTCCTCGTGAAGCTTCAGAAATCAATGTCATTGCGAGTTTGATACGATTGTAGCATTATTTTTTGAGAGGTTGCAGTCTTTTCAGTGTAATAAGTATTAAAATATTGAATATAATGTGACCGTTGGTGACAAGCCTTAGTTTATTTTAGAAAGTCACGTCAGTTGGGTACCAGTCACCAATGAGAGGGGCTTTGCTTTATAGGATCGCTTTAAGGATAGTGATTCAAAAATGACGACATTTTCCCTGTCAATCAATGACCTAAGTTTGGTTATCTCCCAGGTTCATCTTTAGCAAGTCAAGCCCTCTACAAGGTATGGAACGAAGCTCTCAGACTTTTGATCAAGATATGCTCACGTGATCAGAGCATGGAACAAATGAAAATCGAGGCTTACGTCATAAAAAACCTCAGTCTTGTTGCAGGTTTGTTTCTTTCAATGGTAGACATGGCTTCACGTTACTTAAGATTCAAAATGATATGCGTATGTCCTCCTAATGAACAAAGAAGTATTGAATGATACAACTCGAAATTTTACAATAATTATCTCAATAATGTTAATATTGTATTCATACTAACACAATAGTATGCATACGTAGCAAGGATCTAAGATTTACCTCCACAAAACCTGATACATTTACTCCCGATACTCATTTTTACTTTTGATAATTTCCTTGCTATGTCTCAGAGAATGCAATGTATCTGTTGGTGCACTGTGGCATCGAATTGCATAAGCGTCGTTTAAGTGACTGGAAGCTCACTGATCAGTTATGTTGAACCCCTTGAATTCTCCATCTTATACCCGTTTTACGTATTTCGCCCTAGATGGATCGTTTTATACTACTGTACACGGTCTATTTTTTTGCAGTGTCTTACTATCAGGTGGTGTCAGCAGGGAAACTGGCAAAAAGCACAGTCAGCTTGTTTCTACTTCTATTCAGTTGCATTTTTGGTAGAGAAAGCAGACGAAAGTGTAATCATAGAACTGTACCTCAAGCTCTAGAGGGTGGAAGTGAACTGCTGTCTTTCTGTAAACAAAGCAAGGAGTTTCACGAGAAAGCTGCTTTCACGCTAGGAGAGTTCTTTTGCAAAATATTTCTAGATCAGCTAAACAGGTCTATGAGTATTGGACAGGATAAGAAGACTGTTTTATCGGCACTGTCGCTGCTCTTTGTTTTGAGCACTAGTTCGAAACAGTTTGCGCTGGAAAATGGATTCTTAGAGTCTACAATGGAAGATGTAAAAGATATTCATGTTAAACTGAATTTAGCCTCGTTGCAATTTGAGAAGGAAGGCGCTCACAAAAGGAAGGTAATGTGTGTGCTCTTCTTAGTCATCAAAAGTTTAATAATATCACAACGCTTTCGATTTTTTCAGTGTGCTGAAATGTTTGTAGTTTCTTGATTGAGAAAGATCCATCTTTGCTAAATTTCCAGCACAAGGAATCCTCTTACATATTATATTGTTTTAGAATACAAAAGTTCAAATTTTTGTTAAATTGTTGGTAAAAAGGCATTACTGCTACCTTTTAATGCTTTTAAATATAGTACCTTCTATAGAAAAATTTCCCGAAATAATTGTTTTATCGATTATTCTTTATATAGGAAAAGTCATTGTTGCTTGTGGTTGCAGAAATTTTTGGACTACTTCGAAATCTGTTACACTCAAGCACTGACACAAAGGTGAGAGAAAATAGGGTGCAGATTTATTGTTCTTACAGTGAAATGTAGGGAGGTGCCATCAATTTCAGTTTACGCAAGTGTGGCCCGGTTCGAGTGCAAATCAATTAGCTTCAAGTAATAAACACAAAACACGACATAGTTTTCCAATGCAAAGCTTTATAAAAACCAAATACTCTTTACAACTCCTCAACGTGATTCCAACAGTCCCTCTCTCTAACTAACTAAAAGTCCTCTTTCCGGGGGTAAGTCAGCTCTTGTAATATGGTTAAAAGGGGGTCTTTGGAGAGGTCCTCACACAAGCTAATTACCAATTCAAATTACTGAATAGTAGGTCATGAATTGTACTTTTTTGAGCAAAGGCTGATATTGATAAGCATTAAAAACATGCAATGTATTATTATCTGAATTGATCACTTTTCTTGTTTCGAACGGACGTGGATGTTGACAGGCATGTGTAGATATGTCCAGCCAGATTTATTGCGAGATAAATATGACGCAATATGATAAATATGGTTTATTTCCTATCAGATTAACATAATTATTTTGTATGGATTTTTTTAATCAAAGCAGCCATTAAAATATTTCTAATGTTTGCATAATGTGTATGATGCTTATACTGTTTCATAAATGATATTATTATTAATAGTTTGTTTTCTATATAGAATGCAGCTGTCAAATCTGGACTGTTGATGTCGATTCAAAAGATGTGGTCTTGGTGTCTCATCGAAAAACAATTAAAACTAGCAATCCTCGAGATTCTTTGTACCCTGTCTTCCAACTGCCCGAAAGGTATGGTACTTGGAGGATTTTCCTGCAATGGTAGTAGGAGTTATTTGAAATCAAAATTGTTCATTCCGACATAGCAACTAGAAATATTTTCATGTTTCGTTATTCCTATCTTCCAGACAAGTCGTTTTGTTTCGGAGTTTTAAACCGAGTTTATTAGGGTTTTAATCCTTTTTTCTAAAATCTAAATCTAAATCAAACCTTGCATATAATTTTAAAATTGAATTTTGAATGCTGTTTTTACGTATTTCCAGGTATTTCTGATAAAGTTGTGAGACTGCACCCTTTTATTATTTCATACTGATTAAGAACTTCTACTGGCACTATACTCTTGAATGCCGAAAAACTTAACTGTGTTCTTTTCACCCACAACAGCTATTGAAATGATATGCCATGGAAACTCGACCACTTTGCAAAGAACGGTACATGATGAAAATTTCTTGTTTCAAAACATTCTAAAGCTTCTGATCCGTTTGCATAAAGATTGCATGGCTCCAACTGGAAAAATTGAAAATGCAACGAAAACCTCTTTTTTGCTTGTGACCAATCTAATTGTCATTTCTGATTCAAGATCAATTATATGGAAGGTATGTGGCGGCTTGTATGTTGGCAATTACTTATAGCCTCTTTGCTTTATCAAGACGATGTGTTATGTTAGAGTTACTAGTAGTCGAAAAGCCACATTTTTCTGTTCAGTTTATTTGTGTAAATACCCGATAGTACAAGTTTTTATCATCTCTTAGTATTTAAGATATAGATTAGGATCATTTTTTGCTATTATTTGACATAACTCTTATCGTCTCAAATTCATCTTGAAACTCCTCTGTCTTGACATTAATTTTTGTCTAGTAGATTTGATTTAAGAACGAATTTCGAATCAAGTAAGTGAGGATAGTCTAGAAAGTGCCATAGTTAGCTGCATTTTGATCTGTTTTAAACTTTTTAGAGAATGATTGATATCTTTTTATTTCTTGTATTCTCTAAAATTGTTTCCTGTATGCAAAAAAATCTCGTTTTTGCATCTCTCTGTTTAGAGCAATTTCTTGCAAAATTTCAAAAGCTGTCAAATTGGACAGAGTGCTAATAAAAAGCAAAAGGTGGCGTCAAAAATTCTCACAGCCTTGTGGATACAATTTCTTCTGGTTTTATCCTTTTACAGCGATGGGGCCCAAGCTATACTCAAAGTGAATGGTATGACTTAAACTTTCCTAACAAATATTCGATCTATAGTTAAAAAGACACCGAGGACTTGATTTGCGCTTAAAAACAGAGCCCAGATTAGTCTGGGTCGTCGTAGATGTGAATAAAGAAACACGTGCCTAAAACTAGGCAATTATGCTGTAATGGATAAACTTATCATGATTTTAATACCAAATTCGCTCAAAATTTTAATTGGTTTTGCTTTCGTTGAGTATTGAGAACTATTTTTCCTTAGTGAATAATTTTGCAGCGTTTCTCATCGAAAATAATCTGTTACTCCGATACCAAAACATGCCGTATTTACTCGAATTAAACGCCGGTCTCGAATAAACGCCGGGCAACGCTGAACAATCAGCATTGTTGTCTGAAAATTGATAAAAAATCAACAATTGCGTTTGCTACCCATGCAATCGAGGTAGATCCGTTCTTGGACTTAAATTCTTGTATTGCAAGAGAGTCCCTCGGATAAAAAATTTTGATTTTGAATAAGCACGCCGGTTGCGTTTATTCGAGTAAATGAATTTCATGTTTCCTTTGGCAGCATGCAAGAACAGTGTTTGATTTTAGCTCGCCATGAAAGTTAAAACTCCGTCGCCTATGACTTGTAATGCATAGAACCAAGTTTCTTCCTTTTTATTTCGCAGACATGCTCTCAACCATAATTGCCATTGCTTCCGAGGAGCAACATCGAGAGAGACAAAGATGCTTGCTGATTCTTCGCAACTTGCTTCATTTTCCAGCTAACAAACCCTCTCTTATTACCAACAGTATATATTTTTTATGTTCATTTTGATGTCGCTATTGGTTTCAAAAATGTTGATCTATCTTTCATTTTACCCATATTTTCCATTAAGACTTCATTACTACAGCAATGCTTTTTGAATTAGTGTCTTTTTATATTCAGAAAAATTACCATTAGATTTGAAGGATGTAATCCTATTACGGATCAAGAAATTTTTTTATGGAAATATTTGATGTACAATATTTTATCAGGGCGTAAACATTTCTTGTACGGAGCAATAAATAATATTTTGAATGGTTTGTATGTTTCTTGAAATTTGAATTTTTCAGCCCAACTGACGTCATGCCTTCTGAAAGGGCTTGGTACCGAGTCAATATGGACACGCGCCATGGTCGTGACTTGTTTTGCGTCTTTGCTCCGCAACTGTCACAAGGTATAAGATTACATTTGAAATTCTACATTCGTAATACTTGCAGGACTGTTTAGATATATCATCAAATGCATATTAATGTGTCTATATTTATGGGTGACGTTTATTTTCAGAAATGGTAGCATCTTTAAATTTAATTTTTTATTTATCAATTTTAGGCCAAAGTTGCACTAAAGAGGACAAATCTTTTGGCAAAATTGCAGCTAATGAATGAGGAGGTGATCTCAGGTAGTTTTGATACCCAATAGTTTTTTTAAGTTTTTTACTCTTCAAGAAAATTGTCATCTGGGTTATGTTAATTTTATAAGATTTAGTTCCCTAGCCTAGAAAAAAGTTCACTATGATAACGCAGCCGCCTGATAGGGAATCTGTTCTTTAGAACTGCCAGTTGGGGTAAGTTAAACAGTCCTTGAGGTATCTACCATATAGTGTGATATGGGCCTATGTTCAACCAGATTCAATTCTTTCATATTATTTGAGTGTGCGGTTTTTATGCAACTTGAAAATAGGTACAGTACACTATTTATTTACAGTACACTGGAATCATTAGCACACTGACGTTATATCTAATATCAATGAAAGTTTTCACTTTGCCATTATCTCATTTCCTTTTAAAGAAAGCGGGACATTTTTCTTGGCGAATGCTTAACCTTCCACAAGACCTTGACAACTACCTACTAATTCGACTTTTTATTCCATTTCTCGTAGGCAAGATGTTGACCATTAATGGTGACGCTAAAGGCTATGAAAAGCTAAAAATCTCACTAGATAGGACGATAAAATTCTTATCTAAATGAAATTTGATTTGTGCCTTTGTTCAGCTGTTTATTGCTTTAAAACTGTGAATAAATAAACGATCTATGTTGTAAATATCCTTTTTCTAATAATCTGCTTGTATATATGTTTCAGTTTTTGTAAATTTTTTAAGATGAAAATTATTTGTGGACGTTCTTTTTATGTCGCAAGTTTGATGACGTTCCAGTGCAGCCTGTATTATTTGAAACCCCACTTTTAGAACAATTATACCGTAACTTATGAACATAGATCATTTTCTCCTATATTTTACAGTTTTCATTGCTTTTTTATCTAAATGTGTAGCTAAAGCATCAGCAAATGAAGCAAGCTGCAACGAATTGCATTTAATAGGAATTGCTTTTAGCACACTTAAATGAATTCCAGAGGATATTAAAGACTCAGTTTCTCTAACAGAAGACAAGTATGCCTAGCTGGAATAATCCATTTTATAATTTCGAGAATTTGACTTTTTATATGTTTTAAGTTTAAGACATTTCAAAAAAGATACACAAGTATGTTTCCGGTTATGCATTTGGTTAGTATAAGAAGATGATGTCATACCACATGTAAGAAATAACAATGATCAATGGATAAATTCAATGTCTACAACTACCTCTAATATATTTCAAGCTTTCTCATGGAATGCCTGTCAGATCATCTTGCTCTTAATCGGAAATATCAGTTATCTGCTCAGCTTCAACTTTCCTTTCATAGCCAACAGATTTATTTGCATGTTGGTCCGCGGTGAATCATCGTTTTCTGCCAAATTTCAGTTTTGCACCAAAGTTTCCATTTAGATCAAACGTTGGCGTGAGCGATGCACCATTTCTAAATTTATACGTGAGGCCACCATTCCCGAGGCTCCAGCGTCCTGTTCGGAAACAATATTAATACAGAATCTTTAAATAATAGCTATAATAAAAGTATTAAGGTAAAAAAGATTGTCATTTCAACATTCTAGCTTTCTTTTATGCAGTGATAGCTTTGTAGAACCAAGGGAGCCTACTTTCAAACATAAATTAGAAGTTCGCCATACGATATAAAAGTTCACCAGTTAGAAGAGAACTGGGAATTAAAAATTTGCCACGAAAATTGCCAGTAGAAAGACAGAAATTGAATGAATTTAAAACGAGATGTGGACTTTTAAAGACGGCCAAATAATTTTCAAAACTACTCTGTAATTGAACTGGAAGTAGAAACAAAGTTTAAACATTACCCCGATTTCTTGAACCAAAGCGTGGAAAATTCAGCCTCGGTTGGTAATACCTTGGGCCTTGTTTGAAGTAGGGATTTCCAATCAAGCTTAATGGTGTCGGATTCCTTCTTGAACCAAACCGATTACCATTTGAATTCAAGTTCAAGCCATTTGGCATCCATGGAAATTTATAGTTTTGAAAATACCCTTGTCCTCCAACCTTGTTTTCTTCAAAAACAACCACCACCATAAAGAGTAATGACAAAATTCTGATCATCTTGATTCAGTTTTGTGCTGTTTCTGTTTTGTTGATAGTCGAGAGATTTGCACATCAATTTATAACAGATAAGAATACTTCCTTTTCTCATATTTCGTATACTTGTATCTTCCGTCTTCCATTTTTCTCGTGAAGGTGACATTAGATAGAACCCCAAATTTATGCCAAATGTCAGATGTTGACAACGTCATCCATTCAATACTGTGGAAAGTGTATCGTCGTTTGCTCGACTCTGTCTGTGTTTAGGGACGCCGGGAGCATTTCAAGTTTGAAGGGGTGTAGGTAGGAAGAGCCATCATGTCGCAACAGGCAATTCTCCAAAAAAGAGTAGGTACTACTTAAACAAGATCATTTCGCCAAAAATTACAGGCAAGTGCCCGTGATGCACCCCCGGTTGTGACATCCTTGTCTGTGTTGTTCAGAAGTATAAAGAATTTAGGAAGAAAATGGTTAACAAGGAAAATTTTACTTCCTGAGAACCTTTCTCTTCTCAAATTTTGTTTTACTTCCGAAAGTGGTTTAAAGATGGATCTCTAAAGGCAAAGTATTCAGATACGCATTTAGCTATAAACCAGCATTTATTTCAATCTTTGTCACTGTGATGAAATATATGCTTCTTAAACCCTGAAAACCTTGTTGTTCTATACTTGAAAAAGACCCAAGTTTCAACAGAGCAACTGTTTCGCTTGACTCGTTTCAAAAAACCTTTTCAGCCCTTGAATATAGATTCCAGTTCAGTTCAATTTCAGTTTAATTTATTTTAAAACTCCTCAGCACACACTATACAACATTCAAGTTAAATTAATACATTAAACACAATAGCAAATTCATAACTTAATTTAATTTAGGTAAAAGTACAGCAAGGGTAATAACCAATTAAATAGAAACGAGGAGAGTTGTATGGAGGGGAATTTCTTGAGTATGAGCTCTCTCAGTAACTAGGCCAATCGGGGAGAGAGCCCCCTGTTTTAAAAATAATTAACAGACTATAGTTTAAAATGATGGTTTGCTTTAATAAAATTCCAAGATATTCTAGCGTAACTAGGTTCAAAGCAGTTAATGCATGTAACAAGGTTTCACTATTTGGTAAGGGGTTTATATCTACATTTGAAAATCTTATTTATTTGATAATTAGCTGCAATTGTAAGGTAATCAATTTTGATATAGCATTTCTATTGTCTTGCAAGGCAGACATTCTTAGCATGAGTGTTGCTCCTTTTTTTTATTTTAGTGAAATAATGCTAAGAACCATTGGCAGAATAATATATTACAGAGGGCATTGCTTGAATTGTCCCCTTTCTGTCTTGTCTGCTTTTCCAGTCTTCACCTTTTTTTGAAAGCTAAATGGTCTGGTTGCCTTTTTCAGGCACATCATTTACCCTCAGTCAAAAGTAAAATTTTTGTTCATTTAAAATGTAATTATAATTTTATTCTTATGAGTTTTATCCAAATTTATCTACACAGCAAATTTGAGTTTAACATGACATATATGGAACTTAATGCAATGTGCATATATCTGACAATGCAATGTGCATTTAAGCAACAGTCCCTTTAGATCTTTTGATTACAGATTTTTAGATGTCAAAAGTATGAATTTAAAATTCCTAGCAATTCATATGTTTTTTGTTTCAGTTCCTCTGTAAATCAAATTAAAACAAAGGAACTTAGGAGCAGAAGATGACACAAGAAAATTGTTGTTAACCCTTTTAAACTCAAATTGTAAGAAATCTTTTAATAAAACATGCAATTTAATAAAATCTTTTACTTAAGTAAATTTCTTAGGCTTTCATATTGACTTGAGTCATTATCTATATGATTCTTTGTCTTCATTTGATTCTTTCATCCACATGAAACTGTGAATTACATTTTCAAAGGCAGCTGCTTCTGCTTTATGTAACATATCACTTGCTCCTTCACCTAGCTTTTGAGCACCTGCAAAAATACCAACAACATACAATGGAACTTCGGCATCATACTGGGTGTTAAAAAGCAATCTGCTTTCAATGCTTTCTTTGTACCCTGCAAGAGCTGCAGCCCCTGAAGCAATTAGTTTTGGCTGCTTTATTTTTATCTGATCTCTGAAAACCTCATCATCAATAAATGGCATGACAAAATCATCAATAAAACTTTGCAGTTCCTCTGTACCAAGGTCTTTATAAATTGCTCCCATCAGTGCAAAGAAAGCGTCACATATGACATCTGCTCTCGAAAACGGTAGGTGTTTTTCATTATCAATCTGATCAATGTCCTCTTCAATAACCAAGAGCTCTGGAATTCCAATATTTTCCGCTAACCTTGTAACTATATTTCTACCTGACAATTGTTCAGAAATGTCGCTTATCATTATTGATGGCAAAAATGGAAATGAAGAAAAGACTTTAGACGTTACAGTCGAGTTTGTTTGCGTGAGACCAAGCAGCGTGAGAGTATCTGGAGACAACTTTAAGTTTTGAAGTCTCTCTACTAGCGAGTAATTTTGGGAAGCGAATTGCGGGATGTCTTCTCTACGGCTAATCTTCGCCAGGAAAGATGGATGAACAAATGCAGCGGTCAGATAATTGGGGTCGTTAAATTTCAACCCCATCCTCTCCTGAAAGCAAAACAGCTCTTTATCAAGATTTTGAAAAATAAAAGCCTTTTTGTCAAAGACTGTGTCTTGCCGTGGTAACCGACGTTTGAGCTTCTCTTGCAGCTTCCGCTCTCGTATTCTGGTATCTCTGTTGCTTCCTCGATAACACCTAGCCTGAAAACAAAACACAGATGCAGGAGCAAATAATCTGCACATTTTTCTGAGAGCTTGCATAGGACTCTCGTGAGAAAATATTGGGCTACTGATTGCAAGCACGCTACCTACTTTCTTACCCGCCATCTTTCAACGAATGAAATGAAGCCGAGGCCATGAAATGTATCTTTCTGAAAAAGAGACTGACTGTAAGCGGGTGAAAGGAGAATGGAGGACTTGGTTGCTGCAATCAAATTGTACTCAGACGACAAAAACTGGACACAACTCGTGGAATGTATAAACTCTTCAGTAGAAACAATCGTGAAGAATGCTTCTAAAATAGATGCTGCTATTGATGCACTAGACCCTGCTCAGCATACCATTGGCTTTTTAGGAATACTGTATGTGTAGTAAACTTTTTAACAAAATCCGTGTTTTCATTTATATTTTATCTTTAGGTTTTTTTATTTTGCTACCTATTCTTTTGGAGCCTAACCCCTTCAAATTATCATTTAAAAAATGTTCCTTTCGGTATTTGAAGTTAGTGTCAACATAAATTGTGTGCCAAGTTTTCAATGTGAAAAACACTGAAACTGCCACCCAAGTCTGCAGAGAATGATTATTTCCCAGGCTCGAAAACATGCATATGCTCGTAGCTATGCTGGACTTCTTTTGCTTCCACCTCAAACGTCTGTCACCAGAGTGCAAAGTATTTTTTGTGCGCTGGGAATTATTTTCTGTCGCTTACACTTGCATGGGAACAAATAATGTTGCAAAATGACAGGTTAAAAGCTGCAGGATTTCATTTTAAAATAGCACTTTTAGGGCTGGAGATTAGGCTATGCACAGAATTCACACGAAAGTCCATGCTCCAACTGCTCGGATTAATCTAAATTTGCAAAAAAGCACGGACGGGATTTGAGAAAAAAATTTTTTCCCCCTCTGGCAAAGTCATGTATTATACTAAAGTAAATTGTTATATGGGCATCACGCGTTGGAAGCTGATAATGGGTGTTAGCTGATAATGTGCCATTTGTCAACTTTTTTTGAAAGTCATAAAATTCAAAATTGTCCCACCCAGCACTTGTTTGATCTAGCCTTGTCCCTGTAAGGGTGATGAAATTTGTTTTCTTAGATACTGACAAATACAGAGTAGAAAATAAGAGGGTAAAACATGATATCTTGAGTAGTGCTTATGTTAGATATTGGATGTTTGTGTTAAAATCAAAAGAGCCTGATGATAGGTGCAGGGTTGCCAGATGGGATTTACAAAAGAAGGGTTGCCAGATAGGTGGCAAACTCAGGCCAAAATTCACGTAAAAAGGTCAAATTGAAAATTCCTCCAAAATACGCAGTGTGAAGTGAATAATATATATCCATGCATGAACCTTTCAGATGACATCCAAGCTCAAGCAAGAGACCAAGAAACTTTCTCCTTCAAACAAATTCCTTTGATAATCGTTAAGCCATTACACTGTAGTATTGCTCTTTCAATTCATAATTTGTTTGTTACTTAGGGTGCTAAAGTTTATATAAAACTTTAGCAGTAAATGAACTCATAATGTTTAAAATGGCCAAATTTATGTAGTAGGCCAAAAAAATTTTCCAGGCAATTTAACTCTGAAAAAGACCAAAATTGGAAATTATCTGGCAACCCTGGATAGGTGGCATCTTTGAAAGTTGCATTTCCACTGCCCTGGGTATAAAACTGAAAATGAGATGTGAAAGATTTGTGCAAGGATAAGCTTCATAATTAGATAGAACTTGTTATTCATTTTGTTTAGCTAGCAAAAGTGCTTAATAATGTCTTTTGGTATAAAATTTACTTTTCTTGAATTTTTCTTTCTTACTTGCATGGTTTTTATATAAAATCAAATCTAAATTATTGTAAAGTATTTTATAAAATTTCCTGCCTGACACAAACAAGGAAGGTGGTTTATCTATCTGTTGTAATTCTTGTGGCCAGATCCTCCAGCCAAAAACCTGGTTTTTCAATATGATCACCCATTTAAAAAAGTTTAGGGTCTTCGGGGACTCAGCCACAACAAGCAAACAAATTTTGAATACTTACTTTGCCAACATAAATACTTTTTGCATAACTTTTGATTGCTTATTAGCAAAAAATGCCACATAATTTGAAAAATACAATGTATTTATTGTTTAGAGCTAATATACTTAAATGGAGTTGAAAGATCTATGTTAAAGTATCTATGTTTGCTGCTATTCTAGTGTCTGTAGCATTTTATCTTTGGAAAACTATTTATAACAAAACTTAAATTTATTTCAGGCTAATAAAGATCGATTTACCAAATTATGGAGATTTTGAATTATTGTTCACACAGATCAAGAATTTTATTGAACTGTGTTCTCAAGAGCAATTGCCAATTGTTATAGAAAAATGTAAGGCCTATTTGATTCTGTTTCTTATTTATCTAGTCTTTTTATGGATATTTATAGATTTTGTACCAAGCATCAAATGAGATGACTGATAATTTTTTTAAAATTTTTTTCTGTGAATTGGATGCTATAAGCTGTTATTCTATACTTTTAATTTCACAGTTTTTTCCTGAAGTGTTGCCATGAGAAATATGTTTTAGATAAATAAGAGCTTCTTAATGTGTTTTTACAATTTTAGTTATCCATATTTGTCATTTTGTCACACGATGTTTGATTGACAAGAAGCAAGTAAGTATGAATTCAGATTAAATTATTTTCTTTCAATATCTAAATAGCCATTTGTAGTGATTTATATTCACCCCATAATCTTGTTTTTGATATGTTGATACTTTGTTTTGATGTAAGGCTGCTTGTAGCCATTTGCAAAAAGTATTTCAAAAATTCTTAGATATTTTTACTGAATTGCAAAATGAAACAACCCTGCATTTTTCAGACAGGTAGAGGTATAAAACTGATGACAACAGCAATCTGCAAAGCAAGGCAACATGAAAGCCAACTAACCTCCATACATTCTGACCTGCTTCAGGTAAAAATTGAAGGAACAATTTTAACAATTAGAGATATCAGCAATATTGGCATTGATGGCTTCTGGTTTGAAACAAGAACTGATTTTTAACTTATTTTTTTATCAGGTTGTACCACAATATACTTATATTTTTGCAGCTCTGTTTGTTGTCTAAGAATTTCAAACCAGCATTGAGGTTTATGGACATTGATGTCACTGATATACATAAAGAGGTTTGTTTCTGTTCTTCAATAAAGAGCCATGTACTGTACTTTTTGATAAGTATTTTCCTCTTGTGAAAAGGATGTAGAAAGTCAAGGTAAAGAAGTTTGTCATGGGATCTAGACATGATGTGGCAATAAACAAAATTTTTGCCATTGAATTTCTAGAATAGTATGTCAGGAAACTTTTTTATGTGGATTTTTGCATGCATGCATATCTATATAAATGCAGATATTATGATATGTAATCCTTGCATAGAGTCCCTGTTGAAAGTTTGACAAACTTCAAACTTGTCTTTGCCTATCAAAATTTATGGAAAATTAAAATTTGAAAAACTAGACAGCTGGTCTTATTGAAGAGTTAGTGAAGCATAGCTGAATCAGGAGACATAGAGCCAAGACGATTCATTTTAATCTAAGCGAAATTTTTAATTAAACTTTCCTTTAACCCAAACAATTTTCAACTCAAGTAAACTTGACTTTATTAATATTATCTGTATACACACTTCTTAATATTTTTACTGATATTTTTTCATATTTGTTTGATGTCTACTTTTTGCAGAATGGCCAGTATGATTCCAGGTATTTTCTTCTCTATTATTACTATGGGGGAATGATCTATGCTGCGGTAAAGAAGTATGACAATGCTCTGTTCTTCTTTGAAGTGGTAAGTAACTCTTTCCTTGTAAAGATTTACTGCGTTTATAAAAACCTCTGTCTTTAAATTACCGTTTTTTGCACGTTTTTTGATATTGCTAGAAAAAGTCACTAGGGTATGTTTTAACATTTCCTTTTAATTTTTCTTCTTCTCCAGGCTGTAACAACTCCAGCAATATCAGTCAGCCATATAATGCTAGAGGCTTATAAAAAGTTTATTCTTGTTTCTACCTATCTTCATGGAAAGGTAAGAATTTGCTAAAAAATCAGTATTTTTTAGAAAGTGTTCCATTCAAACATAATGAATGGAAAAGGCAGATTCAAATTTGTTATTTAAAGAATCACAGAAAAAATTGAAAATTCTGGAACTTTTTCCCAGATTAGATTCATCTTGTATCAGTTTTACAATGGAAAAGTACATTTCCTTTGTAGATAGTAACCCTTCCAAGGTATACATCTGCTGTGGTACCAAGATTTTTGAAGGTATCAGTTTTTCATTTTCTATAGAGAGAATCAGACAGGTGTTCAGTTCATAAATGTCTTAACAATAAATTTTGAGTTATTCCACATATGATGCCCCAATACTATTCCATATTCTATTTATAATGTTATCACCTAATTATGTCAAATTTGAAAATGTTTATATGAAATAGTCTCATAACATAGTTAAGTATTTTTTAAATGCTGTGAAATACGAGATATGCAAATGTTAATCTATTTTAAAACTTGGTATTATTTTTCCTCAATGAAATTTGATAAAGTCAATTTTGCCTCATATTGTTAAGTATTTGATTTTTCTCTGGTTTAGTAATTTTTGGGTTTATTATCTATCTTTTTTACCGCATACAGGCACTTAGCTCTGCCTATGTAGAATTAGCAAACTCTTATGGTTCACACGATCCTGACCAGCTTCGATCGGTTGCAGAAAAGCATCATCAAGTCTTCCAAAGGGTAAGTAAACAAGGATTAAACTAGTCAGCCAGAATTTAAACTTCTTGTAAAAATATGTTGTCATGTAAAGTAATAGTATATTTCTTTTAAGTTTGATATTTTATTGATAGTGTTAGATATTGTATAAAATATAAGAATGTTGTTTTCATGTGTATATGCATGCTGTGTTTATGTTTACATGCTGTTTCTTTCTACTGAAGATTGGTATTTGCAATTCTTTTGTTTTTCCTCAACAGGATAATAATGCAGGGTTGCTGAAGCAAGTCATAGCATCTTTATATAAACGAAACATCCAAAGATTAACAAAGGCATGATACATATTTCTTAGCTTATTTCATGAATGTTAATTACATTCATTAAAATGAAATTTTCTGTTTATAGGTTCAGTTTTTCCTGTTGTGTAGGGATGTAATAGTATAACTTTTTACCAAAAAAATTTTATTTAGTTTTAAAGCCAAAAACAAATATTTTATATAATCTTAAACCATAGTTGTTAATACTTTTTTGTAGTCTTTATTTGTTTCTTCTGTTTTGTTATGGGTTATTTTAAATGCACTATAATCCAAGTTCTGTGAAGTGATGCTGGTAGCTGACTATTCTGATCAGGCCACACAAAACAATTTTGGCATTTTATTTGTTATTTGTTTTCAGTTAATGATTTATACTCTGTTATTGTGTTTTCCAGACATTCATCACACTTTCATTAAGCGACATGGCCACCAGAGTAAAACTTGAAAATGCCCAGGAAGCCGAATCTTATTTACTTGAAATGGTAAGTTTACCTTTTTCATAGGAATAACCGTCTTTTTTCACTCAATTCTGCTATTATGGTTTCCATAATATGTTTAGAAAGGAGAAAATAATTTTGATACTTTGTAAATCAGACATTTTACTGATTTTTACATACTATGTTGCTATTATACAAACAGTTTCATGAGACATATTCTAAGAATTTTGACGCTTTTTTATGAAAGTAAACCAAATAATTTCAAGTTTTTTTAAGTTCTAGAATTTATATTGCCTCTTTCAGAACCTATTTGTTTGGTTATAATTTCAAAGGATTCAATAATATGCCATTTTAGATTGAAGATGGGGAAATTCATGCAACTATTGATCAAAAAGATGGTATGGTGAAATTTCACGATAGCGCTGAGAGATATGATTCTTCGACAGTAGTAATGAAAATAGATGAAGAGGTGGAGTCATTTTGAAATTTTTCATACATATCAGCATTTTAATATCCAGGCTTTTGCACCAGGTTTATGTCCATATTGTTAATTAGTCTTGGGCATACTGTATGCGTGAGCATCAAGGGTTCAGTCTTTGTTAACCCTGCATTGTGGGTAAATATTATCAGCAATTCAGCTTAATGTTTAATAACTTGGCTTTAGAGTTTGAATTTACATTTGTTTGAATTGAGTTAGAGTTTGAATTTTCTCCCATAAACATTATGCAACAAATGACATTTTTGATTTTGGTTTTCTCAAATTGCTTTAGTTTGCAACTCTCTCCTCTATATCTTGCAGATTCGAAAATGCATGATTTTAGATGAAAAGCTACAAAAAATGGACAGAGAAATATCAGTTAACCCACAATATGTCCAGAAGGTAAGCTTGATTCGGTATGGTTGTGAAAAATATGGTATAGTAACATTGTGTATAACTTATTCCTATTATAGACCAGGTGGAGAATAGGGGAATGGTCGCTTGAGAGCGAAATTTTTGGAACCAAGTGCATTTGGTCATTTCAAGGGTGCTGATTTTTCGAAAATCGATGTTACATGGGGATCTTGGGGGGCCACTAGCCTCTTTTTCGTGTTTGGAGTTTTGTTTTTGCATATAGGAAAGTAATCAATAAAAAACAATAGCAGTGACCTATATTACTTGCGCGTTAATGTCTAAAATTGAATTATGGTCTGTTAAATTAAGCCTTCTTTGTTTTTAATCTGAGTCATAAAGGGTGGGAGGGGGCATGGTCCCCCCACTTTTTTGTGAAGCAAGTAGTTTTGAAGCTATAGTAAAAGGAAAAAAAGCCTTGGCCCCCTACTTTTGCTAGCCTTGGCCTCCCCACTTTCAAATTTGTGGCATAGGCTCTGTCTTTAATGTCATTTTTGTCTGCAAGAGATTTGTCTGTATTGTTTCCATTCATTTTTCACATATATAAAAAAAATTATGTATTACCTAATGTATGAGAAGAAGGGAGGTAGCAAAAAAGAAAAGATACTGGTCCAATAGACATATCAAGCTTGTTATGTGGAAAAAATAGAAAGAACACAACTTGAGACAACTCACCTTCCAGAAACCTTCCAGAAGTATCAGCTTCTCAAAAAGGAAAGATGTAAAGATATAAAAATTAATGGTCCTCAACTGAAAACTAAAATTATCAATTAACCTTGTTGGTGACATTGTCTATGTAAAGAAGAATGTTTCTGCTGAATTTATCTATATATTTTTTATGGTTGATAAAATTTCACTCATTTTACATCCATCTAGGTTGTTGGGCTACAACAGTTAGACGATCCAAGTAAAGGAGACGAGCTTATGTCGTAAAACAGAGATATTTTGCTGTTAGAACAGTTGTAGAGCTTTCATCAAGATTCCATACAAAATCAATAGTGCATTGTAAAAACCAATTTAGAACTAGCTCCTTGTATTTGACATTTGTTAAATAATTTTTGTTTAATCTTGAAGAGAGTAAAAGTACTATTAAAATTGTTACTTTGAAACTTAATACAACTGAAACCAGTGCTGCTAAGTTGTTGACAAATTGTCTTCACCTCAATTGTAAATCATTTTCTGGCCTTTAATTGACTCTTCCTTTTTGAGTAAAAGAAACCGAAAAATATAAATGAAAGAATTTTTTTGAAAATTCAGGTTCTGTATTTTGGGAATTTGATCTAATAACAAATACCATGAAACAATGTTATTTTCCAATAAATCGATAAAATTTTATGTAAATGAAATCATTGTTATAAAAGGGGGCTCATTTTATTAGCATGCATCAGTAATAAATTTCAGCAATTTACAAGTTTATGCTTAAAAAAGCATGTTTTTGACAGTTTGTCTCTATTTGGAAAGAGTATAACCATTTTTTGCTGTTTGCTAAAAATCTGTTCTGGTGTTAGAATGTTGCCAAGGGTGGCTGTCCCTCTTATAAAATTTTCCAGCGATGCTCAAGCCTCTAAGCCCTAATGTAGTTCTCATCAAGCATATACCTCACAAGATTTCATACTTGAATGTTGTTTTGAAACAATGAAGAAATATGGCCATGGTTAACTGTATGATATCTGAAGACCTGCATCTTACTTAAAAAGTTTATAAATCCACCATGGGGATAATGTTGTGCATTCTAACTGATAATATCTTTAAATGGTGTATTTTGACAATAAATACGACAGCTGGTCTGTGGCATAAGGATTTTCCACAACAACATTTGATTACTATACAGTCACAAATGCAAAATCTTTCTCCCATGACTACTTGCTTGCTTCTAACATTATAAAAGATAGCTTATTAAAGTCCCTTAAGTGTTTAACTGATGTCCATACTACTTTGCTTGTGACTAAAGGGCAGTCCTTCATCATCGTCGAGAATTTGCTGTAACACATGGATAGAATGAATCAAAGCATGAAGTTGTTTGCCACGCATATCAAGCTTTTTTGCAAGTTCATTTTTAGTTTGTTCTAGTTTGGAAAGCTCTTCCTTTAGTTTTTCAGTTTCTGCTTGTGACTGTTCCCTGTCTGGCTGCACTGTTATAACTTTTGCAAGAGAATCATACTCTTGCTTATTTTTTCTTATCTTCTTTGCCTTCTGTAGTTCCAGCTTACAATGTGATATGTCTTCTTTTGCCTCTGAAATGCTTTTTTCTATCTCCATCAAAAGATCCTAAATATTTAAAATGTGTTAGATGTCTGACAGACAACAGCCACAGGCCATATTTCATTGGAACATCTTTGACATACAACTATTATTAAAGATCATACATCTAGTATATATTTGAAAACTATAAATGTGCCTATGCATTTTGGCTGTCAAACATCAGAATCAAGGATGAAAAGAAAACAAAAGGCATAGGAAAATACAAACAGAAACTGAAGATAAATCATGGGTTAAAGGATGAACTACAATTGACAATGGCATCTTTTGCCAGAGTGGAAACTTTGCTTCTTGCCTTGGCAAGTTCATTTTGAAAACTTACAACTGTGCACCTGAAATGTTGATTGATATTAAATGATGTGATTATAATATAATATGATATTTAAAAGGGACTTTGTGCAGTCAATGGGCACAAGTGCGTGGATGGAAAATTTGAGTTTGCACCCAATATATTGCAGGTGTGCGACAAAGTTTCCAGTCTGGGTCTTTTGCTCATTTGATTCTATGTTATAGAAATTTGCATTTTCTATTCGGAAAACTTGCCCGTAGGCTATTCATAATTTGACTCTCATTTGGGTTCTTTTATGCCTCCTTTGGTATTCATTTTGATGAAAAAATTGATCTTTATCTTTCCCTTGATATTAACACCAAGTGTAAAATAATATCATATATGTTATGTAGGCTAGGTCGTCAAATGACTTTCAATGGTTAAAGTAGAATTGAAAACATTAATTCTTAACCTCGTAGTTCTTCCTTTCTTTCGTATTCATCTCATAGACTAGGTGATTCTTTATCATTGCATACTCGCACTGGTTCAATAACGCGATGATTTTCTGGTAAGTTAAATTGCTCTCCTCTTGAGTCGTTTCCACATGGCACCATTTAACGATAGTTTTTAGAAGAGTTTGTATTCGACGATCATCTCCTGTTCCATCACCATCAAAGAGCAAACGATGCCTTATTATTTCTTCTTCAGACGCAGCCATTTTAGGGTTTATAATAGTGTTATTTTCTTGGCAAGAAACACATTTATTGGCAAGCTTCTTGCCTAGGCCAATAGCGTAGTAGAGCGAGATCGTCTGTTGACTGACAAAACGAGGCTCGAGCGGGCTTGGCTTCGTAAAACACAGCAGTTAAAAACAAAATCTGCTCTTTATTTATTCAGAATTAGTTTCAGAAAACGTCTAATGCAATCAATACTTTTTTCTGCTTCTGCGTGTTTCTTTTTTATCGTGGGCACCCTTCTATTGTAAAATTGTTTGATGTCAGGCAGGTTAGTTCGGCGCTATGTCGAGGGGCAAATCATTCCAAGAAAATCCCGTACACCTTTTGTGAAAATCCTATTGTTTTATCTAAAAATCCCCAAAAATCCTTTTTGTTTTAGGGAAAATCTCGTCCGCTATTTGCAAGAGCGAATTACCCCTCACGCTATGTCGCAAGGCAAGTATAGTGGCGTAGGAGCCCAGGGTCTAAAGGACACGTACCCCACATTTCTGCTAAGCTAGAAATCTGCCCTCTTCTTGGTCGAGAAGTGCCCCTCCTGAGATTTAACACGGGTGACTTCATTGCTCTTTATATAACCCTAGAGCTGACTTACTAAACTAAACCAGACCTGTCAACTCTCCCAGTTGCGCCGGGAGACCCAAGTTTTGCTTGCTTTCTCCCGGTCTATCGATTTTTTAAAATTTTCTTCCTGTTTATTCTGTGTCTTTCAGCAGAGGTATTCTTATAACACAAATTATTGCAATGGCGTTCTCCATGACAACATTTTTATTAGTATTCACGAATTAATAAAAAACCTTGAAAAAGTCATTACGAAGAAGTTTCCTATATTTTTTGTCATTAACTGTTTCCCCAGCATGACTTTTCCAGGTTTGTTGTTTATAAATTTAACCTAATAAATGTTCTATTATTTTATCTTGATTTAGCAAATTCCAGGGATCTTACTGTTTTTCCCCAAATCTCCCAGTTTTTTTAAGAAACATTCTAAAATCTCAAGATTTTGTAAATTTGTGGTTGACAGGTCTGCTATACACCCATGTTGTTTTCATCTTTTCATTCTTGGGTGTCGAATCATTCCATGATAATATCGATTGCATTTTAAGACTGTTGATGTATACCTTATAGCATAGTTAATGCTTATAGAAAAAGGTAGAATATTTGATAGTTTATCGTATAAATCTTTAGAAAATATAGAAAAAGTTATTCAGTTGATACCACAGCTGAAACTTTTTCCAGAAATAGCAAAGTGCCTTTCTTTTGAAGTAAAAGATATGATATAAAAAATTGTTTGTAAAAAAAATCAACAAAGATGTCGCACAAAAGTTGTTAAAGTGCTTATAATCTATCTTCTGCTTATAAGTTACCTGCGAAAGAACGGAGAAACAACAACTTGATGATGCTTTATTCTTATCAGCAAAGAACTGATAAAATAGAGTTGAAAAGGGTTGCAAAAGACTTCGTACAGACTTTGTACAGACTTTGTATAGTCTATAATTAAATGCAGGAAACTTGCAAGTCACATACACACTTGAGTGTGCCAAATTTATATTTGACGTATCAAAAGGTAGCTATGAGAACTTTCTCACAGATACCTTTCAACAGTTAGACCGTACACATTTCCACAAAACCCGGTAATCAACACACGGAAACTTCTTTCTTTACAGAGTTAGACCAAATTTCAAACGTAACTTTATTACAGCTACAGGAGTTAAAATATATGGAATGACATCCCTCCTAAAATTAGAAATTTATCGAGCAAAACATCTTTTTGTAAACTTTATAAGAAATTTTTAATTCAAAACTACTAACTTCATCAAAAAAATTCATTGGTAACACCTCTACTGATCTTTCTGTTTTTATTTAAATTCTTTCTACGCTTTCCTCTTCCCGCAATTCATGTAATTTTCTAAGAATAATGTTGCTATTTTCATTAATACACATATGCATCTTCGATTAGTATCTTTTAATCTCGATCGTAGCAGCCACGTCCAATCGACGGTATACAGCTCGAAGGCTCTAATGAGTTATTTCTGTATTTCCTCTTCAGCAAAGTTAATCTTAAATTTTTGATTCGTTGTTTTCTGTAATCTTATTGCAATTGTACTCAATTAAGTTTCTTGCATCTTTTGTTGCTATGTACATGATTAAACGCAGAGAATATATATGAAATGGAATAAAATATAATGAAACGACATTATTTTGGTAAATTCATTAGAAAAGTGCATACTCAAAGCTTTTTTTATTGCTTTACTAATCTAAAAAAGTGCTATGACATGACATTGTCCCAAATAAACTTGAGTATCAGACTTGTCAAATGAGTTCTAATTTTTCAGTGGGCGTGCGACTTAATTGCCCCTTCTATTGTAGAACTCTTCCACTATCTGGTACGCTCCTACGCCTCTGGGGAAGCATTTTGCACTTTTTCTAAGATCGTGAGGAAAATCAGAAGTGGGGAATCATTGGATGTACTCGGGGACGCCGGAGAAGGGGCGTGGTGGTCAACCGCCCTTGCTACCCTTTGATAGGAGGGGCAAGAGGGGCCAGAGTGCCCTTTTCATTAATTTACCCTTAAAGCCGACCAATTGTAATAATCAGAGAGATTCATATGGAATTCTGATTATAGTGCTTAATTCACGACGACATTACTCAAAACTTGTAAAATGAATCCTTATTCCAAAAGTTAGCCAATTTCAAGATATATACAAAAGATTGAAATAAAATGGCAGTTAGTAGGAGGAATTGGTAGAAGCCGAGAGTTGTCTTTAAAATGCCATTTTACTCAAGCCTGCCCCCCTTGCCTCTTGGTCGTTCCGGCGTCCATGTACGGAAACAGAAAGGGGTATAGTCCGACCGCGTTCCATCAAATTTGCGGGCTCTCTAACTTTACGTGGCAGGAGCCAGCTCAAAACTAGAGCCCAATCCTCTAACTCGAAGTGGCCTAAGTGACAAGTAGAGGAAAAGGAGTAGGGTGTACTTGAAAAATGGCAACTTACCAGGAGTTCATCCATCAAAATGAAGATCGTGACGGCGTTAGGTTCAGTTGGAACGTATGGCCATCCAGCAGACTCGAGGCAACTCGAATGGTAAGAATGATTTGGCGGCAAATATCTTATTAAAACAGTGGACCTAAAATTTCGTATACCTTTCTATGTCCCTTTAGACTTTCAAATTTTCTCTCGGGCACTCAGCTCAGACATTATATAATTTTTTTTAAAAATCACCAATGTCTCAACATTTGGCTTTGCAAAAATCCAGTGCTTTTATGGAGCCATTGCTTGTTTTCTCTACCAGCTGTACTTGGCAAAAACAAACCCCTAGTCTAGTGCTGCACCAAATGCTCTGCATCCTAATCCTAATGCCGAAAAGTTGTATGTTTATGTTGCATAATATAAACTATTAATCATCATTTTTGCCAACAAAGTTGTTTATAAATCATAAGCTGGCCCAAAAATAGGCAGCAAACCCATCCACATTTATGCCAACATGTTATTCATAAAGTATACGCCAAATATCTCCAGCATAACATGGATTCAATCCAGGAATACATTTAATATAAATCTCACCCTGGTAGTATGCCAAAGAAAGGCCAGGTGTACATCAATGTCCATATGCAGTCATTATGCTGACTTTAGGCAGTGTATTGATATGTTGAGTAAAATACATAAACAATCACAGAAAGAGCTTTGTGCTGCACCACTACAGTAGAAACCCGCATAAAAGAACCTGTTTTTATAAGAACATTGAGTCTGAAATTTAACCTTTAAAACCCCATAATCAAGAACCCTAAAGAGGTTTAAATTTGGAAAGGTTCTTATATATATATATCTAAGAAAAAGGGGTTTTTAGAGTAAATCAGGTAATGGTATGTTGCATTCTAATTGGACAATCTAAAAACACAAATTCATTTGATTGATTGAAATTAAACATAAAAAAAGCTGGTTTAAGTGTGTCCATTAGAATTCTTGCGTGGAAAACATTGTTAATGTGTGCAAGGCCTGTACGCATATAAGAACCTTGTTAAGAACCTTTTAGACTAGAATTTAGAATCTATTCTATATAGAATCTAGAATCTATTTAGAATTTAGAATCTATGCTATAGCAGCCTGTCAATTAAGAACCCATTCAGGCTGCTAGAAAAAAACCTAGGTTCTTTTATGCAGGCTTTTACTGTATGTCATTTGTATGTCAAGTGCTTACCTTATGCAGAGGCCACGCCATAAAACACAACTACTGTGAATATCTTTGGGATTTGCTTTGTGGAATGCATCATCTGCTAGCATTAAATAAATAAAACACCTTAATTATTCATTCGAAGATTTCATCTTTATATAGTGTCTAAGATTTAGAAAAAACCTTTTTAACCTATCATGTCTGGAAGCAGTGATTTAATTTTGTGGTTTCTCCAGGTTGTTCCAGTTGGCTGCTTATATACTCCACTAAAGGAAAGGCCTGACTTGCCTCCAATTATGTATGACCCTGTCATTTGTGCCAAAAATACCTGTAGAGCCATTTTGAACCCATTGTGGTAGGTTTATTGTTATTTGATGTTTATTGTAATTTAGTATTTGGTACTAGTCTTTTTGTTAGGTGAATATTTTTATGACATGTAGTTGAATTTTTAGAATGAGTAATATCAAGACAGCCATCAATTGAATTGTAGCAAATTTAAGCTGCTAGTCCGATAATAAGGAATATTGCCTAAACCTGCAATCCTGGCCAAAAATGCTGAGACACTTGCAAAAAAGGAAGCTACTTACAAATCACCTGACCCCCTTCCCCTCAAATCAACATTGTGATTGGATTGATAACCAATGTAGTAAACCCAACTTATTACGTAACCATCTTAAGTCTTAACCAACATTGATCCGGGGGGGAGGGGGTTAAGGTCACCAGCCCATATAGTATGAATATAAAGCACGCAAGTTCCTTTTTTGTTCAAATGTCAAAGCTATTTTTGGCCAGGATTTAGGCATCATCAAGAAAATTTCTCAAATAATTTGAGCTGTATTTTTTCTTAGCCAAGTTGATTACAGAGCAAAAGCATGGATATGCAACTTTTGTTTCAGTAGAAATGCTGTAAGTTTACTTTGCTCCCTATTTTAAAATATATTTTAGAATTCATCCTCTTAACTGCTGTTAACAAAAGTAAACCATTTTGTTTCAATTTTGTAGTTGTTTTCATATAGCCATCTTTTGAAAAAGAAATTTACTTTCTAAATTATTTCAAAGGAATATGTTCCCAATTAATTTTGATCTCTGTTTTTCTCTAATGAGTTTCAGTCTAATGATTATCAATCTAAATATGATTTTCATCAAAGATTTATATCTAAATATATATATATATATATATATGATTACTTAAAAGTTAGTGATGAAGTAAAATATTGATATGTCAATGTCTTTTCCTTTTATAGTTCCCACCACACTATGCCGGAATAAGTGAGCAGCAACAGCCAGCTGAGATCATCCCAATGTTCTCAACCATAGAGTATACCCTCACAGTAAGTATGCAAATGTAAAAACTCTTATCCAGAAGTATTTTTAAGTCTTGCTTGCCAGGCAACACACACCAGTCCAATATTGAAGGGCTGAAAAGAGCATGACCAAAATTTTCTAGGCCACACCCTTTAGAACCCCAGAAAATGCCCCCTTGAAAAAATACTTGCTTTTTTGGTCTAATGATGTCAGTAAGCTTGCATTGTGTGAGAAGACGATCAATGCTGGAAATTTTGACCTAATACAAAGTGTTTTTTAGTCAATTTGTGAAAATTGAAAAATCAAAATGTTTCTAACCATCAATTTATCAAGGATTTGCTGTTATAGTAACAATTTAATGATTTTAGAGAAAGAAAACCTTCACATTGACAATAATGTACTTCAATACATTTTTTGATCCCTTCCCATAACTTTTTTGTCTTGTAGAGGCAGCAGACGAGTCCACTGATCTTTCTTTTTGTCATTGATACTTGCCTGGATGATGAGGATCTTCAAGCTTTGAAGGTATGTTACTTATTATATATTTATCCTATTTTTTCTTTAATAGTTGGGTGATTATCAAAATTCTTGTTTGATCTTGTTTTTTATTTGAAAATTTTTTTCCTGTTGTGCTTAGTAATCTGGCAGGTTCTAATTTTCTAATTTACGTATCTTTGGTTGTAGGAATCTTTGCAGATGTCACTGAGCTTGTTGCCTCCAAATGCACTGATTGGTCTTATCACGTTTGGAAGAATGGTACGACTAAAATTATTTGTGAAACCTTTGATACATATTGCCATTTTACTACTACTATATACTTGCAAAAAAGCTCCAATGAAGTATTGCATTGAAAAGCATTATTAAGTTTGACTTGGAACATTGATTTAGATAGCAATGTTCTAGGTGTACATGTTCTATTAATGTAATAGTTTCTGATATTTAGTTGAACTGCCTTTTTTGTAGGTCCATGTTCATGAGCTTGGATGTGATGGAATATCAAAGAGCTATGTGTTCAGAGGTAATAAGGACATCACTGCCAAACAATTGCAGGTGTGTAAGTAAGGTTATCATGAAAAGTGTCAATTTTTTTGCAAGTGACTAAATTTTTTGCAAATTACATTGTTATGATGTTCCTTCAAGGGCTATTTTGTATTCTGTTAGTTTTTATTTTAATCATGCTGTTTTCATGCTTTCATGAATTGTTTATCAGTCTTAAAAATCCACTGATTTGGACCAAGTTATGTTATTCTCATCTCTATATTTACTGAAATTCCTTGTCACATAGGAAATGCTAGGAATTGGTGGAGGAGGTGCTGCTCAAAAACCTGGACAGCAGCGGGGCCCAATGCAGCCAGGCCAGCAGCAGCAACACATGGAAATGCAGAATAGGTGAACAAATTATTTTTGATATACATGATCATACCTTGCCTGGAAAGGACTTCAATCAAGCATCAGTACCTAAAGCACACTTTAAAATAACCACAGGGAGCGATTTATCGAACACCTTAAAAAGTGAAACTATCTTGCCACAAACTAAACTTAATGTTTTAAGATAATGTTGATCAAAATTAAACTGTCTTCTAAAATGACTGCAATACAATGATTTATAAGATTTGCACAAGAGAAGATTACTACTAATCTTTTAATGACATTTCATACTCAATTATATAACTGGTTTCTCTCAAGGCGATGTCTTAAATATATAATATGTTTTCAATGAAAATGTTATTTTTCATGCATGACATATTTCTCTCCATTTACATAAAAGGGTAAATCTGTGATCACAAATACAAACATACAAAAACGGTTTTGAGAATTGAATCAATTGAAAGGCAATGTTATTTGAAAACAAATCGTTTCTATGTGGAAGCAAACTATCTGATTTGTTTCCGTTAAGATGTAAATGTAATCTTTGGAAAACTTAAATGTGTAGACATGGATCGACGAGAGGCTTCTTTTTGTTTTGTAATGATGAAATTGGCAAATAATGGCCTCCTTGTCACGGAACACAAAGCATCTTGATGAAGCCAATCATGATACAGAAATAGAGCGCCTTGAGTTTCGTAGAAGCTCGTTCTATGGAGCTCAGTAGAATTAAATTCTATTAAAGAAATCCAATCCTTCTAGTTTTAATACATTACTTATTGAATATTAGACGTATTTAAGAAAATGTATATACATGTCTATTTTTTTCTCCATAAAAGGTTTAATAAAAGACAGAAAAATCTAAATGTATATTTTTACAATAATTAATAATAATCTTCAAAGGCGGATCTTGGGGACATGGTGCATCTTCAATGGTAAATTCTTTTCTAGGTTTTTACAACCACTTCATAAATGTGATATGAATCTAACAGACTTGCTTGGTGAATTACAACGAGACCCTTGGCCAGTAGCTGCAGATAAGCGTCCATTAAGGTCAACTGGCACTGCCCTGTCTATTGCTGTTAGCCTACTAGAGGTAAATAACACCTTATGTAAAGCTAGATACAAACCTATGTCAGACATTTTCAAAGTTGATTTTTTAGACTTGGCTTTATTTTTAAAGTAATGTTAAAGCATCTGCAAGTTTTTACCGTTGTAAGAATTTCATTTTTATTTGGTGATTCTAGCTCTTCTGAGCGATGTTTTTAGATGCTTTTTATAATTGTGATATGGTCATATCATTTCAGAATAGTTTCCCAAATACTGGAGCCCGTATTATGCTGTTTGTTGGTGGTCCATGCACACAGGTATCTCTTCTCTCTTTGCTATACCATTTATTTTATTCAGACCATTTTTCGAATATTTGTGAAAGCATGTCGACTAGTACAAATTTTTCATTACTATCTTTGCCTGTTTTCAAAAAGAAATGAAAGTACTGTATTTAGATTACAGGAGTTCTCAACCTCATTCTTTGAAATAAACACTGTACCAGGCACTTCCTTGTTTCAGGGGCCAGGTATGATAATTGATCATGAGTTGAAGAATGTGATGCGTTCCCATCACGACTTAGAAAAAGACAATGCTCCATACATGAAGAAGGCAATGCGGGTATGTAAGAGCTTGTCTTATGTTTTAATGCTACGCTTAATGCTACTCGGAATTTATATCATTGGACTTTATGGTGCACTGATTTGGATTGATCTCAGTCATCTGGAAGATATTAATACATACGTGTATATGTATGGTTTAACAGCTTTGCTTCGAAAATGATTAGCTCACAGTATTTTCCAGGCTTTTATGTGGAGAAGCTCACATTTTCAAGGTACATTGAAAGCTTGCAGCACGTAACAGTATGCTTACACACGTGTACCATATGCTACATTTTAGGTCAGCTCTTAGAAAACTGTTTTCATCTGTAAGATAAGTCATTCTGAGATGATTTCTATTAACCACAGACTGTCACTGGCATTGCTGGAACAACCAGAATTGAACAGAGCAAACAAGAGTAGCAACCAACATTTTATATATTGATATCCAGGAAGTGACAGCAACCTTTGATTTTTGCATAACCTCTTTTGAATACGATATGGGAAAAGTATTATTAGAATTATCCGATTGTTTCCAGCATTACGAGAGTCTTGCAAATAGAGCCTCTGATAATGGCCATGTAATTGACATATTTGCTTGCAATCTCGACCAAACTGGTGCTCATGAAATGCGACACTGTACCAATTATACAAGGTATTTATGATGTAATCCTAAAGCACAATCATGTATATTTTGCAACTTCTGGCTTCTAGCAGTCCTTTATATTTTCTGGCTTCAAGCTGTCTAGTATAACCTATATTCACCACATTTACCTTTGGTCTTTGATGCCTCTATCGATTTCACTTGAACACTTTTGTATCAAGAAAGATTTTCTATAACTGTCGGTACCAAATACACCAACTACATTGATGCCCAGTTGCCTATAGTTTGTGCTATTAATCTAGAAAAGTTCTCGCATTTACAATTTTTGCATTCTTTGTTATGCATCTCCCTTTTTCATTTGTAGAGTATGAATTTTCATATTGTAACCACCAGCCAATTAAATTTTATATGATCGATTCTGGTTGAATAGAGCTTAGACTAAAGTATCAGGGAAGCTAATGGTAGTAGCACAAGATGTGCCCCATTTATATAAGAATTAAGCATGAATGCAATGTTTTCTTATGGTATAGTGGCTATATGTTTATGGGTGACGCATTCGACACAGCGCTATTCAAGCAGACATTCCAGAGGGTTTTTTCAAAGGATCAAAAGGGTGAATTTAGAATGGCATTTGGTTCATCTTTGGAGATCAAGGTAAGGAAATTTTACTCTGCAGCAGAATCAAGTGTCAAAATATTTATTTTAAAAGTATGCCAATGTTACTTGTGTTTATAGTAAATTGTACAAAATCGTCACATTTGGGATATAATGTGTCCCACTATATTTGAATGAAGTAAATAAAGTGGGAGTAGGAGCTTATATTCACAGAAAATCAAGCCGAGACACCAAGGGTCGTCATCCTATCAGCAGCTAGCATAAATTTTGTTTGGCAACCTCAGGAAAGAAAGCATGTTTTATTTTTACTGTGTGAAGGCAGGAAATCTATTACTAATAGAGTTCGAAATGGTCAAAATAAGGCGAAAACGTGATGTTTTGAGATATATGCCTATTTTGGATCGAAATAGGCCAATCAGAAGCGTAGGCATATGACGGCTAACCCATCAATTCTGCTTGCCTGTAAAAAATGAACCACTGAATCCAAAGCTGAAATATACCCTTTCTAACAACACAAAAACGGTTTTTCAATTTTTATGTAGAGGAAGTCTAGACTGCTAGCTAGAACGACGACCAAGCTCTGCAGTTGGTTGAAACGTGTTGTCATCATAGCTTTTGCTACGATCTAGGTTAGCTGGAATGGTTGGTTGGATCAAAAACCAGATATAAACCCCTGTCAACTGAAAGCTAAATTAACTTTTCAATCTAAAGAGAGTCATGAATTATAAACATGTTTCACTCAAATGTCTTGTAGACATGCTTTTAATCAATTAAATGATTTTCAATAGACCTCAAAAGAACTGAAGATATCTGGTTGCATTGGACCATGCGTATCGCTGAAAAAAGGCGGGCCTAACATTTCTGAGACTGTAAGTCATACTTTTGACTATTTGCCTACGATTGTTTTTTCATTATAGTTCAAAACATCTTTGCTACTTTAGATATAACGGAAAGCTACTCTCACGCTATAAACCCTGTTTTATTTCTGTATGTGTCGAATTCCTCGATTTTCAGTACCATGTGTATATAATTCTTCTAAATGGTCATGAATTTCTACCCTTGATGCCTTTATACATTCCAGAGCAACTTAGCTGCAATTCTTTGAGGATTTAACCTTTTTCAAGTAGTCGTTGTTTATTTTCGATATTTCACCTTCTGTGCAGGAGATTGGCATTGGTGGAACAAGTTCTTGGAAAATGAGTGGGATCGATTCTGGGCTGACCTTGGCTATTTTCTTTGAAGTTGCAAATCAGGTTAGTCGATATATATTTCTGATATTTAACTATGTAATATCATGTAGACATAATATAATATTCGGCTGGAACACCAAGTTGGGACCGCGCCTCGAACTTCAAGGTAGGCGGCTGGGGAAGAAAAAGTTTGGCTATCACTCATTATAAATTATATCTTGCACTATATCACGGCCCCTTTTGCGTGCACCCCATTGTCGTGGCCCCTGAAGTATCACCTGCCTGTTATAGTTGAATGAGTTTTGTTCCTGCTGCTGGCAGGTTTCTCCATACTAAGTATATGTTAATAAAGTGCAGGTTGCTCCGTATGACCATTTCACATTCATTTTCTCTCTACCCTGGATCCTGTCGTCATCATTTATTCATTTTGTAATTACAGCACACAGCTCCAGTTCCCCAAGGTGGAAGAGGCTGTATTCAGTTCATCACCCAGTACCAGCATTCCAGTGGTCAAAGAAGAGTACGGGTGACAACTTGTGCTCGCAACTGGGTAGATGCTGCCAATTTGCATCATATTCCGTATGGATTTGATCAGGAAGCCTCGGCTGTGCTCATGAGCCGAGTGGCTGTTCACCGCTGCGAGGTCGACGATAACGTGCAAGATGTTCTTAGATGGTTAGATCGAATGTTGATTCGACTAGTGCAGAAATTCGGTGAATTCAACAAAGAAGATGCAAGCTCTTTCAGACTAGCGGAGAACTTCTCTCTTTACCCTCAGGTATTTTTTTGCATAATCTGAATTCTTTGAAAGAGTTTACGTTAAAAATTTTCTTGAATTTAATATATTTAATCAGTTTACACATTAAAAGATACTTGTATAGCCTTTCTTTGTTGACATTTGCTCATGTTGTGCTTGTTTTTGTATTAAAGGCCCAGTAAGATTACCTTTTGGTTAGTGTCACTGATCTCCCATGTTGTGTGGTTATGTAGAATTACAGCCCGGTGGTTGGTCTTGCATCTCGTTTGATGATAAAAATCAATGACCACATCAAAAACAACAATTGTGTGATAAATTTTTTTTGTCATTTTTTATTATTGCCTCCTGTTTCCTTTAACTCTCACGTGAATTAACCGGCTTGTTGTGTAGTTATTTTTCTAATAAAACTCCTGAAAACATTTCCTGAAAAGATCGCGAAACAAAAAAACTTATTCTAGACAAGACCTCGCACTTTTTCACTTTAGAACCTGATTTCTTGAGGACAAAATTTTTTAAGGTTTTGCGAAACATCTCTTGACAGAGTGATATTAGCGATAAGACTTTTAACCAAATTTTTAAGGTTGTATTATCAAGAAGCAGCACCTCAATAATATCCTGTTTGAAACATTTCGCTAGCTTCCCTCATGATACTGTGTAAACACATATAAAAACATATTCAAGTTTTTATATTTGCACGAAAGAAAGCCAAAATTTGACCAAAGAAACACTTTGATATTATTTCAACAAGGCCATGAAACTGAAACTTTTATTTACTAATTGTTATTCCTTTTTCAGTTTATGTTTCATCTACGAAGATCTCAATTCCTGCAATATTTCAACAACAGTCCTGACGAAACAGCATTTTATCGGTTTGTAGAATTTTTAAAGTACTATTATCTGAACATTGATTTAACAGTTTAATGTCCCACTCAAATTGTCAATATACTGGTACCTGGATTAACAAAAAGTTGAAAAGATTACCCATCATGTCAGTTATATGTCCTCTTCTGTGATTTTTAGAATCCCTCCCTAGGGTTTATTTTCGTTTGCGCAAAGCTGCTTTGCGATACCAACACGATGTTTTCGATAATTCTAAGCTAGCAAAAAAGAGATATGCCTATCTTGGAATCATTAATGTTTTGATATTACTGGCTTAATTGCAAAAAATTTGGTTCTAGACACTGTATGGATCGAGAAGATGTCACAAACTCGCTTATCATGATTCAGCCAATATTATACTCCTACTCGTTCCATGGACCTCCAGAGGTATATTTTTTTTTCTTCGTGTGACGTCATTCACAAACATGGCAGCCACAATAATGTATAGCCTCGCTATATGTTGGCATCGTGCTTACTTACTTTTTCCCCATTTTTGTTGATTTCTAGCACTTTTATGATACCTTGTATAGGATGGGAGGTAAGGCAAGAATTAAGAATTTACAATTTCACTTATGAAAAAATAACTCGAAGCATTTTCCCATACTTAACAAGTTGACAATCAATGGGAAACACTTGAAAATTAATATTGGATTTTTTTGTCAATGAATTTGTGCAATTTCGTTATATGTTAAGTAATTTCTCGATGTCCGTTTATCGTCTCTAAATTTTTCACCGGATCAGTTTCTTTTCCCATTTTTTGGGAAACTCATGCTCAAACCTTATTTTGAAATCTTCTCTTATTTTAGCCAGTATTATTGGATTCGAACAGTATTATGAGTGATCGAATTTTACTACTGGACACATTCTTTTTAATCCTTATCTATCATGGAGAAGTGAGTATTTTTTTTATCAGCGATTTGTCTTACTGGAATATTGGCTATTTTAACGATATCGTTATTCATTTCTGGTAATAATAACTCTTTTTAGCTCCCAGGTGGTTTACTTGATTTTTAGGTCATATCGAGAGTTGGTGCTTATTAGAAAGGGGGCTTATTAGAGAAGAGGCTTATTTTACTAGAGAGGGGCTTATTAGAGTGAGGCCTTGCAATCGAGAGGCTTACTGAATCGGGGCTTGTTTTAGAAAGCAGCATAAAGATATGAGATGTTTTTTTAACACGTTTGTATGTTACGAAGCTACTGATAATAGTATTAATGTAAGTAAATAGGTTTTGTGACTTCGAATTTGAAGTTGAAATGTTTTTTTAAATAGTTTCAGTACATCAAACTATGAAATCATTCCAGTAAATCTTAAAAACGAAGTTGCCTTTTCCTGGGCATGTTATTTTACTATGTGCTAATACCATTTTTTTAGATTTATATTGAAAACTTTCTCTTAAGCGTTTGACTAAAGCTTGCCGCCCCTTCTTTTTGTAGACGGTTTTCCAATGGAAAGAACAAGGATACCACAACGATCCAGCCCACGAGAATTTCAGGCAGCTGTTACAAGCTCCAGTCGATGATGCCCAAGAAATTCTTCAAACGAGATTCCCCGTACCACGCTACGTCCAAACCGAACATGGCGGCAGTCAGGTACGTTTGTCGTGGTTTTTAGGCAAAGCACACTTTTTTATTTAACTCTAATGTTTATTTTTTGTGTAAAGGAATTAAATAGTTTACATTTCACTTCCGCATTTGAAGGCATACGATTGCAAGGAATGTATTCTTAAACTGAATGTTTAGATGTTCGCAAACCAGAATAGTTTATTGAATTTCCCCCAAATTTTGTTGCTGCTTTTATGAGATTGCTACACCCTAAACTAACATTTGTAGAAATACTTGTTTATACAGATGCAAGGTCTTTTGATCCTGGAAAAAAGTCCACATTCTATTCTCACTGCAGCCCGGAATTACATTCTATTCTCCTCCTTCGGACTCATTTTCTTTGAATCATAGCTTTTAGTAATCAAGAATTCTTTCCCATTTTGCGAAAAATTCTCCTTCGTCCAGTGTAAATGAATTTTACACAAACCCTCATTCTTGTTACAATCGCATGTCAATTTGCTGCAGGTTTTTTTTGTTTAAAACTTTTTAAAATTCCTATTATCAAACATACATCTTTTGAGGCCTGGAGATTTTAATCGCTTTATTTCATACGCCGAGCCACCTTAACCTGGCATAGCTCAACGAGATTTCGTTCTCTTTTTAGGCGCGTTTCCTTTTGGCGAGAGTCAACCCGAGTCAAACACACAGTAACATGTTTTCTTGGGGTGGTGACGGAGGATCTGCCATTTTGACTGATGACGTCAGTTTGCAGACCTTTATGGAGCATTTGAAGAAACTGGCTGTTTCCAACTCATCTTGATAGACCCTAAATTTTCCCTAGTTTGTGTCGATATTTTTTCCAAAATGTAAATCTGAGAAGAATGTATGGGCCAAAGTTGAAATGGTTCTTATTTCCATGAAATTTTAGAGTAAGATATTCAATAATTTAGATTCCATGCAAGCAAAAGTTTAGCTTTAGTGAAATGCACCTTTGTCCAACCATCTTGGGGCACAAAGTTTACCCAGGTTGCAATTAGCGACGTAAATGCAGTTATTTTAAAATACCACAGGCAAATTTTTACAATACGATTAGTTAACTGTACCCGTTTTTTAACCAAACCACCAAAATTTTGTTTTGGACTTATCTGTTTCTTAAACTTGTAAGTTGTAATGGAGACTAATCTAATGCTGATTTCTTAAAACATACTTTCAAACAATAAATAATTGATTTTTGAAAACAATTTCCGATTTGTTAGTTTGTTTTTTTTATCTGTTCATTTAAAGTCTACCTTGAAAGTTTACCTAAAACCTGTCTCAAAATTTTCAGTAGAACCTTGAAAGATTGAGAAATACAAAAGCCTTATAGTTAGTTTCACTATTTGCATAATAAGATGATGGCCTCCTGTTTTTGGAATACAAAATTCAACGCCTTCTAGAATTACTTGGAACACCTAACATCTTGAGTTGTTTTTCTATATTTTCACATTTCTTTCTCCAATTTTACTACTTCCGCCAGCCCCCCCCCCCCCCCCCCACCACCCAGAACATGTTGAAAATCAGGCAAATATCATACAAGTCACAGAGCAAATATTACTACCTAATCCACGACATCATTTTATATTCGGTTTCTTGTCAAGGGGAGGGAGGATGGTGGTGTTTGCACTTGAAAACTGACGTTGGAAACATGATAAAAACAGACATTTCTCGTTTGAATTATATCAAGCGGCAGCCAACTTACATTATATGAAAATTGTTTCAGGGAAAATTGAGTATTTGTAACCATTTATTTGCAGATAAAAGATTTTACAGGAGAGTTGCTTTTCTCCTTGTTTCAAAAACGATGTGCTTACAAACATACAATTTCTATGCAATTCTCCTATGATAAGCATGGTAAAAATTTTAGAGCTCAGCTATGAAAAACAAGTTTGGCCGATTTTTACCTAAAGTTTGCCAAGTATTGCTAGTGAATTAGTTTCCTCTTCATGAGTTAATTTTTCAAACCATTTTGAAGTCTTGCTATAAACAACAATTAATTAATATTTATTTATGTGCCCAAAGCTCATTTAAAAATGATGAAGTCAGACCAAAAATATTCTACCAAGTTTGGATACAGTATAGTATTTTCAACATGCTTCCAAAAACAAGTTGAATCAGAAATAGGCTTGTTCAACTTGCAATAGTAGAAATATGTTGTGAGATAAAATTGCAGGATAAATTGACTATTTTTTAAAAGAAAGATTGCTAAGCAAATGATCAAAATGTTTGTAAATGAAATGAAGAAGAAAACATTCCAAGACAAACTTTTCGTGTGACATTGTTTAGGGTAAAATTTCAGTTGTACGAATCTCCTTGCTTTGAAAAGAAATAGCCTCTCCCATTAGAAATGTTGCTTGGTTGGTATTTTGCTGTAAAGTAACTTCAAAAGAATACATCGTGCATAAATAAATCGGTATGTAACGCTGAACAGGGATAATGTTTTGTCATAGGGTATCACGAGAGAGAGCGTGCAAAGATGGCTGAATGTAGCGTTGTGCATCGTTCCAGACTCTTTGACACAATCAAACAAAATCGTCAATCATATCATCTTTATTATTAACTTATTTTTAGTAGCCATTATCTTTACACAAACTGCTCCATAAGCTCATTTAGGCCCACTAATCTTAGAGCAAACGGTAGTTCAGGCTTGCAACTGTTAAGTATGTTATGCAGTTAAGTGGTAGCCAGGGGCGTGATGGGAATTCTTATGGGCCGGGAAATCAATTTTTAGGGGCCGCCATTATGATGCCGATTGTTTCTTATTGTTATCACTTATAAAATGTTGGAAATTAGTGTCGCGGAGGCAGCGTGGGGCCTTACTTCAATTGTTTTTTCTCACAAATCTGATGTAACAAATGATAAAAGCTTAAAAGGAAGAAAAATCCAAGGGGCCTGCATGAAAAGTTTCAAGGGGCCTACCGGGCAATTTCCCGAGTCCCGGTGGGCCACCCCACTCATTGCGGTAGCTGTTAACTTGCAATACTTTCGATAATGTTGCTACTTTTGAGGCCGCTGATTGGCATTTTCATGAATCACAGGTTCACAAGAAATTAATCACGTCAAAAATTCAGCTAACGGAATGATTGCAGACAATCGCAGTGATCGGTTTTTTCAAGAATCGCAAAAGGCGTAAACATTAAGCGAGATAACGATCGGCGACGGCGAGATCTTCTTCACGATAATTTTTCTCTGTTCATAAGAAGCAGGCCCCAGAATCTGTGTTCTCTAGATCTTTGAAAGGACCTCATGAAGTGCTTGAACGTTTTAGCAGGTTTTTGTTATTTATGACCAATACTCCTCAATCTAATTTCTTTGTTCCATAAAAGACTTTGCTTGTTCTGATTATCGCACAGTTTGGACATGCGCAGCTGTGTCGACGTGAAACAAAAGACATGTGGAATTTTTCGACCACCTGTTAAAAGAATTCTGCCATTTTGATCAGCGGAAGATCAATGTTCGTTAGGCGAATAAAAAGCTTGTTTTCTAACTGAAATCTTGTGCTATATAATTCGTATTATTTTCTCGTCAAGAAGAGATCTGTGAGCAATCGACAGATGGGTGTTGGTCTCACTCTTCTTTAAATGGTCAACAGATGAAAGAGAACGTCGAGAACTATTAGAATCTATCTGATCTCTAGTACCTAGACTTTTGCTACGTAGAAATGGAAAATTTTATTATTTCTTGCATTGTGGTTACATCGCTGCTCGTCGGAGTAAGTTGTCATGAAAATAAAGGCCAACATCATAATCAAAACAACCAAAGGAAGGCCCCAGTTCACGATTCGAAGCATATTCACAACAAAGAGTATGTATAATTTTTATTCCTTTATCGAATCTGTAGAAAAAAGTTCAATTTTAGATGTTGAAATTATCCATTTCATAATTGCTCCCCTTAATTAGTTAAAACTAAATAATATCTTGCTAATACAACCATGTGGCTATCGGTCATTAAATCACAGTTTTAAAAAGCCAGGTGCATTAATGATATTTTCATTAAAGGTTTTCATTGATAATGAAAACCCCTTTGATTTAGAGAGTTGATCAAATGGAAGTTTTCTAGCTCGATTTTCGAAGTGCAAAAGAATCCCATTTGCGGTTATAAATATCAATCGCTATTGAGCAACAAACAATTAATATAGCACTTTTTTTATAAAACTGGCATGACAACTTATTTCATAGAATTAAGATTTTGCTCTTTAAATTTGTTTGGTGAAATGGCCATTTTGATCTTTAAATCTTCAATTTACTGCTCGGTCAGGTACGACATGTGATTGTTAAACATTCTGTTGGTCACAATGATGGTACCAACGGTAAAAACATGAGGGTACTAGCTGGTACTCCACAGCGTCCTTTGATCTGTATTGTAGTAGAATCCCGCTATTGCCAATTTCGTAGATACCAAGAATAAAGTTCTTAATAGTTTGCTTTTCTGGGGGCTTAGTTAGATACAAAATAAATTCAAAGGAAACAGAATTGTAGTTCGTAATAGCGAGAGTATCGTAACTAGCTGGGTTCGTAATAGCATTATTCCACTAAAGTATTTTGGAGACATTGACATATTCATTCCAAACGACGTATACATCGATGCAGACCTCTTTTTCACAAAAAAGTAGCTAACAGTAGCAGGAATAGCGGGAGTAGAGAGTGAAGAGGGCTTTAGCAATCACCTCCCTAATTTTCCTAAAAGTAATTTCAACCTTACATTAAACAATTTCCCTTTTTAGCTCTAACTATAGTAAACATTTATTAGCAACCTCTTCCAATCTATAATAAAATCCATATTTCCTGATGACTAGTCACATATGTAAATATTTATGTCAAAAAACCGGTTCCTTAGGACTTTTTGTGACCCTCTCTATCCCCTGTCTCTGTTCAATGCCTCTTATTTCCTTGAGCAAAGGGAAGTTTTTTTAGAGAAGAATTTTTGGAGACATTTTCCTTATTTAATGATAGGGGCTAAAGCCGTCCTTACTTACATTTAACAATACACTAATACATTCATACTGTTTACTGATCATAAATTTTCAACAATCAACAATATTGGATGCAGAGTTCAACTGATTAGTTGCAATTTAATTTGAAAATGTGTTTATGATTTCTCTTACAGACATATTAAGGAGCACTTGCAAGAATTCACTGACGTCAAAGAAGAAAATCTTAGCGACGATAATTTACAATTTCACTATTTCAAAGTGCATGACTATGATAACAATGATAAACTAGATGGAATAGAACTGGCGAACGCAATGAGCCATTATCACGACGAAGAGACGGGCGAACATGCAGAGGAATACAGCGAAGAAGAATTAGCAAGCATGGTGGACCAGATTTTAGAGGAAGATGATTTAAATATCGATGGATATATAGATTATCCAGAATTTATTGAGTCGCAAAAAAGAGAAGAAGCAGCAGCTGAATAATTAGGTTAAACATTGAGAACTATTGATTAAGGGTTTTAAAATTCATTTATATTTTGCTAAGAAATTTCGTGTATTTGGAAACCAAACGGCGTTGAGACGCTCTAGCCAGAGAGAGATAGAACAGATTCGGTAGAAACTGCCTTTTCATATTGACATTAATTTAAAATAATAAATGTTTTTATGATACTTTTAATGAAGATAGAAAGCAATTTTACCTTAAATTACACATTACTGGTTACCTTAAATTCTGCTTTGGAGAATTACAATTTGGCCCAGAATTTTACACACATGTATTAAAGTATGCCCCGTAAGTTCATCAAAGAACCTTTTTTGCAAAACCTGGCTTTTGAAAGCTTCCATGTACTTTCGATATTATCATTTTGTTATGAATGTGCAAAATCTTTTGCAAAATCATGTACAATGCCCAATATCAAAGATACCGTCAAGGATTTTATACTATATTGACGCTAAAGGCAATGCTGCATGGCTATTTAATGTGATAAGTAGTAAAGAAATAAAAAAACCCGATGTTAAAATAAGCCAGAAAAAAGCTTTAATCGTTTTGGTCTGACTGTAACGGACGACAATGGATGTTATAACTTTGAAACACTGGGTTTTCTCAGTCTTGGTCATTCCCTGGAAGTGTTTGAATTTTTTATGATAATATTTCAGGTTGCCCATTTTTTGGAACTGTATTGGTCAACCAAATGACAGGTCGACTTATACCTTATAGACTAATACACAAAGATCTATGCCAAAGGATAACTTTAGAAAAATTTTGACGGGAGACAAGCCTACTTCTTAGAGTCATTATTTTCAATCAACCTATTTTCTGCGTTTTGAATTTCTTTTTTTTTGTGTTTATTTATCACTTCTACAAATTTTTTGGATGAATAATAAATCAATCTTGGATACTCAGTTTTTTGACATGGTTTTTGGTAAAGCCTATCTCATGTACACAACAAATCAATTTTTAAAAGTGTTCAACGAATTTGAATACTTTTTGCTTAAGTCTCAAGGACAGTCTCAAGGATGGACACTAAATTTTCAAAAGACACATTTTCCTAACCCTATAGTCCTTTGCACGATCTGTTTTGAAAAAGAAGCTTCAATAGGTTAAGTGAACGTGGGAAACATGGGAGGGTAACGATTCAGTAAACCTTGTATAGTAACAATAAAACAAAAAATTCGACTAAATAATGGTAAGATTCCTACAAGCACGAAATAACTTACGACGAGACTTATCCAACATATGGAATCATTCCTTTTGTAACCTTTACCCAAACCTGAAACAACATGTACGTAATGCAGAAAAGTTCCTATTTGCAAACGATGATGCAATCACAGTGTAATGGTGTGTCACGTGATATTGTTCAAATGTCCTAACACACCCCCATCCCATTCGCCATTTCCCTGGTGGAAATACAAACTTTCGCACTTTACTTTTCTTGTGATAGAAACAGGAACAGCTATACATTTGACCTTGTTCATGGAAGGCTTTATTTCAAATTTAAGATTTAGAAAACAGTGATGATAGAAATATTATAACCTTTTGGAGGATGTAGTTGCTTGGGGTAGCTAAAGTTTGGTGGATATGTTGCGGAAGAAAATATAAAAACTTGTCTCTCAGACATTAAGAATTGCTTCCTAAACGAAGAAGCGTACATCTATGCCCTCAGTATACAAGGATAGGAAAGCCTTTTCCCATTTACTGATTTGTTACTTACCTGTGTGAAATTGAAAATAAGTCTGTGTGGAGAATTCCCTCATCAGGGGGCACCGAGGGTGGGCGCTGAAGGCCAGACATTACCCCCAGGGGGTTAGATAAAGAGGAGTGGTGGGTTTATTTGATGTTCCCTATTCAAATCACTGTGGTGAAAATTAAAGCCTCCAAGCCCACCCACTTCCGACAGCCCTGTAGCCTAAGATATTTTGCTAGGAGGCAAAATTCCAAAAGAAACATACCTCACATCTTGCTATTGTGCTGTTGCTTTAGAGGAATTTCCGGATGCCCCCTTGTTCTCTAAGCTCTACACCCCCCTGTCCTCTATAACAATTAATTGTCATCTCAGAGTTATCCTGAGTATACATGCGTGCGCAGCTATTCTTAGTTACAAATAATTTCATGTCGGGGTTATTCTGCTGCTTATTCTGAACGCCATTTATAACCGGATCTCAAGGAAACTGCCTTTCCGTAAGTTGCGAGGTATATATGTCCCAAGAAGATTTTTCCACTAGTATGAAGTTATGAAGAATCGAAGCGAAGCGAAGAAAGTTATTTGACACAGAGGACTACCTACTTAGGCCCTACCGTGCTGGCTTCCTTTTTACGCTGTAAATCTGACGCTGGATCTCGGTTTACAGTAGCAAATGAGCTCAAATTTCATACAGCGTGAAAGTTATCTTTGTGTTCAGTGATCATTTCAAAGAAACAAAAATACAGTAAACTGGTTGGTTATAAAGTCTGGCAAGGATGGGAGAAACGTATGGTGAGTTGTTATGGCCTGTATATAAACAAATTTGGCATCAGATTTGTTCGAAGTGTGAAGTGTCTCCAGAGTTTTGAACTGTATTTAATAATATTTATTATATGAATAAACACACTAGGATATTCGGTGTTCGCACGATTTCTTTACTATCTAGCAAATTTTTTCAGGCTGTCGTTTGTGATCTCTTAAAAGTCATGCAAAACAGGAAACTGGTTTCACTAATTGTTTTCTTGTTGTAAAGTCCAATATTTCAGGCCATTTTAAAAATTTCTGCATTTAATTACGAGTATATCTTGAATATTTTTGAGTTGTTTGACTAAAAGTCAATTCCTATGGTTTTCATACGTTACTGGAGTTTGTTATTTAGATTTACTGAAGTTTTATTATTAAATTTGTCACGTAATATCACATGATGAAAATGTTCATTTTTATTCTTATTTTACAGACTATCTGTTCAAATTTTTAATTATTGGAAGTGCTGGAGTTGGGAAGTCATGTATACTACACCAGTTTATGGAAGGAAAATGTAAGCATTAGAGGAATAATATCATACATAAGGTCTTCTTTGTTTCACAGTTTTAACTTTGAATTGGTCTCTCTTAAAATGAAGCTTTTGTCACTGAAATACATATTTTCATAACTTTGCATGGGAAGCAATGCTGAAGGTTTAAATTGATTTTTATAAAAAGAAAAAGATATCAATACATATTTGGATATATATATTATTTATGCAAACTCATGGCTATGGTCTTTATAGTTTTGGAGCAGCTGACTCATAGCTCTAACTATTTTGTAGCTGTGATCTATGCAAGTCTGAGGGAATTACGAGGAGGGGGCTGTTGCTGCACTTTCTGAAAACATTGCCTTAATATTTTCCCAAAATCTCTATGGATGAGTGGTTGTATCCCATTCAGTGTGTGTCACTTTCTAGAAGCCTCTAGCCAATTCAGCTGTCCATCCTTTTAGGGGACAAGCCACAGGCCCACATCAGCTGTTTGCTGCCAGAATCTTAACCATGTTTACAAATAAACCTTATTCGCTTGTTTGGGGTAAAGAGGTAGGCAGACCCATAACATTTTGACATCAATGAAAAATGTTGGGGAAATTTATACACCTTAGGTGTTTTTGTCCAATATAGTGAAAAGGACCTTTCCTTCTTTTCTGAGAGTATGTAATCAAAGCAATGCTTTGCACAATTTTGCTCAGTGCCTGGCATTATGATCCCTGTACTTTTCTGGAGCTGTGCCCACCATTGCCTTGAAGCCATGTTGTTAGTTGTATTTGCTTGTCTATTAGTGTGTTTATAACTTTATTACTTTTACTCAGTCAAACAAGATTCCCACCACACTATTGGTGTTGAATTTGGATCCAAAATTGTTAATGTTGGTGGAAAATCAGTGAAATTGCAAATATGGGACACTGCAGGACAAGAAAGATTCAGGTTACTTAATTGAGATCTTATACTTTATAGTGAATGTTCACAGTCATGATTCATGTGATATCATTTGATTCTAAAATACACGTAATATGTATGTGTGTGATTTTATTTAAAGTTGAATTTATAAAAAAAATTTGGTTTATATAGCTTTCTAAATATACACTGATCCAAATTAACTAGTAACTCAAGGATCTTCTTTTACCTCATGTTTAATTACATCTAAATAAAAATGTTTGCAAAGCAATAAAAATGAAAAAAATCATTGTAAGTTGAAGCATGAGAATCCTCTATTAGAAGCATTCTCAAGGTCAATGAGGAACAGGCATATTTAAAAGCCCATTGGATGCCACTTAAATTTTCAATTTTCTGGATTATTTTTTAAAGATCTGTCACAAGAAGTTATTATAGAGGGGCAGCAGGAGCTTTGCTGGTCTATGATATAGCTAGGTAAGCTGTTCATATTTGTTTTGTGTGCTTATCAATCCTACTGAAAAGGTAGAAATATTTACAAATGCTCTATCTGACATTTTTCAGAGTATATCCCTAATAAAGTTGTAAAATTTGATGATAAAGATCCACCATGGATGAAGAGGGAATTAAAAACTGCTATTAAGCATAAACACAGAATATATGCTAAGTTTGTTAGATGTGGGAAGATAATGAGCATTACTTTCTGCACTGCCCCCAGTTTACTACAGCTCAGCGCCAAGCTCTCCTTGGTCAAGTCTTGGATGTCGGATATGATGTTGCTAGCATGAACTCAAAGGATCTTTGTCATTTGTTGTTATATGGGAACCCAAATGGAAGCACTCTGCAAACAGAATCATCCTAGAAGCAACTATTTCTTTCATTAAAACTACTGGACGTCTTCTGGAAAAACAGCAGCCTAACTTCTCTTTTTCCTCCTTTTTTTGTTTTTTATGGTTTTTTTTCTTTGTCTTGATTAAGCGTGTATATGTATTTAACCTTTTCTTTTTATTGTTAATTTACTGTTGTTATTTCTTAGAACACTGTAAGTGGCATTTCTAGTGAGGATTCGGTGACCCTGCGTCTTTCCTCGCTACAAATGCCACAGTATCATACATTAACCTTGTTGTTTTTAACCTTTTGATTAATAAATAAAAAAAGTGTCCTTATTCATCTTGGGAACGGCATTTAATCCCCAGATTCTCTGAAGATATTGAAAATAACTGACATCTGCAATTTCCAGTGCTAGTGAAACAGGTAAAAACTAATAGGCCTTGCTCACACCTCCAAGCCCAGATTTTGTGATAAGGTGTTTCATGGAATTTCATCCTTTTCTTCATGAACTTGATGAAGATAAAGAATTGCAATGCCTACCCAAGAAAACTAATAAGTTGACAAGATATAGAGGAACCAATTTTGTCGAAGAAAAAAAATGTTGCCTCTTAATAGTAAGGTCTGTAACAAGCACAATTACTACTAACAAGTAGACAATTTCAAAGTTCACATAAGAATATTTGATAAGCTGCCCAAAATCTTAATCTTTGGAGGTAATAAGCAGAGTTTCAGGAAACTTCACTTCTGTAACTTTTTATCATTGAAGCAAGAATCCTATTCAAATATTCATCAGAATGTGTTCACTGTATGTGAGAGTTTCAGCAAGAATCCTAGTTTGAAGAAGTATCTACTACAGTAACAGAAGCCCCTAAAGTTTTATACAGGAGTGCAACTTGGCTTAACCATGGTTGATGTTTCTGACTGCAAGTGCAAATGTTTCTGACTACATGATTATTGTACATCTCAAACATGTCTCAAATTTACCAACTCCCTAATATAACCTAGCATTCATTTCCTTTAGAATAGATTATTTTCAAATATTGTTCCATTTTTTCAGTCGTGAAACATACAACAGTCTGACTACCTGGTTGACAGATGCCAGGACACTAGCCAGCCCAAATATTGTGATAATTCTTGTTGGGAACAAGAAAGACTTGGATGCAGAGAGAGAAGTGACATTCTTGGAAGCTAGCAGATTTGCCCAAGAAAATGGTACTTTATCTTATACATGATTATTTTCTTACATTGACTTACAAAGCTCTTATCAGATAGAGCTCTTGCATTTTCTAACATCTCATACCGTTAATCTTAGAACTGATGTTTTTGGAAACTAGTGCCATGACTGGAGAGAATGTAGAGGAGTCCTTTCTGAAGTGCTCAAGGGTTATTCTCAACAAGATTGAAAGTGGTATGTGTACAACTTTGGCTCTGTATATTTCTTATAAATTTATGTTGGTGTAAAGCTTTGAATATGTTGAGTTTTTATGTTTAATGAACTTGGTATAACTAAAATTCATTTTTAAAAAAGCACCAGTGAAATTGAGAGAATGAGTTTAGCTAGGGGTAGCGTTTGTACATATTGTTATTAAGATAATGCTGAGTATCAAGAAATACTGCCATTACATATTGTTATTAATAAATACACATTGTTATTAATATAATGCTGAGTCTTTTTGTGTCAAAATGTTTTTTATCTTATTAATTCAGTTGATGAAGCAGAAATAAGGGTTACTTACATAGGGTCAGATATGCAAGTTTTTCAGGAAACCTGGGCAGCTAGTACAAAAGCCATACCCAAATTGCCTATGGCAGAATAGGGCATTTACAATGGCTATTGAACCAAAAGGGCTAAATATCTGGCTCCTGCACTGTATCAATGAATTAATTTGTTTATGGTTTTGGTGGTTACTTTAAACTTTTCCAAAGAAAACATTTATAACATACATATTTATGGAAATTTTAAGTCAAATCTCACCTGACAGTGTCTAAACGTTTGATAGCCACGGCCTCGACATTTCTTATGAAATAATCTCCATGATAATTAAAAAAGAGTTCAAAAAATAGAGATATTGAATTAAGTATTATTGATATAAGAATATTTTAATATTTTCTTTTCTTTAAACCACTTTTTGTGATCTCATACAAAATAACTTTGAATGCAGGTGAGCTTGATCCTGAGAAAATGGGCTCTGGTATTCAATATGGAAATTCATCAATCAGACGGACGATTCAGCCAAGAAATGAGGAAAAACCTGCTTGTGCATGTTAGGATGTTTGCAGCATTGGGCATTGAAAGGGGAATTTATTCTACAATCTTTTGCAACACATTAAACTCAACATGCTTTTGATGTGTGTACATAAACCAAACAAGAAAGGCTGAATTGTTAACAAGCATTTTGATCACTTAGTTCCTTATTAGTGATTTTAGAATTATGTTTAATTGATAGCACACCCCTTTGTTGTATGCAGATTCTAACATTTATGACTTCGTTGAGATGGATACTGAAATACTATATTGGTAATAGCATACCTGTCATAGCTTTTATCATTACTTTTTCCGCCAAATCATACATTGACAAGAACGTTTTTATATAACCAGGTTTATTTGATAAAAAGTAGTACAGGTTGTTAATAAGTAGCCTTGAAAGAAGCAGCACTCTGTAATGTTTGAAATTAGTAATTGCAGCATTCTGTATCAACATTTAATTTGAATTTATTTACTAGGTAAAGGGTCATCCTAACAGAATCATCTCTTTGTGATCCCAAACTTATATGTCTGATAAATTAGGCAGCACATAACTTAAGAACTAATTTTTTCCCCCTGTTTTTGATAAGGCATATTTTCCAACCATTTTTTGAACAGGTAAGAGATAGGAGAGTCTATTGTGATTCAAAAGCACAAGTCAACCATTTTTTCTAAGCACTTTAACCTTTTGTCAGCTGTTCTATTTGATTCTTAGTATCTGTTACCAAACTAAGGTTATTTAAGCCTGTACTGAGTGCAAAGATATGGCCTTATAGACCCCCAAAAAGCAGTTTGTATACTGGAAATGCCTGCCATAGGTGATGTAATTGCTATCATAGCTGATAAGTTTTCAATGTGTAAAAACTTGCTGAATTATTATGCTTTTATTTAATTATGATTGGAGTGACATAAACCTTGCTTTTTCTTAAAAGTTTAAACAGCAAGTCAAAAACAGTAGTTTTAAGGGTAAATTTATAATTATGGATGTATGGTACCCAAGTCAAAGATGTTGCATAGCCATCTTACAATTAATTCCTCATTGTGATTTTGCAGGTTCTAATTATCAGAAATTGTTTTAGCATTGACAAAAGCTTTCATTATATGTATTTTTGGGCTACCTGACTGCCAGTATTATGGGTTTGTTGAGGTCTTTAAGATGTTTTGAAATTTTAATAAGCAACATTTTCTGCTGTCTGTTTTCAAACAAGGAAGATGTGTTTGATGCAAATAGTTGCAAATAGTTGCACTTGCATTTACTTTTATTTTCATTGTGTTTCACTTTAGAAAACAATTAGCAAGCTAAGCTAATTTTGAATCGGTTATAAGGTATTTGATAGCGCTACTCTTGATATCAAGCTGAACAGATCTTAAAAAGAAATGGAGTTTTGTTGACCTTAGGCATCAAATCCATCCTGAATCATAGAAACATTACATTTCACATTGATTACCACATGATTTGGGCTGTGGATGAGTATAGTTTTAAACTAAATGCTTTCAGTTTCAAACATTCTTACATTCAAAACGTTTTACTGCAGTTAAAAACGTGAACACCAGCAAATGTACTCATCTTCGGCTATACTTGTAACAATTACCCTGTCATCTACATCTAAAATCTAAGATAAGAACAGAAAATTCTAGATCACAACCGGTGCAACGCCTAAGCCATGCTTACTACTGCTCCTTGCACAGTCACTGACAAGTCAATGTATAATTTCAATCACCTTATTAACGTAGGGAGACAATTAACTGGCTACAACAGGGTTATGGAAACGTTTTACACAACAATATTCTAAATTCAAATCTGTAACGTCATTTTATGATCAGAACAGTTAATAAAACAAATTACACACTTAAAAAAAGGCGTGCTATTCCACGGCAACACAAAAACAAACCCATACTTTAAAAATTAAACAAACACAAGACATAGCTTTGAAATGTCCCAATTCCTTTAATGGCAGTCAAGTTTTACTTCAATTAACTATATGCCACAGAAATCTTAATTCAAAGATGCACATTTGTTTGAAGCAGAATAATGCCTGGACTTGCTACAAGTCTTGGAGTCTACAAGTCCAAATAATGCCAGATGACACAAAGGCCTGACATAATCTAAAGCTCTTAATCAGTTTTTTCATGCTGGTAATAATTAGCTCATAGCTGTAAGCTACCTATGACTCTTCTACTTCCAACAAAAAAATCGATAAGTTTAATCGAGAAGGGATTAGAAATCTCACCAAAGAAAAAGTAGTTTGATAACATGGTAATCGGGGATGATAATTCCTTTAAAAAAATCTTTGCAGTTTTGGCCCCTACCCACTAAAAGTAATGGCCCAGTCGGGTCTCCATTTCAATAAAGCTTTTGACATGTCATTTTCTTAACTTGCTGCTGACAGATGAATATTGCCTTTAGCGTGTTTGAAAAACTTTTATTTAATGGATAGTTGAAAAGCATTCAATATTCTGCTAAATTTTTTCCTTAAAAACGAAAAGTTTTGGAAATTTATGTGACATATACTTAAGAGAGTTCTTTTATGTAATAGATTCATCTGCAGTCCTTCACCGGGCATTTATACGACCCAGAAGCGCTGTTTTTAAAAAAATGGAAAAAATCTTCTACCGTACCAATTGCTACCTTCTATTTTGTAAACGAACTTACAGCTTACAATCGTTGGTTAGTAGACAATCCCTGACAATATTCTATATCTTTTAATGGCTTAGCCTATTAATTTTTTCGCATTTTGCTACTTGTGTTACCAGCAATGGTTACAATCACATGCACAAAGACAATGCCTCATTACATAATGGTCCGTTTGACAGAAATTTGAGTTTATTTCGATGAAACGTTGCTCAGGCAATCTAAAGTTCACATACCTCAAGACCAACAATCAAGTAATTGTAAATAGACTTCCTAAAAGTATACGAAATTTTACAGGGGCAAAAACACAGACGGCATATTTATATTATATTTTATGCACACCGCTATATACTATATATATATTCGACCTTGTGTATTCTTAAAAGAGATGTACACAACTACAGATAAAAGACAGTTTGTCAATATGCTTCGCTTGAATAGGGCCTACGGCTACCCTTCAGACTGAGAGGCCAAGTATCCGTCGGGATGTTGGTGTTGCTGCAAAGCTCTCATTGTTGCAGCATCTTGTGGAAGGCATGACTTTCGTCTGGTTGCCTGTCGAGCTTCTTCTGTATTGACCCGCTCTTTTATTTCAGAGTTCTTAAGCTGTGAAGATGACACAAAATAGACACTGACTCATTATTCTCTATAAAACGCATAAAGCTATGGGGTAGGCATATTATATCTTCATGTACGAAAATGCCATATTCCTAGGGACAGCACCTATGGAGCCAACTTACAACCCCACTTCTAAGTGACTGGCGTTGCCTGTACCGGTGGATAGGGCATCAAACATTGGTGCCCAGTGTGGGATAGAAACAAATGCAAGACACCATTGGCCATTGCCTGTATGACATCGGCTTTTAAACAGCGAAAACCGTTCCCTATTTTGCTGATGAATATTAGCCGTGTGATGAAGATGCATCTTCAAATATTGTGAGAAAATAAAATATCACATATTGCCAGTTTGTTATTTTCATAATGGGAAACATTTTCACTGGCTTGCAAAATTCGAAAAACATTGTTGGCTGGTTGTTCAAATTATCATAATATATTATAAGAAAGGGTTTTTCGCTAAAATTTATTGAAACGGCGGTTTTATCATCATGCATTCATTAGCTAAATTAATGACCTCATGTCACTAATAAAACAATTTGCTACTGTTTTTACCAAAGAACTTCCCTGTTTAGAAATATCACAACAACTGACAAAATTCATTTCTAACTAGTTCCAGGCAGGCTCGGTGGGATTTTAGCCCTACAAATCTATTCGTAAATCCGAAAACAAATTACCTGTTTGGCCAATACGTTAGAGTCCATTATACCATCGGCATCATTGTTGTTTCCATTTGTGTTGGCGAGTATGGACGGATCAGTTGTTCCATGGTTAGCAAGCAATGGCAACTCCTCTCTTAACTGAGGATTGACTTCATATACTCTCTTGCACTAAAAGTTTCGACAATCGAAATGCATCAACAAAATGGGGCGGTGGAAAACAATAGTCAGCTGAGTGTTTGCAAACAATAATAAATGCTTTTCTGGCGTAAAAAAAATAAAAAAAGCGCAATGTCAGGAGCACAGTGTCTTTAAGAGCCTTTTTCGCATATTACGATAGTGTTCGAACTGCCACCAAATGTAAGCAAAAGTACATCCCATTACTGAGTACCCTGCGTTAAATATTGCATCCGGGTGGACATTCAAACATGATTGGCTTTGTCCATCAATGACCAGTGCCTGAATATAAGAATCATGTCCGGAAGGTGTCCAAGATTTTCCCAAACTCTGATATAAAAATTCAGTTGGGTAACCACATTTTTCACTTTTATCTTATCAGAACAATTTCAACCTACGGATGAACGTTTACTTAATAGTTTTAAGCCTTTTGCATTTAAAAAAGTTTACTTGGCCAAAGTATGGTGTCCGTAGCCACGGCTAAATAGTGTTGAACTTGTGTCTGACCGATGCTGAAAAACCTACTCTAGTGTCTCTAATAGACGGGCCCCCTTGTATTAATTTCAGAAGAATTTGCCCTCCCCCCGTCGCTTATCAGCATTCCCCTTCTATTGAAAATTGGCCGCAATGAGCACCCCATTCTATTAGAGACACTAGAGTAAGAAACGAAAAGGCATCATTTTGCAACCGAAAATTTAAAAAAGCATAAGTCATTTCTATTGTTTAGCTGTTCTTACCCCTATCCATGAACCGAATTTCGATATTGGTGAAGAACACCCCCTCCAACCCCCACCCCCAAAGTTGAGTAACCCTGAGCATTCTCCAGTCAATGACACACAAAGCAGTTGTTAACTTCGATTTCGAAAGTACAATTATCTTTAAAGCACAATGTCAGCATGTTAGAAATAGAGCTCATGCACACACAATAACACAAAATCGATTCTTTGAGATAAACAAAAAAGACTTCCATGAGAAGGATAGCATCGAACATCATTATAGAAATACAGTACAGCTTCCAGCACGTTCAAGTAGGTACTTCTACCAACAGGCGCCAAGCATTTTGTGGCAATGGAAACATTTACAACGAAAAATACTTTGAGAAGGTCAGTTATTTCTTCTCGCCTTAATTGCGCACTTGTGGTGGACGGGGAAGGCCGGTTTCTACACCATTAAATCACAAAATATCTGTTTAGACGGCTGCGGCAATAGGTTTATCTCATTGTTTCAGAAAATGGGAAATTCACATCATTAGCCAAGAGAGACATTTATCAGATTTGTTGGATGCTTATTTCCCAATTCGATTACCATATTTGTAAACAGCCCATTAATAAATCCGAATTATAGAATTGTTCAAGCTGCAGTTACTTGGTGCAGTTTTAATCATTTCAGGGACATTTCAACTGTTTATCTCTTTGGAATCAATCCTAAATCCATAACTTCTTACAAGTCAAGCAGAAAGCTACTATTTGCAGTAACCATATTTTCAAATAATCCTACAGAAGCGGAGCAGAAACGTCTGTGTAGGCTACCAAAAAATTAATGGAAAATAATCTGTTAGTATCTTCCTTTGAATTCAGGTGCAGGTGTCATTCTGTTTAAAATTCAAAGTTGATAACTTAGCAATAAATTTTGTACAAGGGCTTAAGTAGAAATATTTTTGCTTTTCAAATTCAACTCACGTCTGGGTTATCAACTGCTAGTTTCGCGATTCTTTGCCAGGCATCCTGTTTTTCTTTCAACCTGTCTTTTTCTCTGCAAGCAAATGCACTTATGATTAGGTGATGTAACGTAAATCTAACAACAAATGACAGCATGAATTATCCTGGAGACAGCTGTTCAGGCAAAAGCATAAACATACTCAGAGTTATAACTTCAATAAAATATTGGCAGATGAGAATTTCAAAAACAACTAAATCAACATTAAATTAGGGTTGGGGAGGGGGTGGGGGTTCTACGCTGTCTGATCAGGATTTTTGAAAAGATTACTTCGAAGTAACCTTTGAAGGCCGTTGAAAAAAAAGTGTGGCTTGGAATTATGACTTATTTGAAAACGATTGGTGATATTTCTTTACCTTAGCTTTTCTTCTTTGTATTTCCTTGCACATTCATCAAATAGTTTTTGATTCATTTCCATGAACAACTTTAAAGCATTATAAATCAAACCATGAATTGTTCTAGTGAAAAAAAAATGATTCCTTGAAATTTCCATCGAGTAGATCCTTGCAAAAGAATACAATTTAAGAATAGCAACAAAATTTATGTCAACTTTGATAAGATTAAACGAAATGCAATAGAAGTTGATCAGCAGATACGAAAACCACGAATAAATGAGCTTTAAAAGATAACTATGTGGTATTTACGATATCATAAGCAATCACAAAAAGTTTATTTCTGAACTTGAGCAGAGACAAAAACCAAGCTGTTTTTCCTTTAATGCCATGTCAGTTTCACAGCAAGATTAATTTCGTTTTGAAAATAAACTATGAAAATTAGCTTTTTAACAAATCCATTCTAGAGGGTGCCGACTTTGTTAACGTTGCTTGACTTATTCAGACAGCCTTAAGTACTCACTTATTCCAATGGGTCTTGGAATTTCTGTACAGGCTTGGAAACATGATGGGAAGGATGACATTAGCATTATCGCTAACCAAACTCATCACGTATTCATTGTTCCAAAAGTATAACGCACGCTCGGCAACCTAGGGATGAAAGTCAAATAATCAAGTTGGGTTTTGAGTCTTCAGACACAAAAATCTGTTTAAGGAGACCTGAAAGGTCAAACCTCTTTCTGATAAAAGATCGTATTTTATGCGTAGATGGCGGATACTAACCTAAAAGGAGGTTAAGAAATGCCTATAAATATAAGATATCAGTTAAATATGTCAAGAACTGGGTGAGATAAGGCAAATAAAAAACTTGAAGTTGGCTAACGGATTACTGTTATTTTGGCTTGGTTCAAAATGTTGTGAAGCGAGACCAAATTACAGTGATTTGTTAGGGGTAAGAGCCTGTGCTTCAGTGGCCATATCTCAGCCAATATCTAACAGATTTTTGCTGTCTTCGCACATTAAAGGTATTTCGTGATGCCCTTCCAAGTGATATGGTCAAAATTTAAAAGGTCTTGAAATATATTTTTGTAACGTCTTCACTTTAGAACGCTATTCTTTTATTGGGAAAATCAAGTTTTAGAAAGCAGTCAAGAGGGGATGTTGTCTAGACCTTTGAAAGCTGACGTCACAAATACCAAGCTGTGTACCATTCAAACACAAATTGTGTGAGAAAATTCGTTTAATGTTTGGAGACAAACCTGGAAATGTGGACTGGAGACACATCGGGCTAGTTGTTTGAACAGCGGTTCAATCGTCTTTACGAATTCATTCGGTTCTATTACATCAAGGATTTCCTCAAGCTCATTGAGAAACATGACCTTTTGAAAAAAGAGATCAATACAATAATTGAATCATAATGGAAAACAAATAAAGTAGAAGGATTTTTAATAGCTCGTTTCTTAAGTGTTGGCAAGGAATGGTGACGTCTTATATAAAACGTGTCACAGTTGCCAGCAGGGGCGGATCAAGAGCAAACTTGAAGGAGGGGCAGTTGGTAGTGGGGGCGCTGAAAAATTTTCAAAAATTGACGACGAGAGAACGCTGTATACAACAATTTCAGATCCATTTTCGGAATAAACAACATAACTTTGAAGTAATCCTTGAAGCAAATTAACCTATTGGTCTCAGAAACTTTTTCACCTGATTCGCATTCTTCAAAAGGGGCGCACATTTTCCAAAAAGGGGCGCCATACTTGCTTCAACTCGTCGAGGGAGGGGCAACTGCCCCTAGTTAACTTGGGTGTTACCTTATACTCCACAGGTGTTAAGTTCTTCGCAAAACAAGGGTACAGCAACTGTCTAAAGGATCACTACTCTGATAAATACTTGTCTCGTGGTGACCCCCCCCCCCCGCCCAGCATATTCATCTTTTTGGCATTTTCTGAATCATCCCTTACTCAAAATGTGATAGAAAAAATACCAAAACCAAATTTAATGGTGCTGGAAAAACAGTTTCTGCCTTCATAGAGGCTATTTTCGGCCAAACAGCAGAACAAGGCTTTCAAAGTTGTTTCCATCATAAGAAATGACGTATACATTCAAAGAAGGGTATTTCCGCAACATGCGAAAATTTGAGCACCAGACGACTTTGGCTATTAAACATATCACTAATTTACCCTAATACTCACCTCCTTAGGGCTGTGAACTTTGGGCCAGAATCGTAATAAGCCAACGACAACCTTGGGTTAAGAAAGCAAGAAATACGGTGTTTACAGAAATAATTCCATGTTTTGCTACACTAAAGCGTTCAATTAAAATCCAATCTTGAGTAATAAATGATAAACAACTGAGATAAGGAATTTGAAGAGCTTTTAGAAGCACTTTCTGAAATGTAACTCTTCCAAATTCATATTCCTGCTCGCATACTGTAAGTTTGATTGACAGGGCGCAGGTGGCATAAAAATCAAACCTATTTGTTACTAATCAACTTCTAAGCAGAATTACACGTGGGTTATTCATATATCAGCTTATAATCAAACAGTCGATCAACATCATTATACACTCCCCAAATTGACAAATGATATTACAAATGCTAACATTATCACAGTACATCAAACAAACATTGGTTGCTAAAATTCTGAACATACTGAACATGATACGAGCCTCTAATAGATTATCGGGTTTTTGTTGCAAATTCTTTCGACTATTGTTCTTGGCAATTCGCATGTATCAGCCAATTAAGATAAAATATCTTAAAAATGGACAAAATATATCAACTTAGAAAAGAAAACAAATAGACGAAACAATTTTTCAATAAACAGTGTGAAGCCGTCGTTCTAAGCTCCTTAGATGTAGCGAATGCTTGAAATTTTGCTGGATAAATTAAACCTAATCATTCATGTAATAAAGTCAGTTGTGTTTTTTCATTTCGAATGGCTCCAAACGCATAAGCTTGTGGAACAAATCCTTTACGCAAATAGAGAAGGTCTTAGCAACATACCGGCTCGGTTAATGCAGGGTCTTTCTCCAAGAACTGCACAACGCAATAGGCCAATTGTGGGTGGTACATACTTAATTGTTTAGCTTTGTGTAGTGGCAATAAAACTTTCAATAAAAAGATTTTGTGCTCTTCTTTTAGAGGCAACGCAAAACCATTGATAATACTACAAAAGAAACATTGGGAAAATCACATCAAAAATCAAATCAGCAGATTAAAAAAGAACACCGCAAGCACATTTCTCTAGCTTCACAAAGACCAAAGCACCATTTCGGTTTCATAATCCCGGTACACTCCTGAGGTTTACAAGGCAACAAAGACCCTTAAATCCTGATATCTAAAACACCGTTTAAAATCGATCCTTCCAGCGTGGTCCCCTGGGCTGAGATATGCGAAGAAAACATGCAACGGGAGAATCGGTTCATTTCTATGGCTTAATTGAACAGCAAATATGGTCGTCCTATTTAGTAAATATCTCACTAAACAAGCGTGACTGTCTCTATGTAGCAGAATGAAAAATGCAAACAAAAAAAGAAACAATATCAAAAAGTAAGCTAATAATGGTACAAAACATTTAGATCCGAGGGAATACCTAGCCTTTGGCAAAGCGTTACGGGAAAAGAATGGAACAGAATATCAGTGAAAAGATAGATACGAGGTTGATGGTCATGATGATAATCATGATGATGATCCATTATGATCGACAGGCAATAAAAGTAAAGTGTTTTAAGGGTTTTACCTTCCTAAAACTTCGAGCAGTTCTGCTATTCCGTTATGGCGTTCAGTTTCATAGATAAACCTGCCAAAATAGGAGAAAACAAGGCATTTAAAAACGTGACAACACATCATTTGTAAAAGCAAAAGGACTTTAGGTAACGAAACTATCCAAATATCTATACTGGCCTTTTATCAAATAAATGAATTTGTTTCTGAAAACTCAACTCAAGATCTACGAAGCTTCAGGACTTAAGAACTGACAAGGTTATGATAAAATAAAGGTACTTTACATGCATACATTACACAACATTAAATATAATGCTTATCATAAGAAAATACCTGTAGAATATATGATTGATCTGTCTTCGAATGAAAGCTCTAAGGCTGAGAAATTTTCCATAAATTCTATGTAATATGGTTTTGAGGAAATCCCTTTCACGAGGGTCTTCACTATCGAACAATTCTAAAAGCTGCAAAAGAGCAAAAGGTTGCACAGTTCAAAAGATTTGCTGAGCCATAAAATAAACTAAATCTTTGAATGAAACAAACTCAGTAATTATCAATGAATACTTACTATTAAAAAAAGTATTGTTTGGTCATGTTTACATTAAAATTATGACACAAAACAGCTTCACATGAATATAATATAAATTTAATTAATGGTATGACTGACAGAATAAAAGTTACGCTGAGTTAATTGACATATTCAAAACATATCGTAGTTTTCCTGAAATGTATTAATACCAGATAAATGAAAATTTATGAATATCCAAATAAATACATTATTTGTTTGTGGAATACTCTTTTAATTTGTAGCTCTTAAAAAACCAGGATCAAAATTTTCCATGTACTCACAAAAATTCACAAAAAATCAAAACGACAGTGATACAACTACAGTGCAATAAAAATATCACAGGGTGCTCGAAATCTCTTCGCAACAATGCAGCCATTCACAATTAACTCAAAGTATATTCACAATAGATGCCAGGTGAGACATACAGGGATGTTTAAAATCTAACATGAACATATTCACAAATTTTCAACGATTTTATCAAAGAACCACAAATGCTTATGTACCGAAGTTGTCGCGTGTAAACTCAATTCAATTCAGTTCGATTCAATTCAATTATAACAAATTCAAGCTTTTAATTACAGGCTACATGATTAAAAATACTTATAATTGATAAAGCTTAGGGCAAATAAAAAGAACTCAGATGAGCTATCGAGTTATTTAAAACTGACTTGATATTAAACATAGATGAAATTCGATCCACAGAGGGAGTGACTTAGTTGTTGCCTTAATCGTGAAACCTTAATCGATTTTATTAATTGTGAAAATCAGAGTTGCAACTTAGAACCGCTCCGTTCTATACGAAAATCAATTCATTTTTCATTTCATTCAAAAACAATTTCAGTGCAATTTTGATTCTGATACATGGAGACTTAGAAGAGTACCTGAACCATGAACGTTTGGTCGATGTATTTCTTTGCAACATTTGGTTGAAAATCTGATGATTCCAGGAACCTCAAGAAGAACTCATATACAATCTGCAAAAAACACTGGGTTATCAAAACCTGGACCAAATTTTGCGTTGCCACGAATCATTAGCAGATAGAAGACTTTGCCCGTTTTTCCCTTCTAGTAGCTACAGACTGGGCGAAGAATTTTTGCAAACTTCCCCATACCTTCCCCGAAATTCACCACATAAAATCAATACAATATAAAAAACGCATGCATTGACAGCCTGTTTCTTTCCCATGAGGTTTATAATAATTTTATATACTCCATGTTCTAATTCCTAAATGTTTGAAATTCAAAGGTAGTGAGTGAATACGTAAATGGCTGATATCATCCTGAAAAACTATCCCGACAAAAAGGCAAATCGTTGATATGTACATGATATCTTGTATACCAAATTATTACTATTTATTGCTTAATATACTCCAAAAGCATAATGTATTGATGTCAAGGCAATAATGAATGATGAAACAATCATCAGAGATTTTAGCAAAAGATAACTGCAGTCTGCAGATCTTCTAGTATCAACGGAGCCTTGTTGCATTGAGTGCATCCAATCACTACATCAGGAGGCACAAGAGTGAAATAATCTTGTATAATCAAAACATAATCGTAAAACAATTGTATTAATGAATATTGCTAGAATAACTCTGCATAATAATCTACAAAAATAGTTCAGTGTACGACACAACATAATCTGAAACAGAAGCAATAACGAAAAAGAGAATAATTAAGTATATTTATGTGGTCAAAAAACTGAAGCAGTATATGTATAGGGTTTCAACTCTTGAAATAAACTTAAAAAAAACACACATAAAAATGATATCAAGTAGAACCAAACCTGCAGATGAGGCCATGCAGCTTCTAGTGTGGGCTCATCTTCTTCCGGGTCGTATTCTGCGCCGCTCGGATTTTGAGAAGGCGGTAAGGCTCTAAATCCATTAACTGCAAACTGTTAGAAAAAATAAGTCCAAGGTTTTGTATTTGACCACACACGCATAGCTCAGTTCGGTTGAGTTTTGAATGGTTAATTGTTAATGACATTATGCTCAATGGTGCACAATGTAAATGGCGCCCCATGAAATTAGACAAGAAGTTGCAAATGAGATCTAAAAATATCAACAAAACCTTGAGTTCCCCCAGCTGCAAATTAAGGTTAGGCCACTGACAAGGTTGTAGAATATTTTGTCAAGTTTCTTTTTTATATTATCTCTATTTGACAGTAGTAGCATTTCTAGAAAAATATGTTTTATAAAACGTTTTATGACAGCATTGGTTTAATACTTTATTTGCTTGCAAAACAGCCACATTGCATGCCTTTTTGAAAAGAAACCAAAAGCAAGGGCGAGTTATTTGCCACTGTAACAATGCATGCCTGCTTACAAAAACACAAAAGGCAAGGAAAAGTAATGAATAACGTAAGTCCCCGGGGGCTTACTTTGCAACAAATATTTTAGTTTGGGGGCTTATTCAAAGGGGTGGCTTATTTGAAGGTTGGGGCTGGTCAGTATTCTTAAAATGCAGATATATTGGGATAAACCTATTACTATCGAGGGAATATGTCTGTCCATGGGGGCTTATTTGAGGGTGGTGGCTTATTTCACAAGAATTACTATAAGATGGGGAGCTTATTCGAGAGGAAGGGGCTTATTCGAGGGGAGGGGGGGGCTAGTTCGGGGACTTGCGGAAAGTAGGAGAAGGATCAAAAGGAGAAGGATAGATAGCGAGAAGCTACTAAGGGGCTATTTTAATTGTGCTGAACATGGATAAACAAAACCAACAACAAGCAATCAAGTAAAATTACCATTTTAACTGTTTCGGGATAAATGGGATCAGTGATAACTCCCCGGTTGTGAGTAACATATTCAACAATCTCGTTCAAAGCTGCTCGTTTAACTTCCTTCCATTTCAAATCACTGAGTGGATCGACAATAAAATCGAACATCGTACAACATTGTCGTAACTTTTGTATGAAAATGTCTTCTTTTTCGTTCTGTGGAGCATCTATGAAGAAAATATTATTCATCAACATGTAGCCTGGAGATTGAATTCTTTAACTGGTAAATATTTATTGCATCACTCTTTGCCTAATGAGGCAATAAGTTCTTTACTATTCAATTACTTCTAGAGATTATACAGAAGTAGCACTCCTGTTTAATTTTGTCATAAGAAAAATAAGGCAAAATTACTATACGCAAAGTTTCTTTGAGGCTTGCTTCCTATCAAAAACATATACCATTTCCTTTATTCTTATCAAAAGGAGTGACTAACGAAACTAAAGAAACTACTCAAATAAATATTTGAAACAATTAAAAAACAGTGGGCTGAACGTAGGAGCAGCTGGGAAGACTTTCTCGATTACGGCGATAGCGACAGAAAGTAACTGACAGATAAGTCGGTTAATTTACGAGATCCAAGGTGAAAAGCAACAGGATTCTGAGACAAGCACACTAAGGACTTTGGGACTGGCATCCTCTCCCCACCATTCTTACTTTGAGAAACACTAACGAGCAAAACACATTGTACTGAACAACCATTGTGGAGGAAATTTACAGTTTGTACAGTAATTAGAACACTACACGTGGTGCAGATGATAACCAGACTGGCGATCAATTGAAAATCAACATCGGCAATAGAGGCCATGCATAAGCTATTATGTTAGGAAAACCAGAGCATATTTTGTGCCATTCCCATTCCCAATGGCTGATCACAAAACCAATTGCTGATAGCAATCAAAGAAATCAGTGCCAAAAATTTATTGTAAAAATCTAGAGATATATTTAGGCGCACATGGCCAGGAGTAGATAGTGTTCACATATGCTACAGCATAGAAAACCAAAGTACAGAAAAAAATACACATACTCTACTATCAAAGCAAATCTTTTAAGTTTTCAGATAGGCTATTGCATACTGACAAGGCTATCTGTACACATATTCTAAATAGTTGCGAAAATATTCGACCAACAAGTCACCGTTCAACTAGAGTAGTTATGAATTTTTTAAAATTCAGTTCACAACAGAGATAATAGAAACATACTGAGAAGAGCAGAATTAAAACTCAAGCTATTGTGATAAGGCTCAGCGCCCCATGCGCCGCTTGTACCTGCTAGCAAATCTAGCTAGATAATTTCAACATACTTACATACAGAATATTCCATATAAAAAAACTCGTCAATCGTAAACAAATTAAACACAGCTATCAAACCGATTTGACTATGTGCTCCGAAGCTCCAGTGATTTAAAAATCAAGGAAATTGAAGCTGACAACAAACTAATTGCAAGTTCAATTCACCTCGAAGACATCTTAGCATCGCCTTCAAACTGGTCGCTGACGACTTCAATTGTTCAAGTAAATGCAGAACTTCAGTTCAGTTCCGCAAAAAAGTTCTGATTTCTTGGTTAATCCTTGATATATGCACTTGCACAACACAGCTGCTTTTGCATTTCACATAAACGGTATAGATTAAAACACTTTCTGATTGCGTTAAATAACAACAGCCTAATTTGCATATTTATAAGGCGAACTACGAAAATCACAGATACGATGATCTACGCTATTTCGAACAAAAAGGAACCTTTGAGCATCAACGAGAAGTGTTGCTTTCCAGCAAAAGATTCTACATTCTTGATGAATTTGATGGCTTAAACTGTGAAAATTATGCAATATAGGCGAAGTGGTGTATTTGACTGCGGTGCAGAAGGCTAGGGCGTCTATCTCAAGTCTGATCCAATCTGAAATATTTAATTCATTTCTCCTGACCCCCTCTTGTATGGATCGTATATGTTCATGAGAAAATACAAACCATTGCATTTTGTAGGGCTCAGACCTCTTCTGGGTTTCAACGTCCAGTTAACGTTGTCAAACCCTCATTTTGAAGGAAATCTATGCTTATGACTCTTTGGATGAATGGATACATTCGAATGAAAAAGTCATATAAGGCGTGTTAGGCCACTTTTCGCAAATATAGGATATCTTAGTTGTGAATAGCGTATACTGTGTTATAAATCATTATCAAAACCAAGCTTTCTTATTTGACCTAGTAACCATAACTGTATATGCCGGGCATATATTTCATGCTTGTTTTCGGCACTGAGCAAGGTAGATGCTTCCAACGAAGACGCCAAGCTGCAAAACGAGTCTGGAACTTCCTTCATTTTGAACGACAATCTTTGATGTCATATTAAGCAAATGCAGTTTCAATACTTTTTAAATATTTGTGAGTCAAAACCTTGAAAACTTCCTTTCGAGTCGACAAATGATAAGGCTCCGTTGCCCTTATCACCATGGCTTAGTTCCCTTTTACAGTTCATTTTTGGATTTATTCTGTTTAATACGTAATAGAAAACAAGCCCCCTCTTCAGATGTTTGCGTTTCTAATCGCCAGTGAAAGAAGATTACAAAGACTCTACAAAAAATAAATAACATAACCAAAATTCTTTATCTGTTGCAAGACGATAAATCTGAATCAAACTCTGTATCAATTGCAAGATATTAATTTTTTGAGGGTTCTTCAATACCGTTACTTAAGTTCTTGCCTTCAAATAACAAGCAACAGGCTCCTTTGCTTCGCTCAGTTGTCAAGCCTACCTTAACTCGGCATTACGCGCCAGGGACGTCGCTAATGGAGGGCACTTTCCCCCATACTTTGTCCGTTGGCACATAATTTTTTTCTCGCCCGTGTTACTATAATATTTTTGTAACTTGTTAAGATTTCTGTAGCAGCTCAACTTTCAAAGTATGGCACTAAAAATACTTGAAACTTTGGAATTCTAAATAATAAAGTAGAAATACATAAAAGCAGCATATAAAATTACTTGTCTTATGACCACACCCAAAAATAATGAGACACGCCCTTCTGTCGGCAAAAAACAAAATTTCACCCCTCCGAAAAAACTTTTTGGCTTCGCCCCTGTTGCCCGCCCATCTATCTTTTCAGTGTTGGCTTCATGCCTGATCTAAATTACGGCCAGCCGGTTGCAGTTGAACCCCAGCAAAAACTGAGGAAGAATGACGAACTATAAATGACGTTTTTTTGTGACTTAAGATGCTCGGCTCATAATTAGGTATTTATCTTTGCATTTTCAGGGAACAAAACAAACACGGCTCTCATGCAAAAAGATTGAGGTACACTAATCAAGCTTGAATTGAGCTTGCATGGTTCATTTTCTAAAATGCTTTCATGATGAAGAGAGACTGTAGCAAATAATTGAGCTTCTCCACATTTAGCCAAACCAGGATTCCAAATATTCAAGAATATCGATATCGAGACGAGATTGCGTCTACACGAGAAATTTTGGTAAGGTTCCGAATGGAACTTTTTCCTAAGCGATCCCGCTTTGGTACGGCCAGCCGTCCCCTTTGGAACGGCTCCCACAGGTCCCGCGTAAACGGAAGGCCTAACCGTGCTCATTTGAGTACGGTTCCAAATGGAACCGGTCTCGTGTAAACGCTGCCTTAAGGCTGATTTCCACTAGGCGGATTCTTTCGAGCGAATCGAATAAATTTTCGTAGCGATAGAGTAGGACCGTGATCTACTTTCTGCGAATCGAATTTTTTCGCTGTGAAATCTGAGAAGATGACACCACGCATGCTCACATTGGCAAAAATTCGAGTTGCAACTTGAAATCGTCCTGCTTATACACCAATCCATATATAGCTCTGCCTATACGGCATCAAGCAATATATAATAGAACCGTAAAACAGTAAATTTTCATTCGATTATTGAAATATAAATTTCATATCATTTAAATGCTTTATCTTTAAACTTAGTTTTCTGGATAGACAGATGCCGTACACGCCAATTAATTGCAAATCCAGTCTCAATAAGAGGATTAACGATTTAACTTTCATTTTAATCAAAGCATGCAGAAATCAGCGTATGCGCGCTACCGATTTCACGATGGTCAAAATACTGTGTACAGTGACGTCATTTGGTTATCGGAATGCTCGAAAAATAAGTAAATTAGCAATTAAAGGGAGACGGACGGAAACGAATGACTAATTCGGTAAAAGTTGATACGTAAACTTTGCGCATGTTACCCTTTGGCAAATCCAAACCGTAGAATCCATGTGTAATCGAACTATTACCTTACAGCATGACAGGCAAATCGTATGCAGTGTTGTTGCATGTTAATATTTCACACAAAGTAAGCAGTACAATATATAAAAAGGAAATCAAATCAAGATGTCGGCTTGAATAAATCTGTTTTCAAAATTTAGTGGATTTTCAGAAAAATCACTGCTATGTCGGAAAAATTTTCAATATTGAGCCGTGTGGGTAAAAAGAAGAGGTGAAACAAACCTTTTAGCGAAATAAATTACTTGGACTGAAGCCCTTTTCGAATTGTCGAGAGGCAATTCACTCTTGTAAAGAAAGTACTGGATTTCAACAAAAATAAAATGATTTTCCAGGATTTACCGATTTCTACCAAAAGTGATTTGCTGTTCTGATTTTGTTGGTTAAAACCAGAACCTTTAAAAGCCAAATTTTGTTATAGGAATTGACATTCAATCCCTCCAGACGTCTAGAATTTTCAATGAAAGATTTAACCACCTCCTTCTTCCTTGACTAAGAGATTTAAAACCACGTCTTTTCGAGTAAATTTCCATTTACAATTCCAGGATAAAAATAGTTGAGACTTTCAAAGAAAATTTTTTTGTCTCTCTTCCCCTTGAAAAAGTTTTTTCCCCACTTCCAATTCAATGTTGAATGCAACTTTTTGATGCACATTTGATAGAACTCTTATTCCAACATTGATTTGATACAAATTGATACAACATTGGGGAGAGATACAAATTTACAGGGACATGGTAAAGAAAAAAAATTCAAAAGTTGCATTTTGTTTCAACGATTCGTCTGTGATTGTAGACGAGCCAGGCTGCTATCCACCATGGAAAAATATGCTCCTAAGTCTCATGCCTACTTGGTACCATCATCCCAAGCGACATTTTATTTCAGTGACACCAAAACTCTATTTCTTTATGTGTCCCCACTACTAAGTCTGCAGCTCTACATGACAATGTCATAAATTGCATCTTTATTTGATACTGAAGACCGGGACAGTGCCAATTTTTTGCCTATCACCAGTTTTGAAAATTTTGTCCCTGGTTTGTAAATTTATAAAGTCACGTTGCATAAGGTAAAATATTTGAAAATGAGAACAAGGAAATTGATCAAACCATCAAGTAGCTTTCTGCCAGTAGAAATTATTTTTAAGAATAACATTTTATCATTAAAATATGCTTCAAAGACTGCAGTTTCTGGCGAACTTGAGGCATTAAAATTATAAAAACAATTTTCCCTTCAGTGGCAGCCACTTCAGGTAATAACTAAACTGTAACCTTGTCCTTTTCTATTGATTTATATGGTTGTGAGGTATCATGAAAGTTCACAGAGAGTATGAAGAAGAGAGAGATAAGAAAAAGTACATTTTAAATATCTTTCCTGCTAGAACAAAAGTTATGATTTTTACTGCATCAACCACCCCTCTCCCCTTACACATGAAAAGGTCCTATTTGATCTAAAAAAAGCAAAGAAATTTTGTCAGTAAATAATTTTTTTCTGGCCACTTCTAGAATTCATGACTCAATGCCTTTAATCAACAAATTACTATCAAATGAAAAACAGTAGAAAAGAGGCACTGCAAAACAGGATAGGTAAACTGAAAAGACTGGGCCCTTTTTGTTTTCTATTGAGATTTTAACACCTTCCTGAACAAAACCCAAATGCCTTTAATCAACTACTTTTAACCAATAAGCTTGGTTAGCTTTTGACTGAGAAGGAGCTCACATGAGCATATCTCAGCAAATTTATGACATATAAAAGAGAAATTGGCTATTGAGAAGTATTACATGATACTCTTTCAGGTTACTTTGTCTAGATTAAATAAATAAAGAAAGATATTTCATGATCTTATCACATAACAACCACAAAGCTATTTGTTAAACCACATTCATTCCAGAAGGATCAAACATCTTCATTACCAGGGAGTAACAAACAACTAAGAATAAAGTGACAATGACAAGCATTTGAAAATGTTTGTTGCATTTAAGTAACTACATCAAGTGACTAGAAAAATTCACTTCTACATTAGAACTTCCACAGGCCCAAATTGGTTAATTGAAAGTTATTGAGATCTTCAAAGATCTTAAAGATTAATTGTTAATTCATAGATTAATAGTCAAGTTCTCAATTCCATGGAAATGAAAATATAACCATAGAAAAGAACAAAATAAAAACAGAGGAAGTCTGCTGCTTACTGGGACTAACACACAAACTGGGACTAACACACAAGAAAGCAGAAAGAACAATTTCAAATGAGGTCAGTAAAAGGTAGGTCATTCAATAAAACATAATGTGACTTCAAGGTAGACATGAATTACTAATGAGGGCAACACTATAAATGAGTACATCATCAAGTGGCTGAAATTATTATAATGATGGACAACCAAAGCACTTACGAGCCAATTGAACTGGCAATTTTAATTCTGACTGTAACTGTAAAAAGTTCACTTTTTCCAAACTACCTATTATTCAAAATTCATCTTTACCACCTGATATCTTAAAAAAGCAAATTTGATAATACCTTAAAGACAGTCAGAGCTACCAGAAGTAACAAAAATCACAGCTAAGTGACTTTTCAAGGTTCTTAAAAACAAAGAAAATAATTTTGTTGGAACTTGAACATCAAGATAAACCATTTCCATATACTTCAGAGATCTACTAACATCACTATTTTATATTAGTGATTTTCTGATATGCTTTGGGCAGAAGCATACAAAAACATGTTTTAAAATGCATATGCAGATACAATACATAGCCTCAGACCAACCATGAATCTTTTAAAAAGTTTATACATTACCTCAAATATTCACTTTGAAACATATGTTCCCATCGTTACTTGGCTAATAATAACAAGACAGATGTCAGGCTACTGATTAACTAACCTTTTATCAGTGGCAACTTCAATAGCTCCCTGTTCTTACTGATGTTAAAACTTGATGAGCCTTGTCTTTTCTCTTTTCTTATGAGGTTTCCTGGTCCAGAAAATTTTGACTTATTTGGGGGAACAATTGGAACTTGTGGCGGCGCGCCAGATACCTTTCCTTTGCCTGAAACCTGGAAAACAGCAAGATACTATTTTTCAGTCCATTCTTATCAATACTGTTACAAAAAACATTACCATAAATGATAAACAAAACAAACATTATTGATTGCATGTTCAAACATGCTAGTACAACAACCAAGCCCCATTTGCAATTAAAACAAGAAAAATGCATAGTTTATGTAAAGTTTATGTTTTAACAAATAATGCTGGGGTTAAATAATATTCCAGGTAAACCCAAAGAAAATATTGGAAACCTGTAAGGAAAACAGTTGCTTAATAGATAATAGGCAGTTTAAGCATTGGCGACGATAACCATAACGATAACGATAGGAGGCTTTATCAGCTTAATGCACAGGCGTCATTGGAGATTCCCCTTCCGTTATCGTTCCCCCTCATGGTTCTAGTACGATAGAAATCTGATGTATTGTTCTGTGACAACGATAGGATTCAGTGACAGATTTTGTTGAGTTTTTTGAGGATTTTCAACTGGAAATGACTTCATCAGCCACTGCATTATCAAGCCTCGAGTCAAGCCGGTGAGTTGTGTGTTTTTTATTTGTTTAAAACGATTTATAATTTTGTTTTCACGATGGAATCAGGTCTACCTTTGTTGTTAAGATTCACATAGGCTGCAGCCTTTAAATTTCAATAAAGAATTCTGCAAATTCAGTAACAAATATTGAGAACTTAAACTTTATTACTTGAATATTAAACAAGTCTTTGAAATTTTTGTCAAGCGACCAAAGTCATTATTTTCTGGGGGTTTCAACTTCTAACTCCCAAGGTTGATAAAAAGATGGATCATGTTTGGGCTGAAAAGTATATTTACCTGATTTCAATTCTTTTTAAGGAAACAGTTCTAGTGGACATGATGAGATGAGCTTTGATGCGAGTAGGAGGATAAAGACCCAGCAGCAAAATTTTGGTAGGCGAGGGTTGGCAGTGCAGAAATGGGGGAAGAAATGCTTGTGCCTTCCCTTTTGTTAACTGTGTAGTATTTTGTACATATCAATTCTACGTTAGAAATAAATTTGTTCTTTTAAACTGCGTCATCAGTTATTCCATAGTGTCAAGATAAAATAAAGAACGATAGTTTCAGATTAAATTTAGGCCTTTTTGTAATTCCAACAGAAGAGGTAGATCTTTGTCGTTGATAAAATTTAAGCTGTGTGCGACAGCAAGAACTTAATTAATATCTTTTATGGTCAAATTTTATTTAGCTAAAAGATATTTAACATTAGCGGGGCATTCAAAACTAGACTTCCATGGCAAACAAGGAAGTGTGTCATGCGGTAGAGCTGCAGCCCCTACGGGTGTCAATGCTTAATGTACTTATACCACAATGATAACGGAAATGATGACAGTAGGTTCTATCGTTATCGGTATCGTTATTGTCACCTGTGCTTAAACTCTCTAATTATCTAAAGTTGATGCTATATGAATATTTTGATAAATCAAAATCATTAAACAAAACATAGAAATAAACAATACAGGTTCACTTGTGGTACTAAAATTAAATAATAGGTACTTAAGAACTGGCAGGCAAAAATATTTGAAGCAAATAAATAACACCTCCCCCCTCTCTTCCAACCAGCTCTTTTTACAAAAATATTCAAAAATCTCTCCATAATGGTCGCCTCTAAAACCATGGTCACTAAGCTTGGTGCCTGAAAGTTACAACTTTGAGCACACTTTTAGACGGGTTGGTGTAACATGAATTAGCATTTCATCAACGGGCTAAGCACCACTTTTAAGTCTTTAAAAACAAAGGGAGGGTATGAAATTCACAAAAAATGTAGAAAGAGGTTTGTATAAATAGAAATTAAACTTGTGTGTTAAACTTTTAAAGTCGTCAGATGTCTGGACAGAAACTTAAGACTTGTCGAAGTAAATCATTATAACCTTTGCAGTTTAAACTTTTAAAATTTATTACGTGGAAGAAATTGGTCCACGAATTACCATAGAAGTTAAATTAAATTTACTAAAATAATATGACACAGTTTGGTGGTTGTTTGTACTGTTTATCTGTAATTAAATTCATCATTGTATCATGCTTCTAATTATCCCATTGTCCATCTAGTCATGTAGCCAATAACACATTGTGTGTACCAAGTATCTACATTTAAACATGACTGGACTTATCTAGTTCTCCAGACCTTTAATATGGCTAGCTTGGTTGGAAACATTTAATTTACAGATGGAAATTTTAGTGAATGCTTCAAAACAATGATCCTAAAAAGACAAGGAGCTTCTACGGATGGGGGCAAGTTTTTGATGAAAGTGACTCAGATTATTCTTAGATAAGAGAAAAAAATGAGAAATTATAATGAGGAAAAAAAACAGATCCATCAACCAAGGTGTGATCGAAATATTCGCCTCCTTAGTCCTGGAGAAGATTGGGCTATGTGTAAAACCAATCATATTGAATATACTTGGAAAAAAGCTGGCAAACAAAAATTTCCTTTAAGTTTTTAATGGTTTTATGTCTGAGGGAAACAAGGGTTTTTTTATTTTTGGTTGTATGTAGATAGTTCTGTGATTTAATACTATATGGTTTTAACTCTATTCTATATGTATTTTACTATCATTCATAATGAAATAAAATGTTCCTGTTACATCTTAAAAGAAGCTCAAACTCCATATGAAAATAATCATCTATTTGAGCAACATAAACAATAAAAGAAAGTTTTTAATATATAGCACCAGAAAAGACCAAATTAGGTCAAGATCTGGTTCCACATTCCTCCAAACAGAGAACTGTAGGCAGCAGAACATCCTTAGATAGATATCAGGCTTTTATGATCCTTATATGAAAGTATTTTATAATACAAGATTTCAGATTGATAAAAAAAATTTAATTCAATCTAATTCAATATTATTATTGCCAACTTCACCTTTCCTGCTTGCAATGTTGCACAGCCAGAGAAAAACAGTTTTTCATTGAGCAGGACGCACCAATAAAAAAAGAAATACGGCGTCAGATTGTTTGCACCTTTCATGCATATAGTTTGAAGATCTTCCTACAATTTGCCTCTTCTAGAGAGCAAGCTTATAACCCAAACCCTCTTTTTCAACGCATATCCTACAACTTTGAAATAGTCCAAAAGAATAATGGTCTCAAGTTATTTACAGCAACGTTAGCGAACACTGTCTCTCGACACCGAACATATCATAAACATCAAATAAGATAACTACTCACATCATCGCTGTCGTTGTTTCCTTTCTTGGTTTCGCCTTTTGATGAGTTCTAAAAAACAGCAAAATGTCATGATCTTTTAAATTAATTGAAACAAGGAACGTAAACATCGAAAAGGGAAACCAATGTTCGAATAATGTAGGCCGGTTACTATGATCCAGAAATGCTGCTGGTTTCCGATTAGGCGTTTACCTTATCTTTTTTGCTTTTGTTTGGCATGTTTCTGCTAGGTGTTTTTTGCTCTGTTTGTCCAGGCAGGGTTATATCATGTTTGTTTACACGCAATTTGCAAAGCAGCCAGCCTAACTTCGCCACATTATCCTGATGCGATGGTATTTTATTTGCTTGGGCCTCTGTGTTAGCGGGGTTTGGGGAGAAGCAGACTTTTGACTACAGTAAAGGTGCTGCGGAGGAGAGCCCTCATCATTGTTATCATTATTGCTATCACAATTTTTCATTATCCAGTCATTTTTTCATAAGAAAAAGGGTCGACAACATACAGTGAGGAAATTCAGGAACTTATTTTTCGTACAGGTTTCTAAACAATGATGTCATTAATTTTACATTTGCGGTCGGTCCTATTTGTGATTTTTCATGCTAAAAACTTTTCCAAAAAAAACTTGTTGGGAAGAGTTTTCGCAGCAGCAAACAAAGACAATTGTCGATGTTTCTATCACTTCAAAAACGGTTGTGACTTTTATTTCAAGAAATTCATTTTCTTTCTAATGCTCTAATGCTTAAACTTAGATGGGGATTGGGAAAGAATATTTCCATTCTCTGTGTCTAAAATTTCATGCCAACAAGCCAATCGAATTGGTTGATTTTCACTAAGTTCTTGTCTTTTTCAATATTCAATCGTTTCCCGATTTTTGCTTGGGGTAAATAAGTTTCTAATAGCGATTCTCTAATAAAAAATGAGTGTAGTTAGGATCTTTCCCTCTTCCAAGTTGTCACAGGCTTTCCTTTCATGCTTTGTGCACCTTCTACATTTCACTCAGTAGCTGCATACTCAAAATTTACACCAGATTAATGACAATCGTTCTCCATCTCCATCATCTCCATCATTTCATACCCATCTCACTGCAACACATATTACAATATATCAAATTCAAATGTTCAGCGCGCGATATAACTGCAGAAATATATATTATTTTCTATGTTAAGAGTTTAATATACCACTACAGCCACACTATACCAATAAAATCGTACAAACATACAGAAGGGCGCCGGAACCATTGCCCTAGTGGTGCGGGGCAGCACGGGGGCAGCAAAGTGCCCTTTTCAAGAAATTGGTCTCCGAGCAATATTAATGCATATAAATATTTTGAAAGCTAATAAAAACTAGGTTTCAAGCATCTATTGATGCCTACAGGCACAGTGGGCACGTAGCCTTGTTCCAAACTTCAGTTTAACTGCCCCTTTGCAGCGCACCGAGTTGTCTTCTTGCCAACTGCATAACCAAAAGGTGCCCTTGAATTGCTTAGGTGCTATTCGAAATGACCAAAGGGGTGACCTTTTGGGATGATTATTTAAAAAGTTTCTTTTCCACTGCTTTTAAAAACACCAAAACACAAGCTCACAACCAGTGGCGAAGCTGACCAAGAACGGGTGGACCTGCACAACGGGGGAGTGGGGGCGTAGCCCCCAGGAAAATCACGTGAAGCCACGACCTAGACACCCTTGGAAAAGGGAGAAACGCCCTTCAGGACATGTTGAAATCAAGATTGCAGTGAAACATTTTTTACTGCCACATTTTGGAAAGAAGAGGATGAGGGTTAGGATCCTTTCAAGTTCCTCCTGTCTTACATTGAAGAAGTCAAAAGCGCATCACAAAAATTCTTTCTAAAATAAGTAATATTTGAAAATGTTTTCGTTGATTGAAATTTTTTAGATCATTGACTAAAAAGAAATTGCTCGTACAAATAGGCATATACAGTTGTAACTCATACTTGAAACATAATTGATTCAAATTATTTGAAAAAGTAGAAATATTTTGTCACAACATGGATGGGTCTGATGCACGGTAGATTGTGCCTTGAATCAATTTGTTTTGATGTGAGAGGAGACCCCTGAAATTTTGCCAGTAGAATACAATCTGATTCACAGAGTACAAAAATATAACCGTATGATACTCTTTCAGGTTATTTTATCTAAAGAATAAAGAGAGATATTTCATATTCAATGAATAGCAACACAAGCGATTTATGGTATGTGTTGTGGAAATAGTTGATTGGCAAAAAACAAAAGTCAAGATATTTGGATTTCTTAAGACTTTCTGCTTTATAGAAGGTATTTACAGATATTCCCTAGTATATTGACATTGTTTATAATTGGGTGGCTAAGAATTTTCAGAGACCGCCCCACAAAATTAAACTTGGGAGCTAACAAACAAGTTTAATGACGTAGAAGGGCCCACCATGGTTGGGTCCGACGAGAAAGAAAATTTTTGAAATTTTTCCTTCTAGAAAGGCTAAAAAAGCATCCACAAACTAAATTTAATAAAATACTAGATGTCCCCGGATAGAAATTCGATGTTTCTCAGAAAAACACAGATCATTGTTCATTGGGCGAAATGGTGGAGGGGAAGAATCGTGCTTAAAACTCTAGTGACCATGTTTACTCATCAAAAAATGAATATGTTGTAATGATACAGAAAGACAAATGGCAGAAATATACGTAAATAAGTTAGTGAAGAGGTCAAATAAAATAACAGTTTGGGGTCATTCATATAGTATGTACGCAGTTTGAGAGCCACTTTTTGACCCTCCCTCCCCCCTTGTATGCACATGTACACTTTTTGCATATCCCCCCTTTTGCGTACACTGCGTATGCTTATATCTTTTTTTGCCTCCCCTCCCTCCAGTTTCGAGGTAAAATACAAATAATTGAGAGTTTCCAGGGGAATTCAGGGAATTGTCCCTACTGACCATTCCTTGTTATAATATATGTTAATACAGTTGTCTAATTTATGTTAACATGTGAAGTACATCGAAGCAGATTCATTAACATTGAACTTGTTGTATTTAGCTTTCTAAAAGGCAAAGCCTTTCACATAGTTTTTATTGGAAGTTCATCAAACAGAGCAGATTTTAGGTAGGATGAAAATATGCAACAAGCTTCCCATTAAAATCTCTGCCATATGAACAATGAACGAGCAAGCTTGCAAGGCTCAAATTTCACGTTTAGGAATTTCTTAAGCGTACGTACTAAATATCCATTACACCCCCTCTCCCCTTGTATGCAAGCGTACGATTTCTGATCGACTCCCCCTCCTCCCCCTGAGTGCGTATGTACTTTATGTATGACCCCTTTGCTCTCTTTTTATTTCATGGTCTGTTTAAAAAAACGGTAGAAAATGGTAAAAAACAGCAAGAAATGTTTATCTTGTAAAAAAGATGAAAACCACTCTGCTTACAAAAATATCGGCCATCACCAATAGTCAACTTGCACTTGACACAATGACTTAGTGACTTAGGTTTGTTGCAATAACAGACAAAACGTAGTTTCGTTCTAACCCAGCTGCCAGGGATTTCTTTCATTCAAGGAAAATGATGATAATTTCTCAAAAAATCGTTTTGCTCCAGATTTTTTTGGGGGAGTCCAGTCCCCTCGTCCCCTTGGGATTTACGGCCCTGCTGACTTAAACAGTAAATAGGACTGACACAGCGGCGGAAATTCAGGCTTTCATTTGGATTTTCTTCCATTTTAAAGGACCTCTCCAGCCAAAATTTGCAATTGCATTTTATTGGCTAATCTAAAGGAGTTGAGCCTGCTGATCACGAATTCGTGATTTGTTTTTCGATATTTTTTACATTATGTGAGATATAAGCTCTTGCATTTCGATAATTGAATTAACCGACAAAAATATTTCGGTCTGGTGACACTGTGACGCAATTTTGACGTCACTGTGCATTTCGTTGGTCTCGCCTCAAACCGAATCGAACGACGGCGATTCGCAAATTGAACACTGCAATTGTTGGTACTCTCAGTTCTGTTCCACCGGCTTTTAGTTTGAGCATTTCAGATATCAATTCTGAAGCCTTTAGTTGTTCATCGTTTCTGGAAAACAACTTGAAGTGTCAATTTCGATTAATTATACGCGAGGGAAGAGCCGGAACAGGAAGCCATAGCTTTGTTGGCCTACACAGGTGATCAAAACAAAGTCGTCACACAGCATGGACACATTCCGACCCACAGTCTTAGAATGATTGTACTTTTCGATCCTAAAAAGCTCCTGCTGTAGATTTAGATGCAGTTATCAACGCGTGACCATGACTCCTTCACGCTTCGGTGGAAGCAGGGCCGTCGCTAAGCAGAGGGGTGCCAGTCACCAATTTGCCGACAAATAAGGCGTGGCCTAAGATATTTCAATGTGGGGTGTGGCATTTTGACGCAATTGATTTTGTTTATCAAAGAGGATGTTCTCGTTAGTCAAACATCGCTTCAATTTTCGAGTGGCTGTGGGTACTTAGGTTTCGAAGGCCTTAAAACAAAACCGAAAGACGAGGTCCGCACCCCCCCCCCCGCTAGCGACGGCCCTGGGTGGAAGGTATACGAAATTCATGGCGAACGAGAGCCGCACACTGTGACGTCAGAATGTCACCAAACTGATTCGCCTTTTGTCGTTTTTTTCTCGGAAAGGTGCAACTTTAAAGCCTTATAACGTCTAAACTAATTGGAATTTTGCAAAAACAACGACTTTGCCGTAATACACGTGTAAAATGTTGCTTAAATCGATTGATTCTCAGGACCTTTAAAAAAGCAGAAGATGGCCAATAAATGATGCGACGTAAATCGGTTAAATCTTTCCTTTTTTTCTTTCGATAAAATCGTCCCGGCAGCTACATAACTTGCATGCTAACAACGGCATAATAATTAACGCGTGACATGGGCATAATCTTTCTCAAGAACTACCCCAGAGGTCTTCCAAAACTGATATATCTCCTATAAATATCTCAAAACGACGAAGGCGACAAGATCTTTCACAAGCATCTTGCCCCTAAAACGGTGCATGCCTAAACTGCTTTCTCTTGCTGCTACTTTTCCATAATTCTTACTTCCTAAGATGAGGTACGGGGCCCCCATATATACTGAACTAAAAACAATAGACATACGTAAATAAAACGGTGAAAGGAAGTAATCTACTTAGTAACGAGCGGGGTGGGGTAGCGCGATATCCTAAAATACTGGGTTGCTATGGCGATCTACTTAACATGCTGATATTTGACGTAGGTATGAAGTTACTCATAATATTACAAAGATTATCCTAATACACGTGATAGAAAAATGCGGAACGAGCAAGGAAAGTTACAGATAAACAAGAGTGATTAGGTAAGGAAAATCAAACGAATGGACTAGAGAGAAAGGCCTAAAATTAGCAG